GATACACTCAAGTCATTCACTCAAGCCTCTTAAGTTCCTGTTTCCGACTTGTTGGTCCCCGTAGATCCTGCCTACTTATCCTAAGGTACTTATCCTAGGTACTTGTGCATCTCCGCAGTATTCGATGACGAAACGAAACACACCTAGAGATAGGTATCTCCGATTGGGTGCCTGACACGGATTGATTGATTAACTAATTGAATAAATGGTTGAAGGCCATCCATGACCGAATTGAAGACAGTCTGGCTGTATGTATGTATCCAACATGAAGTCCGAAAATGAGTTCCATTGTGTATACCTAGGTAAACCAGGGGCATAGAAGGAAACACATTTTGATGTCAAGAGGCTGCTAGATGCCACTTACTTGTAGTCTACTTGCAGAGTCCTCTCATTAGGTAAGTGTTGTTGTCTACCTGCCTACCTGGATTGTTGGTTTCGAGTTGATCATCAAGACCTCAAGTGATGGGGAATGCAAATTGAGTTCACCTTGACTGGCTACTGGCAACTGGCAACGGGTGGTAGACCAGATCCGATGTGGTGTTGTCGTCTTTTTCGCTTTGACGCGGTGAGATAGATGCATGAAGAATCTCTACGGGTTTTATGTGAGATATATAGAGGAGAACATTCGACAATGAACCCTGATCGGTTCATGTTGTTGTTGTTGTTGTTGTTGTTGTTGTTGTTGTTGTTGGAGGAGGATTGAGCACGGAGGTGTTGATGGAGTTTCACGAGATCCGGCTTGGCAGCCAGGACAACATCGTACGTACTGGCAACACTTCATACTAAGGGCCACCCATCCTACCGCTTTGGTACCTAGTCATGATCTTTGGCGGGCAGCGGTGCTTTTCAGGTTTAGGTGACCTGTATCGTGAGAACCAGAGGCTTGATGCTGGGTTTTGAGGGTGTATCATACAGCCGTGGACTATACTTTGAGTGAGGGTGATCAAAGGGGGGGAGAGAGTGTGTAAAAGAAAACTTGGCATATCACCCTCAAGTAGGTAGGCTCTGTGTGGTTTGCCAGTATGGCCCCGTCATCTTCATGTCTTCTTTCGGTATTGATTCACGGGCAAGACCAGCTCACATGGCAGAAGCTCGTCTCCATAAAGCAGCACGAAGATAGGGCCAAACCTGCTACTTTGATGGCCAGTCGCGCCAGTGATATCGGTAGACCGTCGTATCAAACACAATCATAATGAATCATCATGATGTTAATGTAGTGCTGGTCCGTTCAGGAAGGAGATGGGCGAGAACAACAGATATGGTCAGACCATTCAGCCATTGCAAGTCAACAATGACCAAGTATAACGAACTCGATTGGTAGCGGTCCAGGCCATGATATCGCTTTGAGTTGGTACCGTGAACGCCGTGTAAGTGACAGACGGGAACGGGACATGATGCAGTCCGCTAACAGCAAGTGCAGAGAACGGCTGCGACATTTGCTAACGGCGTGCACGACACTACTGATCTTGCCACATGGTGGACCGACAAATTCCCGTCGCGAAAACCGGAAATTGGCTGACAGAGACACCGGCAAGACTGCAAGCGGAAGGCACGAGGCAATACCCTGGCGGAGTGAAGGCGCCGGGACTCGGGAGGATGGTGTTTGGTGTTTGATGAGTGAATGGCAATTACAGTTCCTCGAGTTCCCGCTGCTGCTGAGTCCGTGCACGTGACCCACCCCGTGACAGCCCTCACTAACCCTCGCCAATGGCAGGCTCGCTGGGTCCCCACCCGGCGAAACCCACAAACTGCTGGTGTGAGAAATTCTAAGATTCCGACCTTCCCCCTCAGCCCGTGGAAATTTCAATCCATCGTCAACCAGACCCGACCATCCACGCAGAAATCCGTCAAGATGTGAGTAGCATCGTCATGCCGTCCCGTTCGTTCGCGAAATGAGAGAAATGGCCGCGGGGACGAGCATTTTGGCGATTCTGAGGGAGGAATGAAGCCTTTCAAGCGTGAACACAAGGGTTGTCGTTTCGTCAGAATCGCCAAAACTGGTTGTCCCCGGCAGTGCAGTCCATGATGCTCATCACCGCCACCAATAATCCATCAATCACCACCACGCCGCGCCATCAAAACCGACAAAAGCGACACGATCACCACAATCGGACATTTCCCAAGATGCAGTTGGCTGACTTTTTTCCGCGCCTTTCAGGGTTAACCTGAGGACCCAGAAGCGGCTCGCGTCCTCCGTCTTGGGCGTCGGCCAGCGCAAGATCTGGCTCGACCCCAATGAGGTCTCCGAGATCAGCAACGCCAACTCTCGCCAGACGATCCGCAAGCTCGTTGCCGATGGCCTCATCATCAAGAAGCCCGTCACCATGCACTCGCGCTCCCGCGCGCGTGAGCTCAACCTTGCCCGCCGTATTGGCCGTCACCGCGGCTTCGGTAAGCGCAAGGGTACCGCCGATGCCCGTATGCCCGAGTACGTACAACCCGAACACAAAACCATCATTACGACCAAGACATTTGGCAAGAGGAGGATCATCATCATCGCACGGGACGAGTTATAGGAGGCTACGCTTGGGCCTGGTGGAGGACATGATTGAGAGTCAGAGAGGGGGTGGCAAATGTCTTTTGCGACAACTTTTCATGGGGAACGGTTTATGCTGACGGAGGGATTTCTACGATTACAGGCAGGTTCTGTGGATGCGCCGCCAACGGGTCCTCCGCCGTCTGCTCGTCAAGTACCGTGCTTCCGGCAAGATCGACAAGCACCTCTACCACGAGCTTTACCACCTCGCCAAGGGTAACACCTTCAAGCACAAGCGTGCCCTCGTTGAGCACGTACGTACACCCACAACCCGAGCGGAGGAACACACTTGGAGGACGGATATTGACCTTGTTACTACAGATTCACCGTGCCAAGGCCGAGAAGGCTCGCGAGAAGGCTATCAAGGAGGAGATGGACGCCAAGCGTGCCCGCACCAAGGCCGCTCGCGAGCGCAAGCTCGAGCGCCAGGCTGCCAAGCGCAACGCTCTCGCCGGCGAGGAGGAGGAGTCCAAGTAGATTACTGGGATGATGACGTGAATGGAAGAAGACGGACATATTGGCGGCCTTGCATTCGGAGTAATCGGTTGGGCTCTTTTTCTGGTCGCAATTCTCTCTACATCTCCAAAATCTACGCGTGGAATCCGCTTCTGGTCGTCCGGTTTCCCTAGTTGATGGTGCTATCACTTTGTGGGGTATTGTTGGTGATGCCACACTGGCGACAGCAAAGGATGATGTTGTGGGCGTTTTGCATGTCGTCTGGCATGGCGACAAGGGATGTCAGTCGAAGGACCAAGATGTAGGCGCGCTTCCGAGCAAAGATATCCAGGCTCTTGATGGCCGCACACTCATGGAAACAAACTGGCGTGTCGGGACAAGAGGCCGAAAGGGACGGGATGCAAGAAGACAATGCGATTACGTCGTTGTTGAGCACAAGCTGCTGTTTTCCAGAATGCTTCTTCCGCAGTGCGTGCTTGACTCTAGCTATGATACCAATTCACGCTTTCTTCATGGACCTTGATATGGACTTTTTTTGATTTAAAGAGCTTGCATGTGGTGATGTAATTTCGTGTCTGGGCAGGAACACCACAACGGTCGCCAACGGTTGAGGGAAATATCACTCCCTCGCCGTGGATGTCATCCAGGAACCAGGCACAGCACTGTCATGATGAAAGACATCGTCATCGAACTGTCGACGAAACGTGAGAGCACGATATCGCCCATCAGATGTGATCTACGAAGGCCATTGGGGACATGGCCAAGCATGGGTAGCGAAACCACCACAAAATCGCGCTCCGCAATTCGTGATCACGACCAGACAGTCATCGGTCAGTCCACCATCACGGAAACGCAGCCTTCGCGATCACGTCCAATCAACATATCATCACGTAACGGACTCGAACATCAAGCCCACAACAGCCATCTATGAACCAGACAGCCATTCATCCACCTCGCCCGCTGACCTCATCGACCTCAGAGACCTCGGAGACCTATCCTCCAAAAGCACCCTCAACACCAACTACCTAAAATATAAAAAAGAGCAAAGCACCAGGCCTTGTGTAAAACGACCGCCTGCAGCGAAATCGTGCATCAACCAAACCTCAATTCTTTTCAAAAGAAATTGGGTCAGAGATTTCCTCAAATTGTCCCTCTCAGAGTGGTGAGTTTGTGCCAGGACATTTCAGACTATTGTCCCCCTAAAAAGATTTCCCGAAAGAGATCTTGGAGGAGCAAAGCTGGCGTTTAGCAAGCGGGCTCATCATACCCAGTTTAGTTGATTGAAGAAGAAAAAGAGAAAGGAAAGGAATTCTGAAAGGAGGGGAAGGGGGAAGAGGTATTTGAATGAAGCACTGCGGAGGCCGGAGGCTCGGGACTCGGGAGGACAGGGCAGTGGGCAGCGTGGAGGGGAACTGCGGTGGGGGACGAAACGAACGGATTTGTGGGGAGAAAACTAATGGGGGGAATAGCTGGTGCTGATTGGTTGAAACCCAAAAGGTTTGGGCAAGGGTTTGCTGGTGAGAGCAGTTTGGGGAAGGTCGGACTAGATCGGAGGACGGGGGGTGGAGATGATGTGACTTTAACAGATTTTGCTGAAAGAGATGGGGAAGGGATGTTAGGCTGCTATGAAGGTTGGTAGCCGCTGGACTGCGGTGGACTGGCAAGAGTTCCCGTCGGGGAACCGGGGCGTCAACAGCCGGGTTTTGTTTGTGAGCCTTCGTCATGTTTTGGTGGGGTAGATAGAGATTGGACGAGTCCAACCTCCCGTCTTCGTTGTAGAGAGAAGAAGAGAGAGAGAGGGGAGTTGTGATACGGGATCACGACGTTCTTTTGGGTTGTTCGAGTTGATCTATTGCTGTGGTTACCTAGGTGTGTAGTGGTGGTAAAGTGTACTATCGTTGACAACGACTGAGAGACCGAAACAAGCTGGGATATCGACCACCACCCGGCTAAGTTGACATTTGACTTGACTAACACCGGGGACTAATTACATAACTATTTGCTTCCCTTTGGGAGTCATCCGCGAAGAAAAGCAATCATTGTTATCAAAGTATCTGTCAGTGTGGATTGGATCGGATTGGATTGGCTGTGTGCAGTGCAGTTAGGGTCACTTTCCCATCCGTCATTTTCTTGTCTTGGGTCGTTGCCGATCCCGTTGCCGTGCCCGTCCGTATCTTGTCGTCCCATATCCGTATCTATCCATTCACGAGTCACAACCTTTTCCTTTTCTAACCATTTCAGTCAACAACAATAACGACAAAAACTCCAGTAAATAGTTGGCCAACACACGTCATGTCGAGCTTCCAGAGCACAGCTGCTGTGCGCGCCTGCGCCCGCCGGGCGGCTTCTACCACCTCCGCCGCGACTCTGACCTCGACGACATGCCGCGCCGCCGCTTCCCGGATACAGTTGCAAGGACAGAGGAGCGCGGGGTTGGCGCCCAAGAGCTGGAGGAGGTTCGCCTCGTCGTCGATTGCCAATGACAACCAGCAAAAGGTGCGCTGCTGCCTTCTTTTCTGGAGTGGTGGTGGTATTAGTGGTTGTGATGATGTCGCTAACTCGGTGCGCAGATGCTCGCCTCCCACTTGCAGACGGCCGATCCCGTCATGTACGATATTATCGAAAAGGTTCGCGACTCTCTCCCCTGTGAAGCAAACTTCTGTTGCGCATGTAAACACTGACAACATTTGTTTGGCCATGTAGGAGAAGCAGAGACAAAAGCAGTTCATCAACCTTATCCCTTCCGAGAACTTCACATCCCAGGCCGTCCTCGATGCTCTAGGAAGCCCCATGCAGAGTACGTTCGGAGAGAGAGAAGATGGGACAGATCAGAAGCTGACATTCATACAAAGACAAGTACTCTGAAGGCTATCCTGGAGCGCGTTATTACGGCGGTAACGAGTTCATCGATGCCTCCGAAAGGCTATGCCAGGACAGAGCTCTCGAGACCTTTGGCTTGGATCCCAAGGAATGGGGTGTCAACGTACAAGGTGAGTATTCCAACAGCTTCTCAGAGAATGCGCCGAGCTAACATGGCCTCTCCAGCACTCTCTGGTGCTCCTGCGAACCTCTACGTCTACTCGGCCCTCATGGACACCCACGACCGCTTGATGGGCCTCGATCTCCCCCACGGCGGCCATCTTTCGCACGGTTACCAGACTCCCACCAAGAAGATCTCCTTCATCTCCAAGTACTTCGAGACCCTTCCCTACCGTCTCGATGAGAAGACCGGCTACATCGACTACAACAAGCTCGAGGAGCTCGCTATCACCTACCGCCCCAAGATCATCGTCGCCGGCGCCTCCGCCTACAGCCGCCTGATCGACTACGCCCGCCTTCGCGAGATCTGCGACAAGGTCAACGCCTACCTCATGGCCGACATGGCCCACATCTCCGGTCTCGTCGCCGCCAAGGTCCTGCCCGGCCCCTTCACCCACGCCGACATCGTCACCACCACCAGCCACAAGTCCCTCCGCGGCCCTCGCGGCGCCATGATCTTCTTCCGCCGCGGCGTCCGCCGCACCAACAAGAAGGGCGAGCCGGAGCTATACAACCTCGAGAACCCCATCAACGCGTCCGTCTTCCCCGGCCACCAGGGCGGTCCCCACAACCACACCATCGCCGCCCTCGCCGTCGCCCTTAAGCAGGCCCAGACGCCCGAGTTCCGCGCCTACCAGAGCCAGGTCCTCGCCAACGCCAAGGCGCTCGCCACCCGCCTCGGCGAGCCCAAGGAGAAGAACGGTCTGGGGTACACCATCGTCAGCGGCGGCACCGATAACCATCTCGTCCTGATCGACCTCAAGCCGCAGGGCATCGACGGCAGCCGCGTCGAGCGCGTTCTCGAACTCGTCGGCGTCGCCTCCAACAAGAATACCGTCCCGGGCGACAAGTCCGCGCTTACCCCGGGCGGTCTGCGCATCGGCACGCCCGCTATGACCACCCGCGGGTTCACGGAGGAGGACTTCCAGCGCGTGGCGGACATTATCGACCGCGCTGTGACCATTGCCGTGCGCGTCAACAAGGCGGCGAAGGAGGATGCCGTCAAGAAGGGTAACGAGAAGGCGGCGAACCGCATCAAGACTTTTATGGACTACTTGGGTAATGGCGAGACGGACCCGGAGATTGTCCAGTTGCGGAGCGAGGTGGAGAGTTGGGTGGGTACGTACCCTTGCCCTTGGGACCAGTCGTCTTAGGGTGTTGACGGACCGAGGTCGGGGGAGGTGATGATGCCGAGGTTGTTGAAAAATGATGGAAGTAATGGGAATGGCAGTGGGAGCCGGCTTAGAGGGCCGACGTTGATTGAGCTGTTGGGAACCGGCCTTGAGGGTCCTGATTCTACGGCTACCTCTTCGCCTGGGGCAGTCTCAAGGGAAGGCGAAAGTGAAGTCGAGGAAAAGCGAGCATAAAAGGAGCGATGCTGGAAGCGCGGGAAGAAAGTGGGCGAAGTGAGTTTAACAGTCACTTCCTGCCTTTGTCATTTTTTTGCTCTTCTTTTCGGTCTACGTGGTTTATATGGAAACGGTACTGGACTATCACCATGATCTGATGGAACGGAATGGGATGGATGGATGGACGGGATGTATTTGTATGTATGTATGTACGTTTTTTTGTCAGCTAGCTGCGCGCGGCCCTTTCACTTTAACATTACGGGTACGACGGCGTCAGTTTTTGTTGTTTTATATATCAAAACGGTTTATGGTTCACAAGTCAACCGTTTCTAGTGCTTGGGTGCGGACAGATCAAGTTAGCTCTCTTCGAATGGACATGGCCTTCAATCACATCAAGAAAAAGATGCCAGTGTATTCATAGAGGTAGGTATACATCAAAAAGGTTGTTTGGTTGCCATAACTCATTTTCCATACTTAAAGATTGAACATCGCCGAAATTGCTTTCACAACAAGCATACCTACCTACCTACCTCTTTTTATGCACATTGCACAGAGACTGAGATGAACATCGTTGAGCGGACGGAAAGCTTACTTACTGCAATGTCTCTTGTATATCATGGTTCTCGTTAGAAGGTAGGATTTGACTGACCTGATGTCTTCGAAATCTTTTTTCGTGTTACCTTTTTGGTTCAGTTCACTTGTTTTCTTTTTCTTTGCCTACCTATTCTTAGAGTTCCAGATTACACTTCTTCCCTTAGTTTCTTTCCTCTTTCCCTCCCTTCATTTTTGTCTCAATTTTTCCCTTAGGTAAGTATCTTGTTTCTTCCAACTACCTTAGATTTTCTACTTTATTTCCTCCATTACATACCTAGACCTAGATAGATGCTTGTTCCAAACCCCCCTTTTCTCGCTACCTACTAACTAGACTAACTGCCATCATTGTCCAAGGAAGTCCTTCAAATTCTGGTTTCTCGGTTCTCCGAGGGCATAACTCACCTCCCCAATTGGCTTGTTGGTACACTTTGCAGTTGTTTGATGACGATACGAATACTACACAATTAAGGCATATTTATTCAATTACCTCTAATGAACACTGCAACAGCACAAAACTGATTGGGTATAAACTCTTTTTTTTTTTTTTTTTTTTTTCGAATATCGTCAAGATGGGTATATCATCCAAACATCTCAGTCCGTTCTTCTACCTACCATCTTCTCATATTCCCAATCTGCCTATCTGCTCAGACTTCCCTTTCGACTACGGAACTCTCTACTTATCCTTCCCGTGATCTTTCTTAGGATCAGGAATCATCCTTGCCTCCTCGTCGTATTTGTCCTTTTCCTCATTGGTATCATCCCCGTTATCCTTAACAACAACAACAGTATTGCTCTTCCCAGCGGCATTCCCCCCCTCGCCTTCGCTCACCTTGCCAGGAGCCGTTTCCTTCTCCTTCTCCCTAGAGACACTTGTGCTAGTTTTCTCTTCTTCGGCCGGCCGAGGTATCTTCTTCCAAGCCCCAGCATCATCAACATCAGCCTCCTTTGCCTCTTCCTTTGCCTCTGACTTTTCAGAGACATTAGCAGAAGCAGCAGCCGAATCCTTCTCCCCACTAGCAGCACCACCATCCTTTTCGGCACCATCACCAGAGGCAGGACCACCAAGTACCTTTGCAACAGCACTCCTCTGCTTGAAAGCCCTGTAGTACTTGGTAAGGTATCCCTCCCCGATATGGAGTACCTCTTCGTCACCGCCAACGCTGGTGACTACTTCATGCAGAACGGGCCAGAGGGCGTAGTCGACTGGTGAGGGAACGTCGCCGCCGCAGATGTAGAAGGGTGTCAGTTGGCTGGTTGTGTCTGGTTGCTTGTCTTGGTCCCTCGAATCGTCTGCTTGTGGTTGTTGATGCTGCTCTTCAGATGCTTCCGGCGTAACTGCTTTGCTGTTGGCGCTGGTTGTCGTAGTCCCCGTCGCCGCAACAGCATATGCCTCCTGCGCATATTCCTCCCATAACGCCTTCTCCCCGAGCGCATTTAACATTTTCTCCGCCCGAGAAGTAGCGGCCTTCTCATCAATCTCTTCTGGTTTGCAATCCATGTTCCTGTCCGACCGATTAAGCAGCCAGTTCCAAGCCGTCCACAAGTCGTCCGCCTCCTCCAGCCTCGCAAACCTCTTTGCCACCTGGGCTGGGGTCATCTGATCGTACCTCCTTCCCGCCCCGTACACGGCATCCAAATACCTCAGAATACTCACGTCCCCGATCACCTCCGTCCGCGCTGAATCATTATCCACGAACTTGACTCCGACCCTGGCCTTCCTTCCTTCAGGCTGTTCCTCCTTCCAGTCTCCTTCACCGGCACCGTCACCCGAACCACCAGAGCCAGAAGCGTCAATAGCCCCCCTAGCCACACCAATCCCCATATCCGCCAACGCCAGCGCCACCCTCGTATTCTCCACCGTGCACATCCTCCCCTTGACGCTGCCAGCAAAGAACCTCTTCGGGCTGCCCATATGCAAAACATTGAACCCCCCTCCATAGTTCTTCTCCCAATCAAACTCCGAGGCATGGTTCTCGTGCCCAAACGCCTGCAGCATCCTAACCGCATCGTCTGTTTGGCCGTTCACCACCGGCTGAGCTTCGTCCTTGGTTTTTCCGACGGCGCCCTGTCCCCAGATCTTGGTTTGAGAAGAGTTGAGGAAGGTGCCGATCTGTCGGAAGGTCAGGCTGATGCGCGCGCCGGAGTAGGCCAGTTCGGAAGAGGACTTATCACGGTCGGAGCGCTTGTCGGGACGAATGGCGTGTAGCCAGCGCATGTTGGTTTGCAAGCCCATGCGGAGGAGGGAGTTGTGCGGGAGGGGGGCGCGCTGTATTTGGCGTTTGGCCTTTTCTGCTGCTGATGTTGTGGGAGTTGAAGGGGTTTCGGTCGCAGCCGTTGCTGCATCTTTCTTTTCCTTGTCCTTGGGTGGTCGCTTGGTGCGGAGGACCATGGTTCGTTCGGCGCCGAGACTGACATTGGCGATGTAACTGCCGCGGACAATGTCCAAGGTCTTGTCGCTGTGCTCGCTGATGTAATCGCTGCTGTTGCGGTAGTGCTGGATTAGGACGTGGTTGAGTGGATGGCCGAGGTGCTTCTCGATCTCGTTCTTGATGGCAAGAACGGTGGAAGAGAAGGGGAGGAGTGGTGGGGACTCGTCTGCTGGATGTCGGTATACTGGCATGTTTCCTTCGTCGTCGATGGCGCCCTGGACGGCGATGCGTCGTGGAACTTCACCGCCCAAGTGAGACATGCCGGCCCAGCTGACTTCTTCCAGAAGGCGCTCAAAGGCACCGGCGGTGAGATCAGGCGAGAGGGCATTGGTGATGACAGTAGTGTCTCCCTCACAGAGGGGTTCAGAAACGGCAGACTTCTGATGATCTTCCATGGTGTTTGATGACGTCTTTGTTCGAGTTTCTGGAGAATCGGTAGGCGACTGTGGGCTGTTGGGATCTGGCTGGTTTGGTGTTGCCAGGTTTGGAGGGGTATCCTTGATTGGTTCCTGCGCTTCGGCCGAGTTCCAATCTTTGTTGTTGCTCTGGACTTGGGATGATGAGCTTGAGAATGATCTCTTTGAGGGTTTGTCACGTCGAGATTGTGGCTTAACGGCTACTCTTGTATCCTGTGAAGATGGTGAGAGGCTGGGACCATCAATTACTTCCGTGCCGAGTACGCTTGAGGAACCAGATGGCGATTGGCTAACTCGTCCTACGTTTCGACGCATGATGGATAAGAACTCTGACTCAATGTTGTCAATTTCAACCTCTGAAGCAGATTCCAAGGGCGCAAGATCGTGGGACAAACGATTCGACAGGTCTCCACGGGTTACCATGGGCTGTGTAAGAGGTACATTAGCGTTACTGGGGGCTTGGCGTTGTTGTGGCGTGGTAGATCTGCCTGATTTTGTGGTCCTCTGCGATGGAACAGGTGGTTCGATCGAGGGAATATTGCTGGGGTCTATTGACACCTTGGCCATTGTTGGTGAAAGGCCCGTAGATTGACTTGTAGAAGCCTTTTTATTTCTGTCCTGTTTGGTTTCTTTTGCCTTTCCGGGCTTCGTGATATCCCGGCTTCCGCTCGATGGCTTTGTCCCATGCCCAGGTTTCGCCAAATTTTTGGGCTGAGCACGCTGTAACTTTTCAATGAGGGCTGGGGAGTCCAGGAGATCGCAACCCGTGAGCTTCTCTAGTTGCCGGATGGCATTGACGTGTCGCAGGTATGACCGGTAGCCGCAACAATCCTCCACGATTGTGATGTCGTAGGCATGTTTTCCAGCTTCCAGGGCGGTCGCAAAGACGCCCACATTGGTAAGGGAACCACACACGTACATGTCCGTCACAAATCGCATTCTCAGCTGTTGAACCAGTTGCGATTGGCCCGGAGGGAATGCGCTGTAGTGCGATTTGGTGGTTACGAAGTCGCGACCACGCATGATGGAGTCCTGAATGTTGGGCGGAAAATCGGCTCCTGGTGTGCCCTTCCGGACGCAGGCCGGTTTGTCAAGGCCGTCAACAACGGTAAAAAACGCCTCCTCGTCAGCTTCCATGAGCTTTTCGTCGTGCTCTTTGGAGTTGGCACGCCTTCCTCTAGCTGGTAGTCTAGAAGGGCGTATTGGTGGTATATCGGATGCTATAATGGTGTCTCCCTCGGTAGCCAGGGCGCGATGTTGTTCGAACTCGCTTCGAACCCATACAACATCGCCAGCACCGGAATCGCGAAAGACCTTGACCAGTTCAAGAATGCGATGGACGAAACCGTCTGGTTCGGTCACGGGCAAGGCACCGTCAGAAGACACAAAGTCGTTTTGGAGGTCGACCACTATGAGAGCTTTTCTGGTTGGGACGGCAGGCATGGCCGCCGCGCTGATGGGAAACATGGCGGCAGAAAGTGGAAGCTTGTGGTATATGTTGGACGATAATTGATGTAAAGAGGAGATCAGATGATGCGTAGTTGATGTTTGTCTAAATCTTTGGGACATGTCAGCAAAGTGTGACGACAGCGAGATGAGGAACAAACAATCATTACCATGTTTTCAGGATCTAGCAATCCCTATGGGCTGATGGATATAATTGTTGCACCACATGAGTGGTGCTGAGTACTGATGGGTGGACTCGGCCGAGTAAAGAGTGTCGAGTGTTGACAATTTAGACAAGAAGAAGCTGGGAATGTCGGAAGTGCATAGGTAAATACATAGGTGATGCGCCTAGGTGATGGGGATGGAGAAGAGATATGTGAGGTGAGGTGTTGAAAGTGGGTAGAGTTCAGAGGTAATCGAGACAAGGATGGAAACCTAATCGCCGGTTATCCACATCCGGGCCGTCACCACCAACGAAAGACCACATGGCCGGAGGAGAGTGGCAAGGCTAGAGGCTGAAAATTAGGTTGATAAGTCTCTAGAGCATCGAGATGAGGGAAGCAAACATCAAGAGAGGGAAATGTACCATACGCTTGTTGCGCGAACATGGGGACATTCAGCTGGAGATGTTTGGCTGTGCTCTTTTTTCACTCTCTGGTGCCAAGAATGCACGACAGGTGATGAAGCTGGCCTCTCTGGTTGGACAGCTGGCTTTTCATGTGTAGAGGAGTGTGACTTCTTTCCACTTTGGCTTTGAAACTCAAAGACAAACCTGTCAGGTACGTACCGTGACCGCTGACGAACAGGTGCCTTACAGGGGTCGGGGAGCACTTGCCGGACCAGGATGGTCGATTTTGGTTGCAGTCTCGAAGAAGTCTGCAGGGCTGGCTCCAAGACGATTGGACGGCGAGCTGGTGGGTTGGTGGAGAGCTTCGAGGGCTTCGAGGGCTTGGTGGGGCAGAACCACCATGGAAGAAGTTATTTAGAAGGAGCAACGTCCAATCCACTCCTTCTATTCGCTATCTTGTTTTCGGTCTTTGTTCTTGCTCGGGCATGATCCGAGGGTTGAAATGTGATGGTGAAACGTCCAAGTCTAACCTACTGCACTCACCACTGCATCACACCTCCTTCTGCCGATTTCATGACTTCGAGAGTCGACAGTCGAGACATCAACCGACACTCAAAGCAAACAATGATTTCAACCTCTTCTGCATATCTCTCTTTGGTCGTCTTTCTCTTCCCTCTTGGATGTCCTCTCGCGCCCTGTGATCAATACGGTATGCACAAGAGAACCAACTGAGCAATCAATCGGACACCGCCATCGGCAAGTTCCGTTGGTTACAACCATATGCACACCATACAGTAATGTCCCCTGTTAATGCAAGCCCACCCTTTTGCAAACACATACAAACTGACCCATTAGATGCAAAGATTTCTGCGGCCCGGATTCCCAGTTTTGTATGTAAGTGAGGCACCCCTTAATGCAAAAACCCCCCCTAATGCTAAGACTCCGAGCTGTCCCCCATAGTGCCGGAATTAGTTGCATTAACAGGGGACATTACTGTAGCTCTACGATATCTCGTCTTCGCGAATGGGTTATCTGTGAGTGATGAACTTCCTCGTGACCATGCTTGCCCATCCACGACCATTGCGACCACTTGGCGAGCATAAATGTAGAACCAATATTTCCACGCTCTCATGGATGACTCCCTGTTTCCGCATCACATGCACTCACACCTGGGTAGTGATAGTCGATCTTGCTGACGTGACAACAACAAGAACTCCATGTTTTCCAATAGCTTCATGCAAGGAAACCAACAGAAACTCACATGGCTACATTTCTCATGCTTGATGCGGGTTTCCATTGCTTGCTCGCTTGTTACACAGATAAGAGAACTACCCGTACCCGGTTACACACCCTGCACGTTGGCAAGGCTATCAACATCGGTCACAGAAGCCGAAATCTGGCTCGGAAGAGAGACGTCCGGCCAAAGCAAGGGTAGATGTGACGCTGCCACTTGCAGGACAGAAGCGGTATGGATGTTGACAGTAAAGAACTCACCAAAGCGGGACAACACAAAGAGATGGGGGAAAAGATGTTTGCAGGTTCAACAAACACCGCGCTTAGTTGAGGTTGGGAATCGGAATCCGCATCATACCCCTGAAGCCAACCAAGTCCTCCAACTCCACCGCAATATCCTCAAACGACGGGCGCGAGTTAACTTGAGGGTCAGCACACTGCAACTGCAGTTTCTCCAACCCTTGAGCGATGGCCTCCTCTTCCTCTTCTGTGAGTTCGCTGCTGTCCCTGAAGGCGGGAGGAGCCGCGTCGGCGACTTCGATCGCCATCTTCGCCTCTGGAGTCTGAGTTGACTTCTTCTCCTTCTCCCTCCTGATCAAACCAAGCACATCCTCCAACAGATGCGCAAAAGCCAACACTTCCAACTTCTCCATGCCGGCGTAGATGTCCTCGTCCGTGCCATAAATTGTAGCAGCACCAAAGTCTCCCAGCAAGGCATGTCTGTCTGCCTTGCTAGCCAGGATGTTGTGCGCGTACAGATCGCCATGAGCGATTCCTCTCTGATGGAGATGAGCGGCCGCTCCAGCAATGCCTGTCAACATCCCCAGCGCCTCAGCCGCGCTCAGCGAGGCGTCCTCTGGGAAGCAGTCACGGCTGCACGTATCAAAAGAAGGCGGCAGCCCAAGAGCCGAGTAGTACTCCGGAATCAACTGCATCACAATCCCTCCTTGGAACTTCTTCTTCTCCTCCTCCCCTTCAGCAGCACCCCCCTCGCCTCCTTCAACAACCTCATCAGGATGCCCAACCACCCTCCCCAAAACCGTAATCAACCCCTCATGAAACCCCGCCGCCAGCACCGCCGCCATCTCATCCTTCGGCGTCCCATCGCTCGTCACGCCGCCCTTGAACACCTTGATGGCCACCTCCTCCGCGTACTCCTCGCTCTGCTTCCACAAACCCCTGCTAATAACCCCCGACGCCCCCTCGCCCAGCGTCTCCTGCACTTGAAGGTTCTTCCACTCGATCCTCTCCAAATCAAACCTCTTCCCCGCCTTCGCCGTCGCCGCGCTCGTCTGCTCCTTGACACAAGGATTCCCCGCAAACGACAAGAACGCCAGCTTTGGTAAGTTAAACAACCACTCCGGGATGCTCTCGAACCGGTTCGCGCTCAACCTTAGCAGCGCCAGGTTTTTACACCCCGTCGCCATCGACTCTGGCAAGCTGCTCAACCGGTTCCCGGATAACATGCACTTCTCCAGCCTCTCGCACTTGCCCAAATCCTCAGGTAGCGTCGAGATCTGATTATCCGTCAGAATCAACCACCTCAGATTTTTGGGCAAGGAACCCTCCGGGATGGTAGTCATGCCGTTCGACCGGAAGGCGACCATCTCTAGGGAAGGACATTCCGCCAAAACGGAGGGAAAAGTGGTGAAATTGTTGGAAGACAAAAACAGGATGCGCAGGTTGGGAAGGGAGGTGCCGAATTCGGACGGGAGGGAGGAGAGGCCCGTGGAAGAGAGGTCGAGGTGCGTGAGGGTGGCGCCGAGGGTGAGGATGGCGGGGGGCAGGCCCGAGGGGAGCGGGCAGGTTAGTTTGAGGTGGGTGGTGGAGGCGTAACCGCCTGTGTTGAGGGTTTCGAGGTCGTGCATTTTTGTTGTCGGAATGGGGGTGTTGGTGGGCGGTGGGTGGTTAGAAGAAAGGATTGACTTGGGTAAGTAATTGGTGGTTGTTGTTGTTGTTTACAAAGGAGTGTTGTGACTTGTGAAAGCGTGAAGGCATTCACGAGGTCAAATTGTTAGTGAGTTTGATGCATGGAGGTATCCGCTTGGTGGAACCCGTTTTCCACCTTGGCGGATCCATCGTGCCCCAGAAAAGAGTGCGATAACGATAAGAGGAGGGTCCACATTGGACGGCATGGGCAAAATGGATGCTGACATGAGATGGATTTGTGCTCAGATTAAAGCAAATCGAAGTCCTTATTATTGTTCGAATGTCCTCTTGATGATTCTCGTCTTTTCGTTTCCTGTCGTTCTGTCTACAGCAACTGTCTGATCTCCCTGCACGAGTAAACAAATGTTCCCGGCAGGCAAGTCCCAAATAGTACTAGCGCCTGGCCCAAGCTGCAAGGCTGGTGAATGTGCTTTTGACATCAGCTTGGCCTGTGCGTGGGTGATCCCCGACCGTTGAATCCATTTCCCAATTCAGCTTTCATTCATCGACTGCAAGGTGCAACCGCGCCAGGCCTTATCGATTCGTCAAGAAGCTCTCAGTCCGCGACTTTCCAACATCTTTGCAGCAGCCAAATCAACCTTCCACAACTACCATATTTCATACGACCACAGAACGAGCTTTTGTCAGTACGGATTAGCGCCCGATATAAATACCATTGGCAAAACGTGTCGTCTGCCTGGCTTCGTCCCCCGCTCTCGTGGACAACAAACCATCAGCCATGGCGACCGACTCGCGCAAGAGACCTGCGGACGCAGAGGGAGCGCAACCGTCACAATCTAAACGACCAAAGACCAACACATCAATACGAACAATTCTTGCAGTCGAGGCGATCGGAAAATCGCCAAATGCATCGACAGCACCCACTCCCGACGGGCTGGCGAAGAATGGACTGAGACGGAGCATCGCGCTGGCGCTGGAGACGGTCGGCTTCGACGGAGCCACGCCCGAAGCAATAGAGAGCTTTACTATAATGACGGAGACGTGTATGCCGCCTGCGCTGAGGCTGCCCCGCGTCACTATGTCTTCATGCTAACCTCACCCTGGGCAGACCTCCATTCGTTAACCGAAGAAGTCAAGGCCTTTGCAAACGCCTCGCGCCGCTCCTACCCGATACCCAAGGACTTCGAAAACACATTGAAGCGTTTCAACCTCACACCCACAGCTCTATACTCCCACAGAAAACCTCCGATATCGAAGAAGAAGCGACAACCAGTGTGGGAAGATCTCCCTCTAGACGCCGCCATCCCCACCGACCTCCCCGTCCTCGCCCCCGAACTCGACGGCGCCGCAGACAAGGCAGCCAAGAACTACATACCCAGCTCATTCCCCTCCTTCCCCAGCGTCCACACCTACAAATACACACCCGAAAGCGTCGAGGCCGCCACGGCGGTAGACGATAGCATCATGACCGACACACAAGCCACCGCCACCATCACCCAGACCCAAACGATGGTCGAATCCCAGGCAGCAGCAGCAGCAGCAGCAGCAGCCCAACAATCACAACTACCAACCAAGATCCCCCAACGACCACTGGCACCCGACGAGATCCCCCGCGGCGATCCTAAGAAGATCCGCGAAGCCGCCGCCAAGGAAGCCAAGGCCGGAGAGCAAGCTTTACGCCGCCTCATGCGCGCCAGCAAGATCGCCAAGCAGAAGGACGTGTCGGCCACAGCGCAGCGGGAGCCGGCCAGAAGGGAGCGGTACGCGCTGTGGGAGGCGGCGATGCGCGAGCTGGTGGAGGACGACACCAAGGCGAAAGGCAGGGAGGTGGCGCCCGCGGCTATGCATAGCCAGCAGGGGAGGGTCGAGATTGCGGACCATAGCATGATTGTTAATGCGGAGAAGGGGTATTATAGGAAGGAGGTGGCGAGGCCGGGGGTGAGGAAGTTGGCGGGGGAGTTGGCGGGGAAGTGAGGCGTGAGATTATGAAGGTGATGGCGCGAGGGCGATGGTGAAGATGGCTACAAGGGAAGAGGTCACGATCAGGAGTGATTTCTCTCGGGAGTTCGAGGATGACGAGGCTACTATGTGGGAGTGGTAGAGATCGAGGCTGATCATGATGATGGCTATGGTCTTGCGAGGACAATGCGCATGGAGGCTGGAAAGATTGACATGCGAAGAGAGGGGTGTGGTGACCGGTCATGATTAGTCTACGGCTATGAAGATGGCACCGAGCTGTTTTTGCTTGATTCAAAAGGCATGGGGAGTTATAGGGACGGCGCATCATTGACAGCATTAGCATTTGTCGTCTTTCTCGAGTTTATACAAGATACCCATACGGACATATAAATAGACGGACATTGGTCTATACAGCGGATGTTGCCTGGTTCCGGTGTTATGCAATGGCACATGATTGATAAGTAGTCAGTATTAGGCAAGATATCATAGGCCACACCGTGCTGAACATGGAGCATATTGAGCATCTTTGAACTTGACATTGAATGCCACAGTAAACAACAACTTGGATTCTTTGTCCACTCCAGCTCAACGCCGTCTGATGCGAGCCGACCAAACAGAATTTCGATCCGAAGATCTGCCTATTTCTCCAATGCTATTATTGAGTGCAGTCATGGTTGAACCTTGGATGGATCTGTTTGTCATCGACCGAGGAAGTGAGGCTCTCCAAGTACACTAATTGAAAGCTGCCAGCTTTTGCCGGGCCGGCAATGACACAGTGCACTTGCAGTGACGACACCGCACTGCAGTTCCGGGCAGGCCGCAAATTGCACTTTGCAGTTTGCACTGTCTGCCACACTTCACCCATTTTGGGGGAGGCCCAGGCCAGCCATTTCGAGGCGACAGCGCCAAGGCGGCAACAGACCCCACCACCCAGCGACCGCAGTTGGCGTCGGCCGACCCTATTTTCCGCCGCACAAAAATTTCCGGAATTCCTCGTCTCGTCGCCTGTCTCCGCATTGTGCCTTTGACGATTTCTGACCCGCGCAGAGGCACCGTGAAAAAGCTCACCCATTCTCCCATTGATCCGTCCCCCTGATCAACCAGAAAGGAACACAAGATGGCTGAGCAACTCATCCTCAAGGGCACCCTGGAGGGCCACGTAAGTTTCTTTTCTTGCCAATTCCTCGCTGATGTTGCTGCTGTTGCTGCCATGTTTGTTGTCGACGTTGCGCTGGTGGGCAGGTTGAGAAGGACCGCGGTGGGCGCAAACTGAAAAGGGTACTGCGAAGACGACAAGTTGGGCGACGACGATGGGGACATGGCAGCAAAGCAGACAGCAAGCGATTCGTGAACCACATGGAGAGATGTGGTGGGAAAGCAAAGCGAAGCCAGAAAACTAACCACAATATCTTTTACAGAATGGCTGGGTCACCAGCTTGGCCACCTCTTTGGAGAAGTACGAAACCACCATCACCACCGAATAACCGCACACTCCGCGCGAAGATCATGAACTTACAATGCTCTCGCAATTAGCCCCAACATGCTCCTTTCTGGTAGCAGAGACAAGTCCCTCATCATCTGGAACCTCACCCGCGATGAGACCTCGTACGGCTACCCCAAGCGCCGTCTCCACGGCCACTCTCACATCGTCTCCGACTGTGTACGTTAATACTCGAGCCGACATTGAATTGGCGGAGGATTGTTGATATCTGGAATCGGGGGCAGTTTGACTGATTGGCGCGGCAGGTGATCTCTTCCGACGGTGCCTACGCCCTCTCTGCCTCGTGGGACAAGACCCTCCGTCTCTGGGAGCTTTCCACCGGCACCACCACCCGCCGTTTCGTCGGCCACACCAACGACGTTCTCTCCGTCTCCTTCTCGGCCGACAACCGCCAGATCGTCTCCGGTTCCCGCGATCGCTCCATCAAGCTGTGGAACACCCTCGGTGACTGCAAGTTCACCATCACCGAGAAGGGCCACACTGAGTGGGTTTCCTGCGTCCGCTTCAGCCCCAACCCCCAGAACCCCGTCATTGTCTCCTCCGGCTGGGACAAGCTCGTCAAGGTATGTTGTAACCTGCTTTACTCCCCAACCCCAAAACCGATACCATGATGCATGCATATTTTTTTCATAAAATAGTATTTGCTACTTCAGAGCCTTCGGGCCATGAGACCAACTTCACACGCACTGATTTTCTCGGAAATCTAAACTCCTATCACAAACTGCATGAGATTTCGAGAGGATTTTGCGACTAACAGTCTCAAACAGGTTTGGGAGCTCTCGTCCTGCAAGCTCCAGACCGACCACATCGGTCACACCGGCTACATCAACGCCGTCACCATCTCCCCCGATGGCTCCCTCTGCGCTTCCGGTGGCAAGGACGGTACCACCATGCTCTGGGACCTCAACGAGAGCAAGCACCTTTACTCTCTCAACGCCAACGACGAGATCCACGCCCTCGTCTTCTCCCCCAACCGCTACTGGCTCTGCGCTGCCACCTCCAGCAGCATCATCATCTTCGACCTCGAGAAGAAGAGCAAGGTCGACGAGCTCAAGCCCGAGTTCCAGAACATCGGCAAGAAGTCCCGCGAGCCCGAGTGTGTCTCCCTCGCCTGGTCCGCCGATGGCCAGACCCTCTTCGCCGGTTACACCGACAACATCATCCGTGCCTGGGGTGTCATGTCCCGCGCTTAAGCGGAGACGTCGGAGCCGGGACTGGTTGGCTAGGGGACGTTGTGGACGGGAGGCTTGCTGCGCGGTTTCTGTCGGCAGTCCGTGAAGGACGCCGCACGCGTCGTGCTGCTGCTGCATCAGGGCAATTTCGAAGGATTCCATGGTAAAGGCGTATCTCGGAACTGCTTTGTATCGTCTTTGCTTTCTTTCATTTTAAACATACCAAAATGAAAGGACAACTGGGAGCTATGGGAAAAAGTTGCATTCTAATGTCACGCGAACGGGCCTCTACGTGCAGCGTATTTTGGTCCACCTATGGCAATGAATGATAACGAAGGCCAAGATGAACCATCTGTTGTGTCCCTTTGTTGTTGCTGTGAGGTAATGTGTCAAGTGATTGGGGCCATGGTGTCTGGTGATGTAAATTAGGATTAATGTTGTCCTCGGTGTGTCTCTGTGAGTTGTGAAGGTCCTGATATCTGTCTCAATTGTAAAGATCCCGCTCGCGTCGCCTTCCCCAATGTAGGTAGCCATTCCAAACCATCTTGGAAGTCTCCCCAACCATACATGCATGCAAAGAGACCTTTCCCTTCTACTCCCAACCAACACATCGATCGACCTCATCCCCCCTTCTCGTTACCGTCCAACTTGCACCTCCTCAAACTGATAGGGCCCCTTCACATCTCCCTCCCAGGGCCCATTTCCATTTCCATTTCCATTTCCATTTCCATTTTCATGCCCATGACCATGACCACCCATCTCACCACTACCATCCCTTCTTCTATCTCCCTCACCCCTATCTCTCCCCCTTCCCCCTACCGACCCCGAACCGCTACTACTAACATGGCCATAATCGACCCTCGAAACCCTCAACTCCTCCAACGGGACTTGAACAACCCAAGAATGATGATCCTGGCATTCTCGTTCCAAATCCTCCCTCCTCCTCTGACGTCTTCGTCCCTCCCGCCACTGCAAAAAACAAACGGTCACGAAGGTGATCAACACCAGGACGAGAACGGTGTCGATTATCGCTGTTAGGGTGTACCCCTGGGTGGGGGAGAAGAGGGAGTCGGCGTCTGGGTCGTTCTCATTTTGCTGGGTGTTTGGTTGAGTGTCTGGTTGTTTGGATATGGGTGTGAGGGTGGAAGCGGGGGAGAAGGGTAAGGGAGAGGGAAGAGAGGGGGTAAAGGTTGTGTTGGTGAGTTGGTTTAGCTGAGTGGGGAGAGGTTGAGTTAGTTAGAGGTAGTTAGTTAGGGTATGTTATTGTATGTATTCTAGAGATGTATTCATGGGTTGGGTTGGGGATAGAGAGTTGTGAGTTGGTAGGGATGAATGAGTAGGTTGGGTTGGGATTGGTATGTTGACTAACCTGTATCATCGCATCTTATCTTCCCCCCTTCTACTTCTCTCGTCACTTCGGAGGACTTCGGAGGTAATCAATCTATCGATCTCTGTCTGTATGTATGCCTCGGCGCAAACAAACAACCAAGTGGACCGGGATGATTTTTAGAAAAAAAGAAAAAAAACAGACGAGTCCTTGTAGTGGCCCAGAGAAAACCAGTCCAAGTGATGACCTAGAGATAGTGTATACGAGTCTCGCGAGTTAACCCAAAGAATAGGTAGGAAAAAAACCACGGACGGACGGTTCAAAAGTTCAAAAGTTCAGACCAACCAACTATGCAAACTGAATGAACCAAGTGCCCGCTTGAAAAGAGACGAGAACCAGATGAGAAAAAGAAAAAGAAAAACAAACAAAGGGAGTCAGTCTTCCAGGACCGACCGAAACAACCAGACCCCGACTCGGGAAATAGCCCATCCATCCACACGTACAACTTAACTCAACCTACCTGCATTGCCGACTTCATTTGTGTAGAATGAGCCAGGAATAGATAGACGTCTAGTTTGCTTTTTCTGTGGCCATGCATGTTCTCTAAAGCCATCCATCAGTGGACAAAGTGACACCGTCACACATTTCCCCCCTTGTGTTCAAGTCCAGTCCAGTCCTATATTTGCTTCTACATAGATGTACCACCACTAACGGTGGCTTTTGGCGTAGGGCGACACGACATCCGATGTGTTCATGTTGACAGCCTCAAAGTTCGCAGTAACCATCTTTTCGGCTCAACTACTTACTGTGTACGAGTTCGTCATGGTGAGTGTTTGGGCTACTGTGTTAAGGACGAGCGAGTCTTATAGGCCCAAGAGAAAATTTTCCTCACGACACGACACACCGGGAACGTTTCGCATTCATGTTGCGGGGGGTGGGTGTCTTCTTAAACGAAGTGCCAAGTAAACGTTTTTTTGGTAAGGTAGGTACTGATAAAAGTTAAGTAATTCCAAACGCTGTTCTCCTCTATCCATGTTTCCTATCATCCTACTCCATATAAAAACAAAACCAAAACCGCTGATGATAACAAAAAAAGAAAACCATATCAACCTCAACAACTCCCCTTCTACATCCCGTCTCCGTGTTTGCCCTGTTCCTCCAATATCTGTTTCTGTGACCCTTCCTCTGTTTGCCCTTCCTTTGATTGCTCTTCCTCCGTATGTGTCCCCTCCTCTTCCTGTCCGTCCGTAACACCACTCAAGGATACCTCAAGCGAGATATCCACCTCCTCCTCGCTCCTTGTTACCAAGGTCTGTGTGTTACGGTCTGTGTTGTCATGGACTTGTACGCGTTCTCTGCCCGATCCCTCCAAAGGTGCAAGTGTTTCCCTCAGGAAGCGTCTGAACCATGAGGGCTCCCATGATCTTACACTTACATTGTCGGTGGAGTACACGCTACTGGCTGTACATCGTCCTCAGCATCAGTATGTCGACTGAAAATATATCTTGGAAAATGTAAAGGGGATGAGCTACTTGTAGACACAGCGCGAAGATGTAGCTTACGAAGCGGAGAGTACACGGGGGGAAAAAGCCAAGATATATACCGCGCTCGGCGGGTGTGTGTGATATGTGCAACCAAGGAAGAGATATGGCCATAACAAAGTCGTGCGAGGACAAATGAAACAGAATATGTGAAGACTTGATGCAAGCTCAACTCACCTGGCCTAATGCTCGGTTGGCCCGAAGAACCACTTCCGCCTTCTCCATTGCCTTCTATTACGCCGCCGGGTTCTTCATTTATTAGCTTCTCCATTAGCTTGCCCCACTATCAGGCGGATGGGCTGAACTCACCTCCTCGAAGCGTATGTGACGCTCTTGCCCATTGGCTGGTTGCGTAGTGTTGCCAGTATTAACAACCGCCCCGGCCGTCGTATTGGCGGTCGCAGCACCCGTCCCTCTCCCATTCGCAGGTGAAGATACCGCTGGTCTGGTCCTAGATCTAGAGGTCGTTAGGCTAGCTGGTTGCGTAGTATTACCAGTATTAACAACCGCCCCGGCCGTCGTATCGGCGGTCGTAGTACCCGTTCCTCTCATATTCGCAGGTGAAGAAGATACCGCTGGTCTGGTTAGAGGAAATCGCCTAGATCCAGAGGTCGTTAGGTTAGCTGGTTGCGTAGTGTTGCCAATATTAACAACCGCCCCGGCCGTCGTGTCGGTGGTCGTAGCACCCGTCCCTTTCCCATTCGTAGGTGAAGAAGATACCGCTGGTCTGGTCCCAGATCCAGAGGTCGTCTGGGCCTGTGAAGAAGAAGGAGCCGGTGCTCTAATTCCAGATGCCGAGGACGAAGCCTGTGCAGAGGACGAAGCCTGCGCCCCGCTCTCAGACGTGGAGGACTGCCCGGGTGGCTTAGTAGTACCAGAAGCATTGGATGATGGTACAGCTGTCCGGTCTTCGGCTTCAGGCTCCGCGTCGGCTGCAGGCAGGCGGCCACGGGGGCGGCTACGCGGGCGGCCACGTTCGAGGTCATCCAGTGGTATATTCTCGGGCCTATCCCCGGCTGGGGGGTCTGGCCTGTTTTCATTCCTTGGCCTGTTTTCATTCCTTCTCCTTTCTGCGTTTCGCCAAGGGTCATAATCGCCTGGTCCCTTGGCCCCGTTCGGTACCCAAAAGAGCTTGTCAACTCGGAAAATGGCGTAAGCATACACGACGACAGTTTCGATGCTGAAGTTGAAGATGTAGAAGGCGGCGCGGCTGTGGTACCAAGCCGCGTGGCCGAGCGGACGTGCATCAAAGTTTGCCCCAAGTCTGAAGCCGGCACCTAGGGTATTCAGGGTCGAAGCGAACAACAACACCTAGATCTTGCGTAGCAGCGTTCCCTCTCCAAAGTTCTCAAGCTGATTGGCTTCAAGTTCAACGGCGGTCTTGAAAAGGGACCACAGGAGGTATCCAATGGCGACAACAGGGAGAAAAGCTGAGCTGGTTAGCCAAGTGCTCCCGGAGAGCAGCAAGATACGCTCAGCGCGGTGAGTTTTGGCGTCGAGGGTAAAGAAGTAATGCACCGTCGTGACGATGACGATAAGCAGGGCAGAGGCGATGCTTCCGAGGATGACCCAAAAGATCTTGTTCATACGTGGGTTCCAGCCCAGGCGTGGCTGAATTGCGCGGAGGAGGCGTTGGGTAAAGAAGAGGTTCACAATGATGAGGATCACGCCGCCAAGAAGGACCATAACGTTGGCAGCAATTTCAAGGCGAAGGTTGTTCGGTTGTGATGCCCAGGCCATACGCATCGAGAGTGCCGTAATCCGGGCCATACAAAAGCCGTAGAGTAGCACGGAAAAGATGAACTTGTGGTTGCGGCGTCTGTTGCATCTGAACACGGACATATGCATAGCGGCAGCCACGATGAACAATAACAAGAAGATAATGCAGGGGAATAAGTCGTGATTGGAGGAGGGTATTCCACCGACCGGGGCATACGGAGGGAGATATGACGACCCGGAGGAGCTTGCCTGATCACGGTCATTATTAGCAATTGCGTTGACAACACCTAGTTTGCTGGTCAGTTAAAGGGAGGAAATCCTTACCGTCTCCTTGGCCGATTCTTGTATGCGTGAGGGACACATGCTTGATCTGTTGCAATGGCTAATGAGGCTGATAATGATGGCGAATCGAATAAGTACCAAGACCTGGGGTCGAAGACAAGTAGCGAATGTAAATGTAACACTTTCAAAGCCCACGCCGGATCCAAAGAAAGACCACGAGATGGTGAGGAAACGGGGTAACAAAAAAGCAGTTGTTGAATAAGTGAACTTGAAAGAAGTCATCCAATAAGCCGGGATCATCACTCTTGCCGAGGCGGCGTCCAGTCATTCAAGAAATGGGGTGTAAAGAGCAATGCACTACATTGCCTTTGACAACTGAAGCTGCGTAGAATATTGGTCCTTCCTCGAGAAGAGGATCATTGAGACAACGAGGCCCTGACGATAGAGGAACTGCCTGTACTCAACGGAAGGAGGCACTCGTGATATCTTTATGGATTATTGAGAGTAGCAACCTCCTGAGAGGACATGATGTCTGCAAGGAGTGACCTTTCATAAGTTCCAACTGCCTCTCCAATGAAGGACCGTGGAGTGTCCCAGAGTGGTCATTGTAATGCATCTCGAGTAGGACAACCAGTTCGCGCTTGATAATGCCCTTTTCTGGCATCTCTCGAGAAAAAAAAGTAAACAAGGTACTGAGAATGTCACGATGATAAGATACCATTGTCCGTATGGTGATAGGTAAGGAAGGTTGATGGGAGGTCCAGGGCAGGCATGAACAAGTTGAAGTTGGAAGTTAGATGTCGAGTTGAAGTTCGATCCTCACAATTGCCAAGACTTGGGGTTGGTCCTTCTGGGCCTTAAATGTGGGGCCTCCCTTCACTGCTGCAAGCGCTGCCGTTCGGTCAGAAGCCGTTGTCGTTGGCCGCAGAAACGCGGAAAGCGGAACTTGCCGTCGAGAATTTTGTTTCCACTTTCTCACTGCAGCGAGTCCAGTCCGGCCGACCACTACCGTCCAGCCCGTCCGTCGTTCGTCGCGTCCCCCCGATCCGAGCTCCGTCTTTCTGTTTAGAGAGAGAGGCCCGATTGCCAATGCCATCCACATCGGCACCATGAGTCTCAATGTGCCGTCCAGGCGGCTCCTGAAGAGCGGTTAGCCACCACCACCCCTCCTCCCCCACCATTGCGTTTTCTTTATCATGTTCATCATCGTCGTCGTCGCCATGTCCAATAAATCCAAATAAATTCAAAGACTAACACTCAGGCTCCCTGCCTTGCAACATAAACAGCAGCCTCCCCCTCCTCTGCCAACGCCCTCGTCCCGGCTCTCCAATCCCTCTCCATCACCGCCGCCGGCCCTACCACCATCAACACCCGATCTATCCACACCACCCCCTCCCAACAATGGAGTCTCTTCGGCTGGGGCAAGCAGAAGATGGAAGAGCGTAAGAAGGTCAAGGAGGACCTCAAGCAGACCGAGCTCGCTCGCACCAGGAAGCCCACCCAGGAAGAGATCATCTCGCGCGTCCGCGGCCGTCTCGAAGGCGACTCCATCTTCGCCGACACCACCCCTTCATCAGAAGCCGATGGCCTGGCCGCCGAGCAGGACAAGTACAAGGACTGGGCGACCGCCAGCGCCGAGAAGAAACTTGCCGCAGCGCAAGCCAAGGACCAGACGGCGACGGGCATCTCTCTGAAAAAGGACCATTTGGTGCGCGTCGTCGACCCGGACCCGCGCTCGCGCGTGCGGTGGGAGCGCAAGATGGTGATCCGCAAGCTGCAGCGGGGCACGGACCCGTGGAGCGTCGAGCCCAAGGCGGAACGCATCGCGCGCACGGAGCGCAAGCTGGTGTACAAGACGGGCTACCTGCCGACCTCGGTCAAGAAGCTGGTGCACCTGTCGCGTCAGATCCGCGGCAAGACGGTGTCGGAGGCGCTGGTGCAGATGCAGTTCAGCAAGAAGAAGATGGCCAAGGAGGTCAAGAACGAGCTGCTCAGGGCCGAGGCGCAAGCCATTGTCACGCGCGGTATGGGCTTGGGCAAGGCTGCTGCTGCCGCCCAGAAGGAGACTGGCGCCGAAGTTCAGGAGCCCGTCAAGATCCAGACCAAGGACGGCAAGCACATGGAGATCCGCGACCCGACGCGCATCTATGTTGCCGAGACTTTCGTCAACAAGGGTTTCATCAGAGGTGTTGAGATCGATTATCGTGCCAGAGGCAGGGTGTTCAAGATGAACAAGCCTACTACTAGTGAGTCCAATGCTTTTTTTTTCCCTTCTTCCTCCCTTCCCCCCTGCTTCCTTGACTTTCCTTCCCCCCCCCCCCCTCTCACTTGACTTTCCTTCTCTCCCCCCCCTCCCGTAACTTCTCCTCCCCCTCCCCCCCTTCCCCCCTTCCACCCCCCTTCCCCCTCAATAACAAATTCGAACCCAAAACCCAAAAACTAACACCTTCCTTTCTCCCCCACCTCTAGCCATGACCGTCGTCCTCAAGGAAGAAAAGACGCGCATCCGCGAGCACCAGGAGCGCGTCGCCAAGAAGCTCCGCCAGGGTCCCTGGGTTCACCTTCCCAACCGCCCCGTTACTTCTCAGCGCCAGTTCTACTCTTGGTAAAGCCTCCGACCCGTCTGTACACACAAAGTAAATGTGTGTGGCGGCTGGCTGCTGGCCTGCAGTTGGTAGATTACTTAACCTTTCCACTCTCGCTAAATGTCCATGTCCCATGTCAAGGAAAAGAAAGGAGTGGATAGTCACATGCACATGATGACAGATGAGGATGTTGGTAAGAATGGGGTTTTTGAGAACGAACGGGCTGTATGTATGTACGAGTAACAGACAGGCAGACAGGCAGGTAGGCAATGCCGGAGCGAAGGGAAGGAGTTCAAGTTAGGTTGGAAGGAGAAGAGAGGCCTCCAGTCCTTCCTTCTTCGCTTTCGTCTACGGTACCCTGTCGTTTTGTAAAATAGATCGCAATATACCAAGAAAGCCACCCGGACTGCATCCATGCGTCACGAGAGAACCCGGTACCCGATGGCTATACCACGCAAGCCACTCTGGCGCCCTACCAGGAGCCCACGCTGGAGAGTCCTTCGTGTCCCGACTGTAACGGCAAGTGGCGTGGATATGTATTGATTCTTGATGGTTTGATTACTCGCACGCTTCGAATGCACAATTACTGAACGATGTCAGCCTTCAAATAGGTTACGATCAACTGGAAGATATCCCTCAAGTTATCAGATAATCATGTTCATAGTAGCGAGTCTGTCAAATATGTACAGGAAATTCCAAGCTAGAAACCAAGCAACATGTCCGTGTGTCGACATCCGACTACAAACCGCCCAAGACTTTGGTAATACAGAGACCGGCTATATATGCCCCTAATCTTTGGTCGCCTGTAAGCGTACATGCTCGCTGTCCATCGCTGATCAAAACACTCGCTGTATTGTTTTGTCCTTTTTGATTTTGCTTTTTGTCTTTCCTCATCCTGTTAATCACATCTCCTCCCATACATCACTTTTTCACTGCTAGTGCAAGTTTACACCATGTTCCTCGGCTGCTGTCTAGGCAGCATGTCCTCATACCTACGACTCTTCATCTCCAACTCGTTCTCGCTCATGATGGTGATGCCGCCGTGGCTTGTGTCCCTCGAGAAATTGTTGTGGCTGTACGGATCGCTGGCATAATGGCGTCCACCCGCCACAGGGTCCGAGATCTTGATATGATCTTTCGGCGTGCTGCGCTTGCGGAAAAGCACAAGGGCGAGGGTGATAAGCAAGACCAGGGATCCCACTCCGATGCCAGCACCAATGCCGGCTTTAGCACCTTTCGAGAGTCCACCAGCGGCATCATCATCCTCGTCCTTGTCCTTGGAGGTTGATGCCGGGGCAGAAGCGGAAGAGGTGCTGGAGCCTCCAGTAGGCACGGGGACAATCGCGCCGGCTCCGGTTGATGTTGCTGATTCGGAACTCTCAGTAGTGGAAGTGGCGGCCTGGTTTAAGGGTTAGTTTCTTGTCGATGTGAAAAGACTTCGACTAGCTTACTGTTGACGGAGCCGTCGCACTTGTGGCCGCGGCATCCGTCGGGACAGAAGTCGGCTCAGTAGATGAGCTCACTGCAGAAGGCACAGAAGAGGCAGCAGCGCTAGTCTCGGGTGCCGTAGTACTCGCCGGCGGTGCCGCAGCATCGGAGTTTGCGGGAGCCGCTGAAGTTGCGGGCGGTGCCGCAGCAGGAACCGTCGCGGCTATTGAACCATGTCAGTTCAATCTATCCAAGCTGTTTCTTTCGCGATTCCAGGTTCTGTTTCAACTTACTTGCACACACAGCATGAGCTGCGGCTACAGCAGTACCAGCGTACTCATCGGCTTGCGCGCCAAACTCAGCCTGGCAAGCCTTACTCGCACAGTCATGGACGGCGTTGAAAAAGTCGGCGTTGGGGCAAAGGCACGCCATGCTAGCCTGATCGGCGCCAGTACACTGCGCAAATCCATCACGGGAAGAGTAGTAGCAATTTTGCTATAAAACAGTCAGTGAGGCTTCAGACGCTGGAGAGCAGAAAGTGATGACAGTCGCGCAGTCATGTTTATACATGGACATCGCGTCCCTTGGATGTTAGGTGACAGGGTGAGCTAAGAGTGAGAGCACTTACAGCACACGTGGGCAGACTGTCGACGGACTGTCCAGTAACCAGCACAGCTGCGGCGAGCAGCGCCAGAGTCTTGAGGATCAACATGGCTATCTATCAGATGTGGGTGAAGTCGAAGGGAAAAGTGAAAATGGTGTAAATCGATGGTGGTTTGGCGCCAGACGTTATGAGGTCCTGGTGAAGACGGAAGCGACACGCGATGGCGGCAACCGTAGCGTGTCTCTCTCAAGACGATCTGAGGTGAAAACGATGACGAAGCTTGTCTGAGCCACTGCAGACTCTCGAAATCCCTTGTTGATGCTTTCCAAGGTGAGCTCCGTGGGTAGGTAGGACCAATCTCGTATTGTGGCACAGCCAGGTCAAGGGTGACTCTCCCAGCTGTCGAGGATTTTGAGACGGGAAGACCGAAACGCGCAAGAGAAACACCGGCTCTTGTCGAAAGTGATGGCCAAGTTGTTGGTAGGTAGAAGGTAAGTGAGTTCCGTTTGGTTGGAAAGAAAGCTGAAACGTAAACCAGGGCGGACTTGGAGAGAAACGCGACGAAAAAAGATGAAATGACGTGAGTCGTGAAGGAATGTACAATCTTTGGAGAAAGAAATTGTCCAGGTATTGTGACCTATTGAAGAGGGAGGACCCGTCCGAACACCACCGGCAGTATCGAAGATCAGGTATTGTAGAGAATGACTATGAAGTGAAAGTTGAATGAATGGAAGTTGTTGCTTGTGATATCGCCGAGTGTACTTGGTCAAAGAAAGAGACGGAAACTCTCGGTCGACGTCGTCGGTGCCGATGCAATCACTCGGTCAGATTCATGCCATCACGAAAAAAGAGAGGAATCGCAGTTCGATATGGAGAGGGAGGGGAAGGCGCGAATAATAAGAGAGAGCCAAGCTCAACAATACCGACAAGGGAGGATGAATAGGTAAGTAGGATGGGCCTTGCTAGTCCTCGTGGCTTCCGTCTCGAGTTCGAGTTCACTTTCACTTCTCTTAATTCTCCGTCGAGTGACAGGGCTTCCTGACTTTACACGCCTGGTCCATATCCACCCTGGCCACTCCTGCCATTTCTGGGATAACACGGCAAAGCCTATTGCTCGAGTCCGATCCAAACATTTCAGTTCCCCGTGATGCGCAAAATACCGCGATCTTCAAGTGTCCGTCTGGCAAGAGCAATGGCATGCTGCGGCTTACCTAGACTGCTGAGTGAGGAGCATGCTCGAGGAAGGCGCACATGAAATGTCACATCTGGACTTTGGAATGTTCCCGCTCATCTGGGCCCATCTGGGATTGGAAGGTGCCTTGCGGATTACGAGCAAGGCAGTGAGGGGGGACGGGAGGGCGTCACAGAGAACTTTACTTTTGGTACCTGGAATGGAGGGATGTTGAAGAGAGAAGATGGTCATGCCTTCCAATCTTTCTCAGCCCCCTCCACACAAAAGTGAGCGGGTCCAAGGGCACATCCCTGCAGTTCTGCAGCAAACCCCTGCCAAGACTTTGGAGGTGGGTACTCCCGTCGGACGTTGGTGACGCTTTGAACCATGGCCGATGGATTGATCGCTTCGAGGATGGAGTTCATCTCAAGTCCCTGGAATTGACGATACCGCTGACATATTGGCATTTTGTGGTGGGAATGGCGGCCATTGCATCGCAGCGTGGTAGCAGAGATCTATCTTTGCAATGATGGCTCACCTAAGGCTGACCTGTACCAGTTTTAGACGCGTTCTATAGACCGGGTTTTGGATATAGTGTTTGGGTTTTTCGGGACTCGACCAGTTTCCACGTTTATGCTTGGGTGACATGGTTGCCATATTTGGAGGGGCTGAAGGGCTGTTCGGTACAGTATTACATACCAATGTGTACGTGTAAGATGTATCAGACCACCAGTTATTACTTTGCAAGGGTGAGAAAGTGAGAATGGGAGTGATCGGAAAGTGTTACTCTAACCAGATCTCGCTCCGCATCCTCCACGATGGAAACAATAGTGTCGTGCAGGATGCGCAAAGTTTCTTAGTATTCTTATTCTTCTGCTCGTCAACAGAGTTCGAACTGAACGTTCTTTAAGCCGATCTACCTATATGCCCTTCCTCATCTCAATATCGTCCGACTCGTGCCAATAGAGTCCTCCCTTCACCACATGCGCATCAGACGATCTACGCATGGTTGAGTTTTGCAACCTCATCTGATCCTCAACAACACAGTCCCTGGCCGTTAGTCTGTGGATTCGCGGCTGTCATTCATCCAACAGTGGTTGAATGTGACGATGCGTCCTGCAGTGAGCTACAAAAAGACCTCCAGCACAAGATATCACTGGCGGCTCCAAGCGACGAATTGCTTCCCTGAGCTTGGAGATCGTCGAGAAGCTTTCCCGTCCCGTCGTTTACCGTCCGACGCCAGTGTTCCTCACAAAGAGCCCACAAGCCCAGCGCTTCCACAGAGAGCGGGAGAGCGCTTCATGTAACGGCGGGGCCGGACATTCTTACAACTAGCCATGTTTCATGATTAGCAGCGCTTGACCGTTGCGGGTATAGCCTCATGGCCGCCCCCACAGTTCTCATGAGCGTCATCACACGCCTGTAACGCCCAGGGTTCGTGGTTCGTCTGCCCCGGACCCCAATCCGCCCGTTGGCGGAACCCTTTCCCTTCCGGGCCGTAGACCCCGTGTGCCCCGTGTGCCCCGAAGGAGAACAGCGCTCACCTCATCCTCCGGCGCACCCGACGACCATTCTTGACCTCAATGTCAATTCTAGACAAAACCTACATGAGAAGGTCGTGTCTTTTTACACCGACGCCACAAAGTCTTCAACGGCGCTTCTACCACCGATCGAGTGCATTGACGTGTTTGCTCTTTTCGGTGACTGACGGGGCTGCTTGCACCTGGCAAGACATTTTCTGTTACAGAAAGAAACAGGAGAAGCAGTTTGCCCCATTCTGATCAATGCCCTTGCAGATCAAATCGGTGCTCAACTTTGGGCATTGGATGAAGCGGTGGGGTTTGTGAGTCGTGATTAATATTCATAATTTTGGGACTACAAAGAGGTGGTTGAAGAAAAATAGAACAGCAACAAAGGAAAGACATGAACTTCCGAGTTGTTGAAGTGATGCAGAAATCAAAGGCCCTGAAACTGTTGCGGGGTAATGCACTGACCAATACCCTGCAGTCACCTTCGCAGGTCTTACAGTTACACACACCTCTTAACATCAACAAAACATGACATGAAGAGAACGACGAGCTTGAAAAAGAACTAAGTTTACAACAATACGATAAATATTCGCGCTTGCGGGGGCAGATTCTGAGGCTCCAGGTTCTGCTATTCATCGTGTCTTGTTGTTTGATTCTCAAAGCGTCTCTTCTCGAGACAATATCACCAAAGAGAATTTGTGAACCTGACTGACAATATCAACAACTGCTTTAGCCAAGTGACTCGAGAAAAACAACTACGAAGCCGTCGCTCCGTGACAACGATACAGCTTGGAGTGTCTCGCAGTCCGCAAGTCTTCATTCATCGGTCTGATTACTACCGGACTGCACATGCAGGTGCCCGCTTCGTTTTACCGCCTCATCGATCTCTGGTTCGAATTTCGATCCCATCTCCGACAAAAGTATGTTTCTGAGCAACACCGCCATTTGCAACTCTTAAGAGTCCAGGTGTTTCACAAGTTCAGCCTCAACATCAGATGACTGATAGGTCGTACGAGGTTTGGGCATAAATAATCCGATGGAAGAAGTTGGCCGAGCTCCAAGGTATGTGTTCGGCAACGGGTAGTTGTATTTGATCACTGAATCCGAGGAGAATCACAGCCCCCTCGACAATAGATGGGCTACGTGGACGCCATCAAGAAACTGGACCCTGGAAGCTGGAAGGACCTGGGTGAAGCTTCATAATACAAGGATGCCGAGACCTGGAGAGAGCGTAAGTCAAAGTCAAACATCAATGGCGACAAATTAAACAAAAAAGCTCTCAACATTATTAGAAAGACATGCCAGTATTCAACATGGTGCATCTTGCCGTCACGATGAGCAGTGTTGACTAGAATCCGTAAAGTCAAGAAAGACGTCATCGCGACAAAGGCTTATCACCTTATCGATAATCCGATAAGCTTAAAACCTACCTCCAGACGCTGTCTTACGTAAGCCCACTTCCAAACGGTCCGTGATCCAAGATTTGCCGAAAACCCGCAGTTGCCGGGGCCCGGGCTTCCTTTCAGCAGCTGCGTCATCACGTGATTGGAAGCTTGCAGCTCCCGTGCAGCGAACCTCAGGTCATCCATTCGTACAATCTTGAAGCTCCATTTTGAGAAGAGTCCAAGCCGTCAAACCGCGCACCCTCGCTACCGATCGCCCTTTCGCAACCCCCCTTTACCAACACTCTCGTCAAAATGGCCGCCACCACTGTCAGACCCATCACCGGTGTACGTGATTTCCGGAGCCCGCGCAAGGAGGACGATTCAATGGCTGTTGGACGCAAGGATGGATGACGGAATTGCGCAATGACGCAGCGATTGGACAAGCTGTGGTGTTTTTTGGGACCAAAAGGACTCGGGGGCTGACTTTGTGATTTTTTTTTTTTGGGTTTGCAGATGCTCCGCCGGGGCCTCATGCTCGACCTTGGCCTCTCCCTCGGTGAGTTTGGAATTCCTGAACGGACGGAGGTGGTTTCTTTGAAGGGCGAGACGGGAGGCGGGACACGGCGATGGGAAGAGCAGAGCTCGAGCTTCTCGGCCGGCCGGTGGGCCGTGAAATGGTTACGCGCCAGCCAGGATTGCCCACGGTCTAGAGCTCTCACCCCGCCATACCGACTCCCCGGAAGCTACCTCCTTGTCTACCTATCTCTATCTATAAGCTCGAGTCTCGTTAGCTGACCATTTGTTTTCTATCTATCCAGGTATCGGCTTCGTCATGGCCAACGCCTACTGGTACGACATTCCTCGATGAATACTTAGTTGCCCTTGCGCCCGAACCGACGAACTCGAATCCCTTGGACCGATATCTAACCCCTTCCGCCCACAGGTACGGCTACCACATGCCTCGCACCAACGCTCGTGACGCCTACTACAAGAAGCTCGAGGAGGAGCGCGCTGCCCGCATCGGCGCCTAAATCGATCCACGGCACTGGGCGGACGATGATGGAGAACGACGACGACTTCGACCGATCGCGTAGATGAAGACACGCAATGCTTGGAGCGATACCTGAGGAAGAGGGGAAGGAATCATCGCCTGTTGTATATCTACATATGAAGACGGATAGACAAGACCAGCAAATCGAGTCAGGCCGACCGACACGTATTTCTTACTTTCCCTTGCCCGCCTTGTGATAAAACGGTTTAAAGGGGGACGCCGAAATGGTGGTCGGCTAGTTTATAGACGGGAGGACATGACGGATGATGTAATGCCATTGTCGATAACGAACGGAATCAGCTCGAGAACAGGAGCCTCCTCGTTGGACATATAAGACTAATAATGAAAGGATGGGTATCATGATATAAGAGATCACTTTCTGTTCCACCATCTATCCTCCTTGTCGTCCTCTCTGCCCCATGTGCGATGATCGACCTGCTCGGCTAATGAACTTTTGTTGCTGGTGGCCGATGTCGCTTTGGCTAACGATGATGACGATGATGACGCTGCTGCTGCTGCTGCTGCTGCCGCGGTGCCCTCCCAAGTCGTTGTCTCAACCGTAAAAGGCCCATTTTTGTCCTGGCATCTGTTTTGGTCACACATCAAAGTTAACAACTTTTCCCTCTTGCGACAAAGGGATTTACCCAAACATACCTGCGAAACAAGCGCTGAACCGGCCAACACTCAATCTGGCTCTCCCGCAACTCCGGATCGCGCACCTGACAGTCGTACTGCAACAGCCCGAAGAGCTCGCAATCCCGGAGCAGATCGATCCGCCGACCGTTCTCCGTCTTGCGAACACGGTGATCGGGGCCGACTTGCACGTGCTGCGGCAGAGCCTTTGCTTTGAAGCTTTGACACGGCGGCGTCATTCTGGTGGCGGAAGGAGGGGTAGGTTTGCGGCGGAGCTTTTCGGGGTTTCGATGATGCGACACGACCGGAAGAACAGTTCTTGAGAAGCTGAGAGGTAAACCCGCGAGCGATGCAGAGGGCTGTTGTCGCTTCAGCCGTTGGGGCGCGGATGTTGAGCGAGATTGAGGAGGGGAGTCTTGAAGAGGTATGTGCTCTTTGATTGATGATCGTCGTATTTCTGGATTCTACTGTTCAATTGTTTGCGCGCGGGGCTGTTGTCGCTCACTGTACTGCTTCGTTGTTTGAGTGTTGGAGAGGACGACGCATTGAACTCGATGGAGAGGGTGCCATTTGTTCCTTATCGTTGATATATAGCCCGCCGCCGGCTGTCCGGACGGGACGGCACGGTTTCTTCCCATCTTCTTTTTTCTTGTCAATCCCAAACGAAAGGAAAAGGCTAACGATCATTGTCACATCACCAGATCCTAACATCGCTACGCACAAACTTCACAACCCTTTCCAACTCCGACTTCAACGATGCCACCCATGACACCGACCCCGACCACGACGTCACCACCACCTCCTCCCAAGCCCAAAAGTTGATCGCGCCCACAACCACAACAAAGGCCTCCTCCATCAAACCGGAACCGAGACACTTCCCAATCCCCTTCCTCAACGAGCTAGTCCAGCGGCATTTCCGCGCAACATCAACCGCCACTCTCTCCATCACCGGCCGCCATCATGAACTGCTCTACCTCCTAGTCGCGACTTTGATCGCGCCCCCGCAGTGCAAGACTGTCGCTATTGTTGACTTTGATGGGCGCTTTGATCCGTTGCGGCTGCTCGCGACGCTTCCGTTTTCGTCTACCTCTACTGGCGCCCCTACGGGCACCAACACCAGTACCCGTCCACTTGAGCCGTCCGATCTAGACCACGTCCACATCCTCCGTCCTCCTCGCCGCTCAAACGTTCCTCTTAGTACTTACCTAGCTGGAATAGAGGAGTACATGGTTTACGCACCGCACAAAAGTCGGGAACGCGAGTGGTGGGGGACTATAGTCGTTGGAGGCAGCAACAACAACAACCCCACGACAGCAGCAGCACCGGCGGCGGCGGCTCAGGCTCAGATCCAAGCCCAGGCGCAAGTAGCGGTAACAGCAGGATGGCAGGGCTGGTTGCGCGTGGATAGGGCTGAGGTGACGACGGCGACGGGGACGGGAGCTTGGACTTTCCGGAATAAGAGTGCGGAAGAGGCGAGGAGGGAGAGAGAAGGGAGGCAGGCGGCGGTGGAAGAGGGTGGGTGGGTGGCTAGTTCTGCTTGGGGGACTTTTGTTTTTGGGTCGGGGAGTGGGAGTGGACGTGGATAATGCGGTGCTGAGGGAAGGGTTGGAGAGCACGAGGGGGCACTCGTGACATTGTGATCCTTAGGGGGCCGATCATGAAGTCATCCTCTGGTTACGACTGGCGGCCAGCTTGAGGGAGTCGGGTATTGACATCGTCATCGTCGACAACTAACTCTTCACATTGGTACAGCCATGCCGCCGCACCCGAGTATGGCGAGTCTCACCGCGGGATCCCAATTTCTGACAACTCTTCGCAACATCTTTGTCTCTTTAGGACGGATGTGCATAAGAGCGGCCTATATATCACGCATGTTTGATACCTACTCAAACTACTGTGCGCTTTCCTCGTCATACAAGCAAGCAGCCCGGCCAAGGCATCAACATCCCCGGCCAAGGTTTATCCGAATCCTTTGTCTTCCTTTTAGGGCTTGCGGTGGCATTACAACGAATTGATCGACGAGCTATGAAACATATGATGTTCGGAAGGCATTCCAACCAAGTTCTTTGGTCTGTGGCCGAGTGGTCCGCGAACATATAGCGATGGGAGTGAAAACATCCGTTGGTGTTGCTTGTCGGAACTAGGTTGTCAGAAGGATGCATTTCAAATGTCGTTTGCAAATCCGATTTACACCGGTCCAAGGTGTCAGCCAAGCAGAACCCTGTGTGGCGTTGACGAGTGCATTGGCAGGATTGGCGAGCCCTCCAATATCAAGGCCGTAGCCCGAACGTGATAGTCTTCCGTGCTGGCGTGGCACACCCGCGGCAGGCAAGATCAGGGACACAAATCGCCGGAGTGGCTGGGCTTTGGTACACAAACAAGACCGGACCGCCTCCGGGTGTTGCGTGTTTTACAAAGTGGCAGGGTCGTATATCCGGCGCCGAGACCGAAGTTTGACGGACCTGCGGACGAGGACCGGATTGGGCGGGGTGCGGCCGGTCACGGGCGGTCACGGGCATGACGGGTCCCGAGGCGGGCAAGATCATCGCGCCGGGTGTCCTGCTCTCCGTTATTTTTGGCCCGGCGAAGCGGGTCCCTGCGTCTGATAATCATGCCGTGTTTCTTTTTTTTTTCTCTTCTCCTCTCATTCTTGGTGTTCTTAGGTACTGTTGAAAACCCTCACCACTCTTCCTGCCGTGGCTGTCACTCGGTCCTATTCACAGTTCTAACAGCATTCTACCCTCCATGTTGACTCAGCTGTTGGTCCGATGTTGACGTCATGGGATCGGCGTTGCGTCCGTCGTCCAAGGAGGAGGAGTCCTTGGTGGTAGCCCCTGGCCGGGCAAACTGCTTGCCGCAGCCTCAAGAAGCATCTGTGAAGAGGAAGAATGGGGGTCGTATGGGAAGCCAGGAACGAGTACGACAAAAATTTCATGGCGAATGTGCGGGTGCAACAGGCTGCCCGAGATGCATTTCATGATTCTTTTCCCTGGACCCCTATAAGCCACCAGGCCACCAAGACGGTTGAGGCTAACCGACTTCATCCAATGGATTTTGATATTCGACTCTTTTTGTGCAACGGATCGCCCCTCTGTGTGAGCCTGTTCCTGTATCTGGCTGACTTATCACACAGTATCCGCAAATCTATCGTCTTTCACATTCGTTCTTAATTTCTGGTCGGTCAGGTATGCTCACCGTTCTCGAACCACAACGATAGGTAAACAACTTTACCGGCCGAGCAGTGGCCTCTCTTGGTTCGCTTGATAACCGTTGGGATCCGATCACATCTGGGATCCAACAGATATCAACACGTACAAATGCCCGATTTGTTGGCCTTGTGTTGATCAACATAATATGTCTTTCCTTTGCTTCGTCTTCCCTGGCATCCAAACCCGTCCCTGGCACATGCTTGAACGGGAAATCGCCTCCGACGTTCAAGCCCAAATTTAGCTGTCTTTGAGGTTCCAAGAAACAAAATTTCCCCAAGTCGACAGAGCATTGCCAGTTTGATACTGGCTGCCTAGACTGACAACCTTATCCGTTATTCAAGACTGATTCAGTTGGGTTGATATTCGAGTCTTACACGGTACAGGCTACGGTCGGCTAACAGTGCTTCACAGCCACATGGTTACGGATCGACCCCTGAGGAAATCAATGGAGATTCTCTCCATTTCTCCATAGCGAAAAGATGGCGAGCAGATAACAGTACTTCATACTGGGGAAGATCTCGCAAATCATGGAGTCAGGAACGATAGGGCAAGCAGCATCAATCTTTGTTTCCATTTGTTCGAATCCCTGAGCCCTACCCTCGCCTCATGAAATTCTCCATCTTCCCCAGATCTACTGTGTATCCACCCAAACCATGTGTAATTGAAGCTGATTCCACAATGGCATGCATGGGAATAATGGAGATATTGTACTCCGCTTTTGACCTCTTACCTCTCTCTCCTTGTGATCCTTAGGAAGACATCTGGTTGACTGCTGACAGCAGCTGATATAGCATCCAGGAGATGTATATAAGGGGGATGGCCCACGCAACTAGGTATGGATCTGTCTGATCTGATCTAGTTAGACCAGCTCATCTCATCTCATCTCATCGTCCTTCTCGTCTTTACACTCACCACTTTCAATACAAGGTGGTGATATCCCAGGCGGAAAGCAATACCCATTCTTGTTCAACTATACGCTCCTGAGGACAGAGCTTCATGCAAGATATCCGTTCCACCCCTCTCTTCTTTGTCCCCTACCATCCGTACACAACTTGAAAACAGCACAAGCCCATCATGTCTTCTTCACTCGCACCTCAGAGACCGGGTATGCCCGCCCGTCAAATCTCCGCCAGCAGCTTTGCTGAGGAGTTCAACGTTGCTCGCAACCGGCTGAAGAAGCTGAACTTTGAGCAAGAGCATGAGCATGAGAGCCCCATGGCCTCGCCCGCTCTATCCTCGAGCGACTCACTCACTTCCGAGGAGCCGTCCTCTCTCGGGAGTGAGGACGGGGGTGACGGGGGTGATGCCACTCCCGGTACCCCCATCACTCCCTTCACCCCCATGGTGGACCCGGACAGCGACAATGTGGCAGACAACTTTGCCTTTGCCTTTGACATCGACAGCGTCTTGGTCCGCGGCGGGAAACCTATCCCGGAAGCTATCGAGGCTATGAAGGTCCTTAATGGCGAGAACGAGTTTGGTATCAAGGTGTAAGTTCCCGTCCACTTCCTGACAATCACTTCCTCCATCCATCCCAAGAGCACATACTAAGGTAACCATCCATATCACAACCCCCAGACCCTACATCTTCCTCACCAACGGCGGCGGCAAATCCGAATCCGAGCGCTGCGCCGACCTCAGCGCGCAACTCGACATCGACGTCTCCGAAGGCCAATTCATCTGCGGCCACACCAGCGCCCATGCGCGACTTCTCCTCTCGCTACAACCGCGGGTCCGTCCGTCCTCGTCGTAGGCGGCGAAGGCGAAAAGTGCCCGGTTGGTCGCCGAGTCCTACGGGTTTCCAGGACGTCATCACGCCCGGCGACATCCTCAAACATAAGCCAACGCGAGCACCGCTCCCTTCCGCCAGCCAGCTGACAGCCGAAGAACACGCCAACTCGCGCGATCTTCTTCTGTCCGGGTCCCGCCCGGGAGGAGTTGGAAAAATTAAGCGACATCGTCATCGAAGCCGTGTGTGTCTTTGCCATCCGATAGCCGCGATTGGGCTGCCTCGGATTTGCAAATCATCTTGGACATGGCGCAGTCGCGCGGCGGCAGGTAGGTTGGAGACGAGGTCCGAGACTTTCGATGAGGGACCACCGCCTATTTTTTTTATTTTTTTTCGCATAGTGATGTGCTCTGGTCGGCATTGCAGCGCACGAACACGTTCATTTGGGGATGGGCGCCCTGCGCAAGGTCGTCGAGACGGTGTTTGAGGAAACTACCAACCGGTGGGAAGAAGCTGGTTACGCACGCGTTTGGTAAGCCGCAGGTTGGCACGTTTGAGTTTGCTGAGCGCTTGTTAAGGCAGTGGCGGGCGGAGAAGCATGGGCTTTTGTCTGGACCTGGAAGGTCGAAGGCATCTGTGAGGACGGTCTATTTCGTTGGTGATACGCCGGAGAGCGATGTTAGGGGAACGAACGCCATGGATGAGAAGAGCGGGAAGGAGGGGACGGAGGGGTATTCGATTTTGGTGAAGACGGGGGTCTATCAGGAGGGGACCGAGCCAAGATACAGGCCGAGGAAGTTGGTGGGTAATGTGTTGGATGCGGTGAATCATGGGGTTAGGAGGGAGATGGCGAGGATGGAGAGGATGGGCACGGGGAAGAGGACGACGGGTGGGAGGTTGTTGCCGTTGGATGAGACTGGGTTGAAGAAGGCAGGGGAGGGGAGGATGCCGGAGTTTGTGGAGAGAGTTGGGTCTTTTTCTGAGGAGTGAGGAGCGGTAGTGATGGGGTTTCTTGTTAGGCTTCGTGTCTTGACTTCTTGTGATGCTTCTGGTGATGGAGCTGGGAGCACGTTTTGATACCACTTTATGTCGTTCTCTTGCACGTTTTGGTCTTGGGCACTGTTATCTTTCGTCTGTCCCTTCTGGATTTATAATTTGGAGTTTTTGTGGCCTCTCCTTGGTGGGATTCGGAACAGATGAGCAAATCTGCCTCCTTTGCAATCAACATCTGCAGCTTGTTTCGATATGTTAGCTCGAGGGTGGTCGCTCAACTGGACTGTTAGTATTTCGGCGCCAGTTTCAGCTTCACACTAACAGCACAGATATTACATCTCGTATCACTTATCTCGTCTCATCTAAGTCATCAACCCCACCAAGACTTCCAGGCCACCACGACCGTTCAACTTCTCGCGATACTCCAATGATATCTCTTCACACTGGCATTGCCAAAAACACCAAACGATAACACCCTCATTTCGTCTCCCCGCAACGTGTGTACGGTGACACTGGGCCTGGAAAGTGGTCGTGCAACATGGAACGTGGTAGTTTCCCCGCATAACATGACCGTCTCGATCGGCATGTGTTCGGATATGAGGATTCTTATTGCTCCGCCAGACACGCGATCGTCATCGACCAGCTGCAAGCCTACCGTCGTTAGATTGCCAGCATGAGAATACAAGGGAGCTTGCACCATGACCTGCCATCTGGTATGGTCGAGGTCATGACGTTAAAACCATCCAGGCCGGTCTTCTTCAACAGGACCGACATCCCTCACTCCTCTCTTCGCCAGCCCGAGAAACGGATGTGAGAGTAAGACGAATTCGGGCCCCGAATAGCTTCATTCCCAGTCAATAACCACCACCACCATGAAGGCCCTAACAAGCATCATCACCCCAATCCTGGGCCTCCTCCCAGCCCGCCAATCCTCACCACAACCACAAGCCCAAGCCCAAGTCCAACCACCCTCCTCCTGCCCCGACTACTCCTCCTACGCCAAAACCCGCCACGCCCCCTTCTCCAGCGGCCGCCACGCCCTCTCCTACCAACGTCCCTCCCCCTCCTGCCGAACCTTCAACTCCTCCACCATCGAGTCCTTCATCACCAACATGTCCTCCGTCATTTCCGACCCCGACCTCTACCGTTTGTTTCAAAACACCTACCCCAACACCCTCGACACCGCCATCAAATGGCACGGCGTTGCCGCACACGCCTCCAACAACTCGGCCGAAGAGGAAGAGGAAGAACTCACCTTCATCATCACGGGCGACATCAACGCCATGTGGCTGCGCGACAGCGCCAACCAGCTCGCTTCTTACCTGCCCTTTTTGCGTCCTTCTTCCAGCCGGGACTCGCTCGCTTCGCTTTACAGGGGCGTCATCAACCTGCAAGCGCGCTACCTTTTGACTTCACCCTTCTGCAACTCGTTCCAGCCTCCCGCCGAGTCCGGGATCCCGCCGGCAACCAACTCGGCTGCTGAGTCGGATACGGTCTACCCGGGTTATGACGCGGCGAAGGTGTTTGAGTGTAAATACGAGCTGGACAGTCTGGCTTCCTTTCTTCAGATCTCGGCTCAGTACCACGCCGCGACGAACGACACTTCCTTTTTTGGCAAGTTCCAATGGCTTGATGCCGTGCAAGTTGTTTTGGACACGGCAGAGGCGATGATGACGCCTACGTATGGACCCGAGGGCCAGGTCCTGGATAGTCCGTACACTTTTACGCGGATGACCACCCGCACGACGGAAACTTTAGCCAACGACGGACTGGGCAGTCCCGTCGCGAGAGACACGGGACTGATAAGAAGTGCTTTCCGACCCAGCGACGACTCAACCATCTTTCAGTTTTTGGTGTCGAGTAACATGATGTTTGCCAAGTACGCAGGGGACGTTGCCTCCATCATCCACGCAGTGGCTTCCCAGCCCGGTCAAGGTGCAAAAGTGCCCCCGGCTGGTCTAGGCGACGAGTTAACCACCCTCTCCACCTCCCTCCGGCAAGCCATCACAAAACACGCCATCTTTCCTATCCCCACCCTCAACGGAACAGGCAGAGAAATTGTTGAACAAATCTACGCCTACGAAGTCGACGGTTTCGGCTCTCACTCCCTAATGGACGACGCCAACCTCCCCTCCCTCCTCTCCGCCCCCCTTTTTGGTTACCTGTCATCTTCCGACCCCGTTTACCAAAACACGCGCGCCCGCATCCTGGGGAATAACACCAACCCCTACATGATGCGAGGGCCGGTGATCAATGCGGTGGGGGGACCGCATGCGGGGCCGGGGATGGGGTGGCCTATGGGGAGTATTGTGCGGATTTTGACGAGTGAGTTGGATACGGAGGAGAAGACGGAGGAGGTGTGGAGGGTGTTGAGAGAGCTGGTGGGGAGTACGGATGGATTGGGGTTGATGCATGAGAGCGTGAATAGCTGGGATGGGACAAAGTGGACGCGGGAGTGGTTTTCTTGGGCGAATGGGTTATTTGGGCAGATGATTTGGGATTTATGGCAGAGGAAGCCGGAGGTGTTGGGGAGGAGTTATCAGTAGGTAGGTGTAGGGGTTGTGTTGTCATGGGAGTGTACGGATATTTGTCCAAAGCTTGTATTGAGATCCTTCTATATGACAACGCCCTCTTTCCCTTCTATTCGCCCCTAATTTCATGACCCTAATAGATCAAAAGCAAAAAGAAATAGCAAGATCTGATCCAACAACAACAACCAGACATACAGGCTTGACGCTCGGGTATCTTAAAGAAGAGTCTATGTACAGTTTTCCCTGAGAGCGCATAACTAAAAGGCTCATGATACATGATCATTACTCGTCAGGCACTACCCACTAGTCACGGTCGATTTTGTAGACCTGACGAGTACTCGACCACCAAACCTCAACACCCCGTTTTATCTCGCACTCCCAATCCCCCCACTCAAACTCTCCCGATTAATCCTCACCACCGTCCGTCCCTGCTCCTCAAAGTCCACATAATGCGGCGCCGGCACCGGCCTACTCGCACTCGGCGTCGCGCTCAGCGGCACACTCGGACTACTAGTGCTCGCCACGCTCGGGGGCATTGGCCAGTTCAGCTGCGACGCCGTCATCATGGCGCTATGAATACTCAGCGTGCTGACGCTTCCGATGCTGGTCCGACGGCCACCGTTTTCTCCGCCTCTGTCATCTGGTGATGGGGGGGATGGTGGTCCTATTACAGCTGGAGAGACGGGTGAAATAGGGGAAACGGCGCCAGGGGTGAACGCTAAGTTAACTGTTGAGCTGATGTGCGTGGGCGGAGGGGATATTATTGACAGGCGGCTGCGGCTGGGGTTGCTGGAGTGGTTGGACTGCGGTGGAGGAGGGGCGGGGCGAGGAGTAGTAAGAGCTGATCTGGATGATGCCGGGACGAGATACTGGGAGTTGTTCGTCTGCTGCATCAACGGTTGTTGTTGGGGTAATGGTTGAGCAGGTGTGTTGCGGGGAGCCGCGGCCGAGGACGCGTCTCCAGCTCCGTGTCCAGACCTGGCTCCTACAGCGGCGGCACCGGCGCCGACACTGGCGGCTAGTCCCGTATCCAGAAGGGAGCTCCTCGTTTCTTCTTGGTTGTGTTTTCCGTATGGAGAGTTGTTGCGGCGCGCGAGCACGCGTTTTCGGAAGAAGAGGATTACGAGGGAGATGACGAGCAGGAGGACAACGCCGACTGGAAGACTGCGAGTTAGCTTGGTATGGTACTAGAAAAGGGGAGAGAAAACATCAACGTACCGATGATACCGGCTATAGCACCACCTCCAAGCCCACCATCTGAACCCTGTTTATTGGCCGTCCCATTTGCGCCCCCGTTTTGGTTCATGTTAATTGAGCCTGAGTTCAAGTTGTTGGAACCTCCGGCCCCTGATGTCGGCTGAGGGCCCGATGAGAAAGTGATGGCTTGCGTGTCGATTGCCAATGTGTCAAAGTCGGTGTAGTGGGTTGCAAACGTGGTTTCACCTAGGACGACTGTCACAGAAGGAGATAAATCCAATATACTCGTATGAACTATCGTCTGTCTTTGTGTTGTGCCGGGACTGTTCGCAGTGGGATTCGCTGTTGGCTTAGCAGTCGGTGCTGGTTTGGCCGTCGTTCCAGTGTCTCCCTCGGAACCACCATTTGATCCTTCGCTTCGTTGATTCAACCTCGGATTCTGATTCCCATGACCTTCGTGACCTCCGTGACCAAACGGCCAGTTTCTTCCTCCCATCTGCCTTTTTCCCGGCATTGATTTGGTATGCATGTGTTGGTGAGGCATGCCTTATTTCCCGTCCATTCGTCTCGGTTCGTCTCTGCCGATGTAGTTGTATTGGTGTTGAAGCTGCTGAATCTGAGGATTGTCGTCGTACAGGGTTCTTCCTTTTCCTTGTCAAGACAAAGGCCGAGTTGAGTTGGGCGTGTGGTACTCGTGATGTCGTTACTTCCACACAGGTCGAATATCCGGGTCTTCAGGGAATATGGATGAAAGAAAGAGACAAGGGGACAGGTAAAGAACGGGAGGAATGGAAGCATCCTAGGAGCCACATCAGGGAAAGCAGGGGAGCAAACAAGCTGTTAATGGCAAGGGTAGTACAACATGGGATTCGCCGAGAGAAGAAAGGAAGAAAGAAGCAAAGAAAGAAACCGGGGCCGGGGCCGGGGATGCTCCCCTCATGTCCCGTGCCCTCATCCCGGAAAACCATCGTCAGGTTGGCGCATGTTTGTTCCGCGTGGTGGAAATGAACAAGATCTGCCCTCTCTCGCCTCTGAAGAAAGAAGGCACGGAAGGATTTCACAAGTGACGGAAATAGGAAGGTGTGGTGACAGTAATGTGCTTGGCCTGCAGCGAGGCCGGGGGTCTGTTATGCTGGCACCTGCCGGGCTGTTTATCCCTACTGCTGTAAGGTACGGGACCACAGGCTGGCACCTGCAAGCTGTAGGGGGAAGGAACTGGAGACGGTACCCCAGGGGGCTGTGAATGCCTGCAGTGACCCCCCTGTTGGCTTCCATGATGAATTGTGCCTGGCGCTTTGCCCCAGTTGGGATACACAGCGTGCATGGGGCACAGGCTGCCCAGGGCACTGTGTGACCCCAACTGTTTATTTCATCTCGAGCCACTTACACTTCCGACATCCCACTGTCTTTTCTTTTTCGCATTTTATTTCTCCTCGGTATCTTCCATCGTCTCATACAAACTCCAAAGACGCCCATAGATACCTCTACCGTTTGTGTGGCCCGGGCCGCTGTCATGCACTCCAGATCCTGTGCCGCTCATGTTAATCACTAACAGGTTTCACCACTGCAATGCAGACGCTGTCGTCAGCTTACGGCGGGACTGCGAGGACCACGATGCCCTCCATGGCCCATGCAAGCGCTAACACTCCGTGGCATTGGCGCTAACGCTCAGTGGAGTCTACCCGCAAAGTCGGGCGAATTTTAGCGGCTCTCACGGAAGGCTGCTAAGCATACTTCCAACTCGGAGATCATCATGATCGCCAGCGCCAAACCCTATGCGAGTCGATTTTTCTGGAGAAAAAGACGGTCGGGGCTGGCCAGATGCAAGTGCCATCACACTGAGAGATTTCTTTTATATTACGCTGCTGAAGTGCTGCCCGTCTGGTGGTTGAAGCCGAGTCAAGCTCTCAACTCCTTTCTTTGACCTCAATCTCTACAGGCACCCGGCCCTGTTAGTGTTTGTCAATAGGGGCTTCGCTGCGCCCCTTGGCCAGATTCGACATGTTAGCACATGACTTGATGGTGCTTCATCACTCGCTTTCTATGTCTATAACACTGGTTCTATGTCCATGAAAAGGCATGGGCTTGATGCAGATCTGTCCTTATACCTGTGTTTTTGAACGATTGAACCGAACCGAGGCATGGGGATGCTTCCATGACCGATCAAGATGGATGATGGCCGTATCTGGAAAACACCCCAGTATGGAAACCCCCAACACTCGGTAGAGGTACCCAATCTCCCCCGTATCCCCAATCTCGTTTACTCTCGACAACGCAAAACTCAAGTCAGGAGATGCCTCTTGTGATTGTCGGAAGCTTTGACGTCTGGTAAACCCTCCATGCAAAATCATTGGAGGATGCTGAAGATCCGGAAAAGCACTTGATTCTGGAGGGACAAAGAAACCAGCCAGAGAATGGGGAGGCCCTGAATATGCCATTACACATTCCTCGTTAGCCCCCCCTGCTCTGAATCAGCTATCTCCCTCTGATCGTCGCTAGCCTCCTCTCTTCACGGTTGATGACCTCCTGCTCTGGCTGGCGATAGCCTCTTTCCTGTCACTGAGCCTTTCTGCCTGTATTACGGGACCTGCAGGTACTAGGTCATCCACTCTCATGCGGCCACCACCACACCTACCGGCTCGTTAGCAGCTGGATATATGTAAAAGCCGAGAGAAACAGCTTCCATTGAAGCCCACATGCTCTTGGTGCCAAAGAGAGGAATTTGATGCAAAGAACTTGGAAATGTTGGTCCTGCCACTTTGAGACTTCCGGGGTTTCCCCAACGCTGGTCCGAGTTATTTAAACTCCCACAGAACGACCAAACCACCTCCTACTTTGATCATTCAACAATTGCACGGCACTCAGAATTCTGGCCCCCGAGAGTTTGTCCGAAACCATGCCACACGCATCCAACATGGGTAAAAGTCCCAACGACCCCCGTTACCCCAACGGGTGGCATATGGACGACAGGATGCCCCATCATGACTCCTTTCAGAATCTGTGGAAGACCAAATGGAAAGACCCGGTGAGGCATCCAACTTCTGTCCCATTTACTGTGTGGCAGATACTGACAGATAAAAAGTGCTCCAAGGGGATCTACCCCTTCATGTTCGGCTCCATCGAGGACTTCCAGCCCATCGCCGAGCACATCATCGCCAAAGGCTTGAAAGAGCCGTACGACTGGGATGAGTATGCCAGCTGCTTCTTCGGAACAGCCGAGCAGCTCGGCCAGACAGCAGCCGTTGCTCAGCAGGAAGGGGACACCGACAAAGCTCGCGACTATTACCTGTTAGTACCTCTACCTTATCTACCTTATCTTATTATCCCAGAGACCAGACCAGACCAGACCAGACCCCAAACCCTCTCGTCGAGTCATTGAAAACGTACCTTAAAAAACGTAAAAGTGACACGGACAAACAAGCCGAGCCTCCGCAGTCTACCGCATCGCCCGCTTCCCCGCCCCCCGCTCCCCGCTCCAGAAACAAGCCTGGCAAAAAGGCAAAGAGATGTTCTACGCCGGCGCCGCCCTAATGGAGCATCCCATCCACGAGGTTCTGATCCCTCACACCCACGCAGTAAACGACGCAGTAGCAACCTCAGGTGAAGAACATAAAGGCTCCTTCATCCCCGTCAACCTCCTCGTTCCCCCCACTGCCACCCCGTCCTCCCCCTGCCCCTTAGTCCTCATCATGACCGGCCTAGACGGCTACCGCACCGAGCTGGCCGTCTGGCAGCGCGGCTGGCTGGATAAAGGCGTGGCTACACTGGTCGTTGAGATCCCCGGCACGGGGGACTCGCCTGCGCTGGCGGGGGATCCGGAAAGTGGCGATCGGCAGTGGTCTTCTGTTTTGGACTGGGTGGCGAGGAAAGAGAAGAGAATCGATAGTCGGAAGATCGTCGTCTGGGGCTTTTCCACGGGCGGGTACTACGCTTTGCGCGCGGCGCACACGCACCACGATCGGCTTCTGGGCAGCGTCAGTCTGGGAGGCGGGTGTCATGGCATGTTTGACGGGGCGTGGCTGGATAAGGTGAATAACCTGGAGTATCCGTTTGACTTGGCGGATACGTTGGCGTACAAGTTTGGGTATGGGACCTCTAGCGATGGGGTGGAGAAGTTCAAGAAGGAAGGGCAGAAGAAGTTCTCGCTTTTGCTGGATGGGACGCTGATGAGGGAGGAGTGTTGTAGATGTTTGCTGGTTAATGGGGAGTGGGATCGGATTTTTCCTGTTGAGGATCTTACGCTGGCGCTGAAATGGGGAAGGCCGAAGGAGGCGAGGATCGTGACTGAGAAGTGGCATATGGGCGAGCCGGAGAGTTTTGTGGTTATTCTGAGGTGGATTCATGAGTTGCTTGGGTTGGATGGGGATTGGATGCATCAACTTAAGTTGTTGCCGGCTAAGGCGAAGTGAATACCTGACTGCAAGGACTCGAGGTATTCGGGATGCAGGTTGGGGGGTCAAAGGTGTTGAACAATCACGTTTGTCTTCAAGTCAATCCCGTCCTTGAGCTTCGAATAAAAGGGAGCCCTGTGCTAGACTGGCAAAAAAACCTCAAACATCTTACAATATCAAGTTGCTAAGGTAGTCAATTGGTGGGCGTCTGCATGCTGCATCATCAAGCCCTACAGACCATAGTAAACCCTTCCTCCACACCAATCTGACTTTCTCAAGTTTCTACGGTACATGCTCCTTGGCGACCGCTTCCGAATAACTCGAGTCTTTGCCGTATTGGCATTGTGTTACCGAGTCGTACAATCCTGATCCTATGGAGCATTGTGTTTGAGTAAAGCAATAAAAAGCAAGGATCCATCAAGCCCTCCCCAGGCCTGTGAGGGCATCCATCTAAGTGACCTCTGACTTTGGCCAACTGTATACTGACCAGCATTTTATAGAGGCAAGCTCAATAGTGCCAGTAAACTTCCACACATCTGAACATTTTATGTGCTCCAGTTACCAGCGCGGTGTACAGTTCCTTCCAGCCATCAAGTCGTATGTCCCACCCCACCACATTTTGTATGGTTCCCCATTGTATGCAGTTTACAGTTCACTCCCTCTTCGGCCTCGCCGCACAAAAAATCAGCATACAACCCACCACATGCGTCTCCACCACCTCGAAATTTTCCCTCAGTCCCTTCTCGAATCCCTCCCTCTCATCCGTCCAGTTCCCAAACACTCCCATCGCATTGTACCACTTCATAACCGTCCACGTCATGCTCCTGCTCAAAACCGAAGGTCTACCTGTACGCCCAACTCCCTTCTTCACTCCCGAACCCGAACCCGTGCCAGACGAACCCGGGCGAGACGAACCAGGGCGGGACGAACTTGAAATGTACTTCCGTCCCAGGATCGTGCAACCAGACAGGACACCGTCATCGGCTAGGCATTCGGCTGCGAGTTTGAAGGCGCGGTTTTTGATTTCTTGTCCTTGCGGCTCGGGAGCAGCGGGAAGACAGTGAAGCAAGTTGAACATGCTGACCGACTTGAACTGTCTCGAAGTTCCCAAGGCAGATCCCGGACCGAAAAGCTTGCCTTCGGGCAGGGTGAGTGACTCATCTAACACGTCGGCTTGGATGGTGGTTACGTTGACTGCCACGTTCGTTCCATTTCCCGCTGACTTGCCGTTGCCGCTCGTGCCGTTTCCGCTTTTGCCGTTGCCGCCGACTCTCGCGTTGTTAACAACCCCCAATACCCTCTCCTTCGCTTTCTCAAGCGCCATCCCATTCAAATCCATCAGCGTAATCTCAATCTTTGGCTGGACCAGTTTACTATCCGGGTCCCTCTCCAGTGGCATGAAATACTCGTCCTTAGCAAGTCTCTCCGCCAAAGCATCACCCACAAAAAAACCGGTGCCAACTCCAATGTCAAGGTGCTTCTCGGCCCGAAAGTTCTCGCGGAAGAAGGGCACAAGGATGGTGGACGAGGGACAGCGCCAGAGATAGGTCATGCTGAATCCAAGGACATATTTGTCGTAGGTGGTCAGCATGAGGGGCTTGCTGTAGACGCTGGCGCCTGGTTTGGTGTTGATGTCGTTGGGGATAGTGGTGGCGGTTGTTGTGGTTGTCGTCGTGGGACGAGGAGGTAGTGGTTTGTTGGTGATGGGGGTGGGTGCCGCTGGGGTTGGACTGGCGGCGTGTAGAGCTGGTGAGGCCATGGTGATGGCGGCGTCTGTGCCGCTGGTGTTCTCTGCTGGCGAGGCCATTTTGGGAGGACTGCCTGGTGGTGTAGATCTTTGACAAGATTTCTGTGCCTGGTTTAATGGCTTGATGGGTGAGGAGGGGATGAGGTTTTGTTGACTTCCGCCGGTTGTTGAAGCTGTCACGGCTTGCTGAAGACGGAAGAGGATGTTTTTTGCGGCTGACAGATGGCAGACTAGAGGTACGCAGATGATGACTGAGGAGGAAGTGAGGCAAAGAAACTGATTGAGAGATGCGTATATATAGATCGCCGCAGATTCGGTTGATGAAATCCCGAGATTTGTATGTCTGGCGAGTATCCCGGTTTCTTACTGCCGAGGACCCTTCCGAGGGAATCTTGACAAGCGCCACGAGTCTGTTTGCGCGCAGACCGGTCCGCTCTTTGATCGGCTTTCACATTCAACGTGTCGATAAGCGAATCTTGACGGGTAACACGTCGAACCGGATAAAAGGACGCGCGGAAATAAGGCAACTTGGCCTGTAAACCGAAGTTAGTGGGGGCCAACGATAAGTCAAACAGGTACCGCTAAGACTCATTCGAATCGGATTTATCCCCACACGTACTGGCCAATTACGTCTGGAGAACGATCGGCATACCAACGCCTCAAAGGGGCAGACAGGCCAAGCAAACCACATAATTGGCCAGCAAAGCGTGGGATAAATCCGATTCGAATGAGTCGTAGGGGTAGTACTGTAGGGTTGCTTTATAGGCTGGGGTTACCAACAAAGAATCTCTGAGTCTTACCTCAGCATCGGCAAGAGGGAGTTGAATCGGACAAGAGTCGGAGTTTGTGGATGGCGTCGTTAGTTGTTTGTATCAGTCTGCTGTGACTCCATGTACTCGAGTTAGCCAGTTGAGTCCATGTCTCGAGAATAAGCGAGGGTGTAAGCAGGAACTGAAACTGAACGATGAAAGACTTGATTCTTGAGAATGAGTGGATGCGAGAGCTTTACTTACTCGTCGAGGAAGCCGGTGAGACTGAGGTATGCCTCGTAGACATCCGTGAAGACTGGGGCAGGATGATGTTCGGGGATACGTTTGATCGAGAAGTGACAGTGATGTGTAAAGGAGTAAGTGAACGCGACAAGATTGATAGATACGAGCATCTCAAAGAGTGGGAGGGAGAGACGCGAACTTAAGGTAAGGTATTCACATTCACCTCAGCAGGGGTCATTTGCTTCATTTCCTGACGCCACAAATACATTATCTCTTCGCCGATCTCGTAACCCCATTCTCTTCGATAAAAAAGAAACAACGTTCGGCCGAGTACTTCTAGCAAATCACGAAATCTAGAACCAGTCATGAGGCTCACCCCGCATGCTTGATATTCCTATCTCAGTCTAGTGCCGGCACTGGAATCGAGCCTTCCTTCCACCTCGTGCTGTAATTTCATCCCTGCATTATCAGTGTACCTTCCATATCCTGTCCATAGATAAAGTACATCTATCTTACCCAATCACGCCATGATGTGCAGTAGACTGTAATCGAGGAAGGAACGGCCCTCTAGTGTCTGAATGGAGTACGGTAACCAAGCGCTCACTCGAGGAGCAGAGACCTGAGGCATTCGCGAAAGGAAACGGGCCGGTGGAGGTGGGAGCCGAAGTCTGGGCTGAAGTTGAGCTTAGAGTAGTTCCGTCTCATCCCGGGCAGGTTGGCGAGGTAGTTCCTTCTACTTCCTAAGATTCAAGTTCCTAAGACCTAATATCCTAAGAACCGAGCTCACGATAGTTCTTTCCCCGAATCAATGCTGTACATATCACGAAGTTATCGCACCTTCCTTCAGTCAATTACATGTAGGCTCAGCGAGCTCAACGAGGACGAGTCGTGTACCCACACCACTGGTCCTAGTTGCTCGTAATAACAGAACAGGAAGGAAGAGAATTTAGCAAGCAAGGCCACAAGCGGCGGGCGGTGACGTAGACAATGGTGTCAGGACTCCAACATCAAGGGCCAAGTTCAATTATCTCACGGGTAAGAATGGCATCAGCATGATCATCAACCTAAGAGTTCCATATTTATGAGTGATATCAACCTCAACTTAACTCTAGTTATATGTAGGAATGGATGGAGGCCATAGACTTTCGTAGGAATCGCTGTGTTGGAACGCTGAAACTGAACGCCCGTGATCCACTGCCGCAGCGTGATATGTGATGTGACTGATGACCATGTGCTCTCCACCTGAGTAGTTCGAATATTCTTCCCTCTTTGTCGCCGCCATTGATGTCGTAGCTTTTCGCAGTCCGAAGTTTATATGACGACGCAGCACCCGCTGCCCAACACCCCGCGCCATCCCATTACTCTCAATACCTCCGTACAGCCCGCATTTGTGTTATCCCAAATCCACCGCCCTCCACTTCAAAGTTCATGGTATGATACCTCCAACGCCTTATCTCATGCCTGACGCAGTCTTGAAAACACCAAACATATACATGAAAACGCCCCTGAACCTAGACACCATGCTTGCCGCCGAAGACATCACCCATTGCCGTATAATTGAAAGAGGTATGCTGACAGCCCCTACTTTTATTTCCCTGAACAACCCTTCAAGAAAACTGCCGCGGTCTATGCCGACTTTGAAGCACTCGCACTTGTTATCTTTTTTTTTGTGTGTTTTCCTTGTTTTTCTTTTCCTCTGTCATGGTTTGTCCGTCCCTCTACAACGCTTGTGACTTGTTCTCTTCAAACCAAGTGGTCTCACGACACCATGGAGCTTCAAAAACAAGCCCCAAGCGTTGCAAAGGGGCTGTCCATCCGGGAGCGCACCCAGGGAAAGCAGCCTGGCCCGCCGCTTACGGTTGGTAAGGCGCAGGCACAGGAGGTGCCGGGTAGTGGTGAGGAGGCGGGTAATACTCCCCTTGAGGAGCCGCGCCAGGAGCCACGGGGGGAGCCGGGTACGCCATCTGCTGTTGAGGCTGCGGGGCAGGCGGGGGCGGGACGTACGCCGGAGGAGGGCGGGCCGTGAGCGAGATTTGGGCACGCTCGCCCCATTTATGGACGGCCAGGGCGACGGTCATCCTGGCCAGAGCCTGGTCACCGTGGGCCGTGACGTGATGGTCGGAGTCCCACGTTTGGCCGTTGGCCGCCTGCATCGGGCCTGCGCTGACCCAGAACAAGCAGGAGGGGCCCATCTGCCGGACGGCCAGGGTGATGAGCGGGCGGATGGTGTCGGCTTCACCTTCGACGCTGATGTAGTGATCGATACGGTGAACTTCGAAGGCAAAATGAGTTAGTTAGGTTCTTGTGCTGCGGAAAATGAGGTCGGGGAGAATTGATGGCTCATGTATTTGTAGGTTGCTTACCATAAGGGGCTTGCGGGGCCGGACGAGCTTCGGCTTTGGAGACATGTTCACTTAGTTCTCATGCTCGATGAGTGAGGAGAATGGATCGTTTATTGCTCACCAAGCGCGCGGTTCTCGAAGTCGACATAACCCCAGCCCTCAAGGTGGCGGATGTCAGCTGTGGAGGCAAGCTGAGTTAGTTCTCATTCTAGATGAGTGAGGAGGATGGATCTCTCATTACTTACCAGGAGCAGGAGCGCGGTTCTCAACGCCCGCGGGGTTCTCCACGCGACGACCGGCAGCTGTGGAGGCAAGATGAGTTAGTTCTTATTGTCGTTGAGTGAGGAGGATGGATCTTTCAGTTTGTTGCATACCAGGGGCAAGAGCGCGGTTCTCATCGCCCGCGGGGTTCTCCACGCGACGACGATTGCGCCTGCGGTTGCGGTTGCGGTTGCGGTTGTTGTGGTTGTGGTTGTTGTTGGCGTTCATTTTGTAGACACTGTTGGGATCGTTAACTGCTGTGTTCTTCTTGGAGTTATGTTGCAAAGCACATACAAAGTACGAGACGACTGCAGTTGTTGCTGAGTTGAGAGAGTGGTTGCGTGAGAGAAGGATTTTGTGAGAGAAGGACGAGAGGAATTCTGAGGAAGTATTTATGAGCCAACGGGATTTTGTGGGGGGCACGGACCGAGAAAAGACCTCGAAGGCAACAGTTCAGGTACCAAGAGGACAGAAATCAATGAAGTTGGAAGGAGCGGAAATAGGGAGAAGGCAGAGTGACGTTTCCTCCCATGTAGTTGTGCGGCCTGGTCTGGTTGCCCCGTAACAGAATTCATCCCGTCTCTCTCCTCCACCCTAACTTCCCTTGGGTATTTGCCTTACACTAGCTCGTATATATAGAACCCGTTGCCAACATCATGTCCCAAGTTCTCGTCCGGGTTGTCGCTCTTTCTGTTATGCTGCGCGGCCAGTTCCAGGGCTTCAAAGAATGTGCCGAGTCTGGGGTACTGCTCGGGCTCGAGCTCAGGAGAGTAACGGTGTTTCAACTTGGTGTTCAATGGGCCGTTCAGATACGGATCAGATCTCAGTAAGGCCGCCCTCTCTTCCTCTGATCCGCTAGTTAGTTGAGGGAAAAGTTCGTCTGTGCTATAGACCATTGAAAACTCCTTCTGTGCTTGCTTAGAGGTAGGTCTATCAGAGCTACTTTCCTCGAGGGTGTTTTGAACTTTAGACCTATAGGGATTGAACCGGCCACGCGGTCTTCGACGCTTAATAGAGTCAGAGATTTCGAACACGCCCAGTCTTTCGAATTCTCCCTTCCGGTGAGATGCTGACGCGGATCTTAGGATTAGTCCCTTGAGTCTGAGGTGCCAAAGACTTGGAATTTGGAATCGCAGGCGTACTTCGAGAGGCGCAAGGTAAACCATCGCTGATTGAGCAACTGCTAAGTCGCGGGCTTCCTTTTCATCCCAATCCATAGCTAGGACATGCACCACACTTGCACACTCTTCATCCGCATCGGATTCCCACCATCCGCGTATACTATCTTGGGGACTGTGAGACCGATATCTCACGGTAGCCCGTAGCAACGGGCCTTTGATACGGACGGTTCCGCCACTTACTTGCCCGAACAAATGCATTGGTCTCGATGGAGTTACCATAGCCTCCAGGACTGCGGCTAGGCTGTCTACGCCTGCGTCTAGAGGAGACGGCGTGGGTAAAGAGCATTCAGTGTTCAATGAAGCCCAGGACCAGGAAGGAGCTACGCCGGTGTTGCGTGCTTTGCTTTGTTCAACCTCCGAGCATTTCCACAGAAGGTTCTGTCGAAGGCAAAAGGACCATAGGCCGGCAAGGTAGGTGATTCCATTCCATCCATTGCTCAAGTTTTCTGCAAGACCAGAAATGGCTACAAGCTTATCAGATTGCTTGGTAAGTCTCCTCCTGCCAGAGTATTCATAGACTAGCAATGCCCAGACCCTGTGTCGTTCGGAGTCATGAAGCAGTTCGCCTTTTGACAACCCCATCAGTTCAGGGAGGGGCCCGTTTCCTGTCCTCGCTCTTGGTGAGCGTGAGTATTTCTCTGAGGGATCGACAGAATCTGGAAAACATTCGCTTGCTTCACCCATGGAACATTCCCAGTGAAGCTCTTGTTTCCCAAAAATAAGAGTACGCCGCGACAGGATTTGTTCTTGAAGGATCCAGCCTCTTGTGTTGAGAGTGAACCTGTCTCTCTCGGAATTGTAACTGCCTGCCAGGATTCTGCCATCTGAAAGCGTTATAACCCAGGGCACGAATGATAGAGGATATCGTGGGGAAAATAGGCCTCCACTAGAATTCAGCGATGCACCGGCGGCCAGATTGAGGTAAGTGTTCTTGTAAACAAAACACATCCCGGCAGATTCTGCTGCCCAGTCGTCAAGTGAATCTTGGATGATACACAGAGAATCGATCCATAAGAACTGTACGTTTAGCCTTCGAGTTACTACTATTGCCTCCTGAAAAGTCCTTGGTAACTCGGCCAGCGCGAAGCCTTTTAATCGAGAGTCATAGTTTTCCAGTAGAAGCCGAGTTGGTACTGAATTCCCCCAACAATGGCTTAGAGTTGTATATCTTTGCCCTCGAAAGTTCATTCCTGTAGTCTCGCATATCTTGACTGTAAGGCTTCCCACACTTCCCACTTCAATGAAGCGGGCGGGGTATTGCCCTTGAAACTTCTCATGCCCATTCTTGTTGCATGAAGGGTGGTTAGACACACAGTTGTCGACCCACCGGAGCGCTTGATTCAAGCTTGCTTCGCTCTCCGTGTTTAAACTGGTTGGGAAACCACGGGCCAAGTAAGCTGGGAGAAAGACCATAAGGTTAGCTTCCTCAAGGAAATGAAATGGGAAATGGCTTACCAGGTAATTCCTTATACCTGGGCAGTCCAACTGGGCTGGTAAGACGGATGCGTTTACCATCTTCACCGACAAGATCGAGATTGAAATGCATGTATCCCGTGAAATTCAAATATTCCATGGAACAAAATTCCCTACAAAGTATCAAGGTCTTATCGGCCCCTGCAGGTAATGTATCAATGGCGGGTTTTATTTCCATCTCTAGCAATCCCCGTTCCGACACAACAGGTTGCAGAGATGGATAACTGTGCACAGCGAGCTTCGTGTCTTGGCCTGTAATAAGGCAAGGTCTTTCGGACATTAAAGCTTGAGCAGCAAAAGAACAACAAAAATGGCAGTCACCCTTGGATGCCAAGTTCAACAATTCGTTCCAGCTGCCAAAAGGCACCTCATCGCGGTAGAATGTGGTCCGGTCATGTCTAGCACGGTCAAATCCCTCGCTGATGCTCTTGAACACGCTGTCACATCTTTCGCAAAGACGATTGAATGCCTCTTTCGAAAGGTGTATTTCGCCCGACGGTGTCGTATAAGTCGGAGGCATCTTAGTTCCGGGAGAGCGTTCCGGTCATGGAGGATCGATGGCGATGTTCGAATGTTGTGTGTTGATGAGATCTTGGTTGCTCTTCGAGAAGGCATTGAGAAGTAGTTAAGTGAAAAAGAAAGCGGGGTAACCGTAAGTTGAGGCTGAGAACACGAGCGTATGTAACGTATCTGCCCATTACAAAGTTGTTCAATCTCCGATGGACTGCTAACAGCTGATCACAGGATAAACCATTGGAAAGTGTTAGGGCCTTAACTGCATATGCAGGTGTATTTTACGCTCGGATGTATCTTACATGTCATATGGTACCTTACCGTGCTTACCTTATGCCTTATCAGTGTTCTGCCGGCTCAACCACCGTCCACCCAACGCTCTGCGAATTGTGTCGTATCCAACCTCAACCATCGTTGACTTCGCAGATGAGTAGTGGGCGCCGCTTCCCCCGGTTCTATTGCCCAGTTATCTTTCCGAGGTAGCGAGAGGAAGGTACGGCGACTATGACCTCATTAGGTCGTCGGAGAACGGCGGCTGACATTCATATGGGCTGGATGGCGGTTGCCGTCCATGGTGCTGAGACGGGCTGGAATTATGGTGGGCGTCGATGGCTCAAATATTTCGAGAAAGAGCTGACGGAGCACACAGGTAGATCCTCATCCAGTTCTGCAGGAGCATACGACTCACGGGTTTACATGGAAGGTGCACTGGTTCCAGGACCCGCACAGCACTTGCTCTGTGTCTTCGATGAGAGACGCAGCACAGCAAGTCAACATGGAAGCCAGAAGCCGTCGGAGATATTGAAGCAGGTACCCTCACTTGACGTCCATCATAACGACCTCCTACATCAGCCTCAAAGATGGGTAAGGTAAGAAGCCAATATCCGAAAAGTCAATGCATGTCTAAGAACGGGATCCCACAGCCCGAGCCTCTTGAGCTCATGCAGCCAGCCTCCAGGAGCCGAAATCGTGCTGTCAATCCTCCATGCATCAAAACGAGCTACCTGACACCGAAACCGGCTACCTGACTCACACCCGATGAACATAACAGAGGATCAAACACGACCACATCGGGTAAACTGGCCAGTGACCAAGACGAAGACGTGGCGCAGTAATACGCTCAGGAAGTCAGGCGTCCGCTCTTGTTTGTTATCCACGACTGTTTGGTTTGTGCCATCATGTCATCGCCGTACAACATCTAGCCTGTGACGAACCGCATGGCTTTGCTACCTGCTATCGGCCTTTTCTGGAAAACTGCTTGATAGGGTAATGGAACTGCCAGCAAACACTTCGGCACCATGTGTCACTAGAAGGACCAGACTGCGCTCAATGCTGGCAGTCAGTGGGTTGAAACCAGACGTTCCAGACCAAGAACACGGACATGACGCACCGCTGACAGTGTCACTATCAGGCACCACATAAAATCTACTACACCGGTGGGCAACAGCAAAAAGAGTGATACATGTACGAGCTATCCGGCTAGAGGGATACGTAGGCACACAGATTCTGGTTTTGTTGTTCTCAACCGAGAGGACACACTGCTTCAGAAGTGAGCCCACCGCAGCATTTATCGAGAGAACATGTGAAGACATGTTTGGTGCAAAGATAGGACTCTGTGGACTCTGTGGGAGTATGCCTCGCTTTGTGCCTATTTAAGGTTGAGCCGCATGGTTTCAACGGTTCTACTTATAGCCAAGCATCTCTGTCCCCGTTGTGACTCCTGGTCGCACATGGGTTACTTCCCCAACTCATACCTGTGGCTATGGCATCACGGTGTTTAATATGTCGTGGTGGTAGTGAACTCGGGAATGGCGGATGAATCATTGAGGGTATTAGTGGAAGTATAAGAGTTACTTGAAGAACCAGACCACAGCTGATCATCTCGTCCAGACGGATTTTGGTCTAAGATGCCACCCCAAAATTTGAGCTTGGTGTATCCAGCTCTGGAACTAATTGATCTTCATCTCCTGCCATAACATCATCTACAGGTAGCTTTTTTATTGCTCACAAGGCTCAACAGACATGCCAGGAAACCGCCGCTACCCACTGGAGCGAATCCGGTACGCCAGCTACATCTGGCCAGCAGACTGGCAGCCAGAAAGGACATCAACATCAACCTCAACATCATTCGATCAAGACCTACAACAACATTGCGCCTGCTGCATCCGCTCCTCATACTACGTAACTTCAAGCCCGGAAGCCTTCCAGCGGCACCGTCTAGTTCTTTCCCGTTGCGAACAATTCGGCCCCTCGCTTTTAGACCGCCACGGCTACAGCAAACTCATCAGCGACGCCACCAGCGTGGTTCTCTGGGCTATTTGGACGAACCTCGTCTACGACTCGGACTTGGTGTACATGAGCGTGGATTACTTTTATTTCTTGATTGATTGGTTGTTGTGGAGGGTTTATGGTTTGTTTTCCCCTGTTCTTTCCTCCTTTCTCCTTCTCCCTTTCTTCTCTCTTCTCTCTATTCGCGACCCAGTCCCTGAAGGATGCTTCATGATCCTGCCTTATCGCACACAACCTAACAAAACAACAAACAGTCCCAACTGAGCCCTTCCCCTTCGCCTTCCACCCGCCGATAAAAACCGGTCCTCCCTACAGCGACGTAGTCGAGTACTTCCTCTGCCGATCCGACGGGTTGAAATACCTCGAGGGTCTCTTCGCCGACTGTCACCACTATCACACCCGATGGAAGATGCTGCAAGCCATTAGGGGTATCTTTAACGGACAGGATTATTACGTGGGTTATGGCGGGAGTTGTTTCTGCGGCCCCGGTTGCACGAGCGTGCCGCTGGTTGCTTGTGTGTGTCTGCCCTGGCCTAGGCCGAGGGAACCGGTTGTTGTGTTGAGGGTGGAGGAGACTACTACTTGGAAGAAGAAGAAAAAGAAAGGGAAGAAGAGCAAGAAGAAAAAGGAGGAAGCGGGTTGTTTGGTGATGTAGGAGTGGGAGGAGCAGCTGTTTCTTGCATTGATGGTTGCGAAAAACGGGGAGGACCTGAGTAACATCCCTCTACAATGCTTGAGGAAGGAACAATAGGGTGCAAATGGGGGCCAGTGGAACTTCCGACGAAGCGGAGGATCAAGATGACGGCGCGCATGGACATACTTCGAGTGCTTGAGAGGTTGGTATCCCCCACATCCCAGTCCCTTTTACATACCTATATCTCATCCTATGTCTACACCGACGATCATGGCAAGCAAGCTGAGATGGCGTGGCGTTCAAAATTACTCAGGGACAACCGAGTTGCAGAAGCTCTGGCAGTTTTCCAGGCGCTTCAGGTTGCCCACCAGCGGTTGCGCACCCTCCCTGCTGGTTCAGGTGGTCCGAAGCTTGCTACGGTGCATAAACAGCTGGCGGAGATTCCCAGGAAATAGTGGTAGGTAGCTGCCCGTTTGGGCCTCGCCTTTCTCACAATGGCCGACAGCAGGCTTGCTGACGAGTGGACCAGAAGCTGGAAATGGGGGATATGATGATAGAAATAGCATACGTGTATCCCACCCGTGCCAGGCTTTTCCTCTCGCACAAACGACGGCACTACCTTCGAAACTTGGTCACCCTTTGGCAAGGAAGAAGCATCCAGTCTGCTCATCAGAAACGTACATGTAAATCTGCGCCTACAGGTCCGCATCGCCCTTCACCCTTTGGAGCTTCAAAGCCAGAACGCATCCTTGATCGAGACCACAAGCCGGCATGTATTATCTCTAGAGGTACAAATCGCTAATACTCATTCCTAAGTACCTCTAGATGAGATAGGCCTGTTGTCAATGACGGATAATTTGCTGCCCAGGATGAAACCCTTGTTGAAGCAGACGCATCACCTGATGGGCGGGACGAGATCTTTCGTTTTAAGGACGCAGACGAAATAGAATTTATCCCTTATATAACAGCGGGGTGCGGTGCCTTAATCGCAGAATCTTCAGGTTCATCCTACCGACTTTCATCATTCACTGGAGCTACCCGCCAGCTTTCAGGTTCATGAGGGGTCCAGTATGAGAAATTTCAAGCAGTGGCAGACGATATTCCCACGGCAGGTTAAGGTTCCTCATTATGCCGTCTACTGGTCGATCTCCCGGGCTTCCATTCACTGCATGGTCAAGCTGCACCTGGAGTGAACGGGCCGCTCAAAAACCGCCAAGGAGATGCGTGAATGTAAAAGTCATTCACTGCGTAAGGTACGTGCAGGTAAATAGGTAACCTTTTGAAACTTCACCCGGAGCCTACTATAAAATTTTCTCCTGCCCGCCCGCATCTGTCTCCTCTTCCTCCCTCTTTTCTCTCACCCTAATTTTCACCTCCATCGTCCAACAGTCTACCACCAATATCTGCGTCCTATTACAAACAGTCCAAACATTAAGGTATAACATCCGCGATATCCTTCTCACAATTCTTCATCCCTTTCCCTCTTTCACCCCATCAACCATTCCTGTCTTGATCAATTTCTCTTCCTTCCGCTTCGGCATCATATTTACAAGTACCGACACCAACTAACTCGCATCAGACATCGACACAATGGTTCTTGATATCTTCGAGCGCGCGCGACTCCCCCGGGAGCTCGTCGACAACATCGTGGGCTTCCTGTACTTCACACCTTTCTGGCTTTGCTGGAAGGGGGCGGAGACATGGGGCTGGTTGTGCAGGGGCAGATCGAGCTGGAGGGATTGGGGACGCATGAGGAGGTGTGTTCGGTGCCTCACCTGCCGGGTCCAGCATGGCCGGTGCATGGGATGAGGGCTCCGAGGGAGCGTTATGGTGTGTGGTGAGCAGGACTTTTAAACGAGTTCCGCTAGGAAGGGAAGGGATGGTGAAGAAGGTGATCGGGCATCCTTTACGGGATGGTGTTCGACTGGTTCCTAGATCTATTCCTCAAGTTTAGTAACATAATAGTAAGCGCCATCCTTGACAATCAAAGTTTATAAATAATGTTTCGGACCCCTACATACTTCTACCTACCTCTATTCAATCTCTCGGACACCAGGGCCAAGTTACTCAACACCACCGCGTCGTCGCGCTCATACCCCTGGTACAAGTGCGTCTCAACCAAACCTACCTAGCCAAAGCCCTCTCCAGGCTCTCTGAGCCCGACGCGCTGCAACACATTAAGGACGAAGCCCTGCACATAGCAGCCAAGGCCGCCTTCCCGCGCACTACTCGCCTTCTCCTTACCAAGGGCGCCGCGCCGACCCTAACAGTCGCTGCATGGCTGCCCCTAACGTAAACGGAATGACTCCGGTCTAGGAAGTCCTTTTCCACCCCTCTCAGCGCGAGGAAGGAGAGGGCACACCGGAGGCGACTGTTCACGTCTGCCCCTGGCGCTGGCATCTCTACGCCGTCTCCTTCATAGTCTTTTACGAACATGGAGCGCAATCGAGCTACTACCCTGTCGTTACGGGTTGTTCAAAGCCGCACAAGCGGCTGGCTAACGAGGGGCGCATGTGCTTGCACGGCTCTCTCGTCGGTCTTGACTCTCAAGTGATGAACACGCCAGCTGGCCCCAGACGTGTCTTTCATGGCTACAGGGTCTTGCATACCTTGCTGGCTTTGGTGGAAGGTGGTGCGGATGTGGGACTGGCGGTGGCAGCGCAGGCTGAGCTGGACCTGGAGGGAAATGGAACTGCTCATGAGGAGGTGTGCGCGGTGAATCAGCTGCCGGGTCCGGCGTGGATGGTACATGGCTTGAGAGCTCCGAGGGAGCTTGTCTGGTGAGCAGGGCTTATGGAGGAGTCCCGCTTAGGAACGAAAGGGGGGCGGTGAAGAAGAGGATGTGAACATACAAGAAAACCATGTATAGTGTAAAGGGGCGTTGAGTAGGAGAAAGAGGAATGTCCGTTGAGGTTACTGGTATCAACGTTTGCGAGGGCAGACCTACTGTGGTTTCAGATCGATGATATGTTCGAGTGGTTCCTAGAGGTAGGTATATTCCTCAACTTCAGTAAATACCTATTAAGCGGCATTCTTGACAATCCAAGTCCATAAATACCTAAGTCTTTCAGTCCCCCGCGTAATCAAAAAAATACATGGTATTCAAAACAGATACACAGCGTGAAGAAGGGGAGGAGTTTTCCCCCCGACGTGGACGCCACCATCCACAACTTGTGTCCATGGCGATCCTACCTCTACGCCGTCTTTGTTGTCGTCTTCCCCGAAGGCACGGACTTTCCTCTCGTAACGGGCTTCGAGATCCTATATAAGCGGCTGGCTGGCAATCCCCTCACTTCAAGCAATTCATAGAGACACCATACGAGCAGCCCGTCCCATTCCTCCCCTCATTGTCTCATCCCGATCTACAACCGTCGCACCTGCGATTCTTCCTGACCAAAAAATTCACCTACATCGGCCTCGCCACCCAGGCCGACGCCCCCAATATCCTCACCTACCTCTTCAACCTCTCGGACACCAAGACCAGGTTACGCGACACCACTGCGTCGTCGCGCTCATACCCGTGGTACAAGTGCATCTCGACCATCGCCAAAGCCCTATCCGACCCTGACGCGCTGCAACACATCAAGGACGAAGCCCTGCATATCGCAGAGGGAACGGAGAAGGAAGAATGAAGTTTGGTCATGGTATCTCTAGTGTATGCTGTAGCGAACAGCATGGAAAGGGTTAAAATCGAGTAACTTCATTACACAATATCATTAACAGATAACTAACGTGACGGAAATTGATGCCGACAAGGTAAACAGGCGTGAATGACGAAGTCTTGTGTGCCCTAGACGTAAATCTGATTCCCCGATATTGACTCCATCAAAATCTTCAGGCATTCTTCCAAAAGGCCGAGTATCCCACCAGACCTTGCTTGAGTATATGAGACACAGCGCGACGATCAAGGACTTGCCCATACATGATGCCTCGGTGGTTTTGAAGGACAAGAAAAACAAGAACAGACAGGGGAATATCCAAAAAAAGGAACAAATCGACAGTCCAGTCGTGGTCCAAGCGCTTCTTGATATACGACCGTCACACATTGTCATCGCAAAAGACGTAAGACACTTATCTATGCATCACTCCTTCCAAATTTTCTCTTCGAGTGTGCTCATCATCCGTTTTTCCTCTCTCTTTCAAGGTCAGATCAAAACCCCCACGAATCTGGTCTACTATCCCGCCAATTCGACGGACCCGCCTGCCCTTCCCTCGGCCCCATCGATGCCTGGCTCGACAACCCCGCCTGCCCCAGCATCGACTGCCTCTGCGACATCAGCATCGACTGCCTCGGTGGGTGCAACGGCTGAAACGGGTTCGCCTGACTATGCGACGTACTCGGCGGCGACGCCCAGGACGTGGAGCTGTTGTTGCTGCAAGCGGTAGAAGGCGGCATCATAGACGCGGAAAAGATACCGCTGCTAGCAATACTGACGCCGCCGAGCGAGTCGATACTGTTGCGCGCGTCGCGCGAGTGGTTGGAGTGCGTGGGCGAGGGGGGTTGCGGGAAGAAATCGGACATTCCAGATCCGGTGGACGAGCGTTCGAACGGGTTGTGACCCGATCCATCGGGCGATGTTGGGGACCTGGCACCGTGAGTCGTGTCGAGGACGGGCGGTTGGGTGGCTTTGGTGGGGGAGCGGCAGGCGGTAGGATTGGGTTGCGTGACAGGGGCGGGCAGGATGGTGCCGTAGTCAATTTTTTTCCCTTTCTCGGTCATGGTGGGTGATGATGGCTCGTCGTCCTCGTAGAGCAGGCCTTTGCCCATTGAGGATCGCCTCTTGTCACGCTTGGTGTAGGCGGCTACTTTCAAGGGGGTGCACTTGATGAGGAAGTTCTGGACGGGGGCGGTGCGGCGGTATTTGTAGAGGAGAGCAAACAAGATGAAGAAGAGGACCACCATGGCTGAGGGGTGGATGTTAGTGAGAAGTTCTTGGGGGATGATGGTTGATGGGCTGACTTACTGACAACACCACCGGCAATACCAGATACAAGACCCGTGTTGCTGGTTTTGGGCGAGTCCACGGTGGGACTGTCGCTATTCCCTGTGGTTGAGCCTCCACCCATTTGTGGGTGAGTTGAGCCGGGGGTGGGAGTAAGGTCTGGGTTGACCCATGAGGGGTCATCAGATCCAGGTGTTTGGCTGGGGACGCTGCTCTCTCCTGACGGAATGCTTGTTGGGGTGCCTGCAGCGATCCATGCAGTGGAAAGCGTAGTAGAAATAGTTTGGTCGTTATGTTGAATTGCTGAGTGATAGGAAGTGGCCGAAGGCTGAGAACCCTGCACCAAGTTATCCCCATCCTTAGAGGTATCATTCTCACCCTCATCCCCAACCGTGTGTTCGCCCGACTCGGATGAGTGACTCGCAACTGGCATTGGGGCGGCGAGAAGAACGTTTCCAGCAAGAACTCCATTCCCAGCATGGCTGCCTGAAGTAGCCGTGGGCTGTACTTCAGCTTTATCCGAAGTCACGCTCGGTGGTGGAACGGCGGCGTTGTTGCCGTTATCAGATCCGACAGGTCCCGTGGCTCCCTTACCAGAGCCAGATCCATCATTCCCCGCATTCCCGGCGTTACCCTTGTCCGCATCATTCGAATCAGGGCCGCTTCCTGATCCGTTGCCTTGTCCAGATCCTTCACTTGATCCCGTTCCAGGATTCGATCCCGACCCTTGTTCGGCTCCTTTGGTTGGTTGCGGCGTAATGCTGGTTGGCGAAGGCTTCACGACTGCGGGAGCAGTAGTGGCTGGCGGTGCTACCACTACCGGTGGCTGTGTTACCACGGGAGGACTCGCGGGCTGAGTCTTAGTTTCGACTGGAGGTGGTGCTACAACTGCAGGGAGTGAAGTTGCGGCCGGTGCCGGTGCCGGTGTTGGTGTTGGTGTTGGCGTTGTTGCTGGCGGCGGCGCCTCCACTGGCGTAGGACATCCCGGTGTCTTGGGAAAGGCCTTGCACCATGGGCTGAAGAGCTTGTCTAAGAAATCCTGGACCGTCCGCTTTTCCAAGGCATGGTCGAACCCATCTTGATTGTCCATGGCTCGGCTGGTCACAAAGAGTGTGATATTTGGACGTTGGTATCTCGTTGAAGTTGTCCGTTGATCATTGGGTATGCTTATAGCGGATGTTTTGCTGGTATAAAACGAGTGACACGTATCCAAGTCCCAAAAGAGTGGAGGGATCAATTGGATATTGGGATATAGTTAGGAAACGGAAAAGAGAGGAAGAAAACAGACGAGACGCATTTGGCAGCGTGAAACGGAGATGATGGGGACTAAAAAGGATTATAGCTCGGAGCCAGAGGCGATGAAAACGGGTCCTGTATAGAATCCGGATCTTTCACAAGGAATCACATCCTGTCACCTCCTGTCACCACGGCCAAGCACCTCCGAGCACAGCGTTGACGAGTCAAGGATGTTGTGGGCCGGGGCTGGACCGTAGTGTACATAAAAAAGCAAAGTGGGGAATCTTCAATGGACGGACTGCACACGGTAAAGATCGACGGGACGGCCCTTGTCGAATGGAGGTCTGTACCTGACGCTATGCCCAGGGCGGAATAGCGCAGTCTGCCCCCAATTTCAACTTCCCCGTAGCTCCCGCTTGGCTTCAGGGGACACACTGGCCATGAAGCACCCCGAGCTCGACGACGACGAGGATGCTACCCTTGATCCCAGAATCACACCAAATCCAAGTTTTTGATCATGGCCGTTGGCGGGCTCTCCGCGGCTTGGGATGACGGATATTTGGCGGCAGATAGTAGTTTGGTCGGCGAGACTGCGGCGTGGCTGATGAAGAGACAAGGCAATGGAACAGTGGGATTGCTGTTTCGAGGCAATTTAGCTGTCGATCAGCACCAAGTCTACGCCCCAAAAGGGACAAGGACACTTTATCCGGTCTTCTCGGCTCCTGTTTGCAAATTGCAGCGCAATTCGATAGTGTTTCGGCTGGAGTGGCATTGCGGGATGCTTTGCTGAGTCGCGTGTCCTGGTCAAATTCTGAGGAGTTGTGGGACTTGTCCGAAGACACCACTCAAGTAGGGCGAACAAATAGTGGGCAATGGGCGGGAAGCGCACAGGTCATGGCAGATCCAAAGCTGATCCCATCAGCCGATCACGATACATGACGATGGCCAACGCGGAAAGGTCGTCACCCACGCTCACTGACCGTCGTTAGAGACCAGGGAGACGTGATGGACCCGTTGAATTTCCGAACCATCTTTTCTCTGTGCGGCACACGCCGATCTTTGACCGATAAAACAGGTTGGCCGGGGCAGGCCGTGTCTATTGTCAGGTTTGCACGTTGCAAGTCGCTTCGAGCAATTAACCTTGCAATACAGCACAATCTTCAAGCTCGGTTCGACTGTGTTGATGCGTGGGCCAACAGGATTGTCCATCCCGTCTTCGTGTCTTGCTTGACTCGGAGCCCGAACAGGTGGACAAGGTTCCTCGCTTCCATGGCCCTGCATGGCGTTTTTCTCACGTGCAGCCCATCGTGTCCAACAAGGTTGGTCCCAGAATGTGGAATTGACCATACCACAGTAGACCATAACAGGCGAAGAACCCATGGCTTCCGTCATAAATGATGTTGTTGGCCTGCCATCCACACTATGAATAATCTCGGGTATCGGCCCCTTTCTCTCTCCACCTCGGATCGAATCCGTCCAAAGCTCGTCATCACCAGGCGTACACCGTTGGGGGTACCGGTACCGCGTTTGATGAAGCTGACGAAGTGGAAGTGGTAGTTGTCCCAGACCAACTTTCTTCTCCGGGGGGTTGCCGACGAGCCATACCGACGATCTCCCTATCACTCGTCACCATAACACCCAGGATATCTGACAACCACACGACTTGATAGTCAGGGCTAGGAATGGTGACGTGGGGTCAGTGGGTGAAACGCTCTAACTTTGGCCTTCTCTGACATACCCGTCTTCATTCAAGTTTGAGGAGGGCCATTGAGGAAATTCGACCTGGTCAAAACCACGATTCACTCGTACGTAGCAACGTTCCGCGAGAAAGTAGACGGCAATGATGATGAAGACGCAGGGAAAAAGAGCGCCCATAATATTCCACGATGATTGAAGTGAAGGTGGTTTTGACCTCGTGCTCAAGATGTCTGTTTGAGGAGAAGGTGTCGGGAGGGCCAAGGCCAAGCCGGGCCATAGACAGCTGGATAGCAAGATTCGGGTGGTGCTGGAAGAGGGCATTGTCTATTCCACTCGGTGATTCCGATGAGTAAACGCTGGATTGGATTCGGCTGCGCAGAAAAGGGTTGGTAAGGGTTTCCGTCGCTTCTCTTCTCTTCGAGTCCGAAGATTTGTGAACATGGCCGCGAAGAAGTCGAGGTACCATCTGACCTAAGGGCCTGTTGATAGGCTTCAAAGACGGCGGGAACCCAACCATTTGTTGTTAAACCTGAATGTTCCTGTGTCTCGCAACTTGAGGCAGGTGGTAAGACAAGTGTGCCCGTGTCGTCGGCATCTGTCGTGGCCCATTGTCTTGAATCCAGACCTGGAATTGCCTGGTGGTAATGACAATATCAACCCAGACGAGCCGGAAGGTCAGAATTGCTTGAGAGAGTTTCAAATGGAGCCATCTTCTCAGGGTATCTTGGAGCTGGCTGATGAATCCGTAATGATCACAGTCTGCCCTCGTTCATCGGCTGGAAGCTAAGCTACAAAAGAGTGGTGAATGGTCGACCGCATCTCCGTGGCACAGAGACGTAGGTTAGGCATGTCGTGCGTGGTAACTTGGTCGCCGTCGCCGTCGTCGCACCGCAAAGTAAACGCGGTTTGGCAGCACCGCGATACGCCGTGCCTGGTGGCCGCATTCCATGGTGACGACGTTGCTGAGTCAGAGTAGTAAGGTTTCATTGCTTTTCTTTCTCCTCGGTAAGTTTTGTAATAGGCATCGGACTGCCGTGGTGGTGGTGTCGACTGTCGAGGATCTCTGACTGTGACAAATGGAAATACGATGTAAAGTGAGGTTATCGCATCGTAAGTCCGAGCACAAACAGCGCCATTGTCAAAGCCTTTGGTTGTGCATGCAGAAAAGCCTAACGTACACTAACTCTCAACCGCCACTCCAAGTCGTGTGGCTGTTAGTGCCCGGTAATCGCTACATTGACATTATCAATGCCGAGACCCGCGCACCTTCCGAATTGGGTCCTGTAGGCAGTCAGCGATTGGATGACGAATCGACCAAGGATGGGACAGCGGCTGGGCGGGTACCTGGACAGCTGGACTGAGAATTGGCCAATGGTGTCGCGCCAAATCGGTGAGCTCCCCGCTTTTACTCCTCACAGTTGTTGAGAGCTGTCCGCGTGTCGCATCACCTCGGCTGGCACATAGGCAGTTATACAAGTTTGGCCTTTTCCCGTGAGGCGGCACTTCAATCTTCCAACCTCCTCCCCCCCGGGCCATTCCGCTCCTTCAGTCTTGTCCAACAGTCCGCAACGGCCGGAAACCTACCTTAAGTATCACGGTCAACAAAACAAAACAAAGCAACACCAACAATGGACGAGAAGGGCGGCGGGCTGCCCCCGTACAGCGCCGTAGCGCCTCCCCCTCCGGCATGGAAGAGGAAGAAGATGCGCCGGTCTAGAGGCCTCAAGTTCCTCGCGGTTGCCTGCATGGGCTTCATCGCCTACGCCCAGTGGAGACAGCTCCCCTCGCGCTCCGAGCCCGTTAACGGCAACGTCACGGTCCACGGCTTGTCGGTGCAACGCTTGCACGACGACCTGTCCACCTGCTCCAAGCTGCGCCAGAAGCCCCAAGACCCCATCGGCGAGGGTCGCGAGAAGAACGCCCGTTACATCGACGGCCATGCCCCTACCCTCATCAAGAACGCCACCGTCTGGGTCGGAGAGCCGGCCAAGGGCACCTCTGCTGCCGATGCCCGCAAGGGCAAGGGCTACAGCTGGATCAAGGCCGACATCTACCTCGAGTATGGCCTCATCAAGAAGGTCGAGTCCGACATTGCCGCCTCCAGTCTACCCAAGGGCACCCACGTCTTTGACGCCAAGGGCCGTCCCCTGACCGCCGGCATCATCGATATGCACAGCCATGCCGGCGTAGACTCGTTGCCTAGTCTTGACGGAAACGAAGATACCAACGAGCTCTCGGCGGACATTACCCCGTTCGTCCGCTCTATCGACGGCATCCAGCCCAATGACCACCAAATCCAGGTTATCAAGTCTGGCGGTGTCACCACCAGCTTGATCCTTCCTGGTTCGGGCAACAACATGGGTGGTGAGGCATACGCCATCAAGCTGGCTGTTGGCAAGCCCGACGGTCGCAACGAGACCAGTGCTGCCGACATGCTGGCTGACCCCGAACGCAACTGGAGATTCATGAAGATGGCCTGCGGTGAGAACGCTAAGCGCGTCTACGGGAGGGTTGGACAACAGGGCCCTACCAGCCGTATGGGCGAGAGCTGGGAGTTCCGCCACGCCTTTGAGCAGGCGACTAAGTTGGTGCGCGACCAGGATGACTGGTGTGATGCCGCCACTGCAGTCGGCGTGCAAAACATGAAGGGATATCTTCCCCAGGAATTGAAGTGGGAGTCGCTTGGCGCCTTGTTGCGCGGACAGATTCACCTCAACACTCACTGCTACACCATCCCCGATCTCGAGGCTTTCGTCGATCACACCAACGAGTTCAAGTTCAAGGTCCGGGCCTTTCATCATGCCCATCAAACCTATTTGGTACCAGAGGTAAGCTTCAGAGCTGACGAGAAGAGAAGAGGCATTCCTGTTGCTAACGAACCGGACAGATCCTTAAGCGCGCCTACGGTGGTGACCCCCCTGCCTCTGCCATCTTTGCCGACAACATGTACTACAAGGCCGAGTCCTACGTCGGTTCCGAGTTTGCTGGAAAGTACCTCTGGGACAACGACTTGACGCCCATCTATGTCAGCGACAACCCGGTTCTCAACGCCCAGCACGTCCTGTTCGAGGCCGCCAAGGGCCACAAGTATGGCTTGCCCTACCACGCTGCTCTCGCCTCCGTAACTACCGCTCCGGCTGAGCGTCTCGGCTTTGGCAACAGACTCGGCAAGATCAAGCCTGGATTTGATGCCGATGTCGTTGTCTGGGACAGTGATCCTCTCGAGGTGGGCGCTACTCCTGTGCAGGTGTGGATCGACGGGACTGCCCAGTACGAGCACCCTATCGAGCTGAACAAGCCCGTTCCCAAGTTGATCTTTTCGGATGAGAGCACCTCTACCATTGCCGAGGAACCTGTAGGGATGAACTCGGTTGTCTTCACTGGCATCACCAATGTTCTTGGTGACATTGAGATCAAGGGCGGAAGCAAGGACACAAAGTCCTACAGCGCCGTCATCCGCAACGGCAAGGTCACTTGCGTCGGCGTCTGCGCCGATGAGGTGCACATGGCATCTACCTCCAAGATCCCCGTCATTGAGCTCAAGGACGGTCACTTGACCGGTTCTTTCACGGCCTTTGGTTCCCAGATCGGCCTAAACGCCATCGACGCCGAAGATTCCACTGATAACGGTGACAACGTCAATGTCTTCACCCGTGCCGAAGACGGTCTCACCCTCGACACCAAGAAGCTGCACGCCGCCTACAAGTACGGCGTCACCAAGGCCATTACGGCACCCAAGTTCACCGACGGCGCGACCCACCACGGCACGAGCGTCGGCTTCCTCACAGGCGCCACCAACTCCCTCGCCAAGGGCGCCATCTTCGCCAGCGACGTCGCCGTCCACTACAGCCTGGACCCCAACGCCAAAGAAGCCGAGGGCACACCCTCCCTATCCGCGGCCGTCGGCGCCCTCCGCCGCAAACTTCTCCAAGCTGCCACCAAGCTCAAGAAGAACGAGACCATCGAGCCCGCCGACATCTACTCCGAGTCCACCTTCTTGCAAAAGGTCGTCAACGGCTCCCTCCCGCTCGTCCTGACCATCCACAACGCCGACATCATCGCCGCCGCCCTGCGCGTCAAGAAGGACGTCGAGGCCGTCACCTCCAGCAAGATCCATCTCGCTATCTTCGGCGGCGCCGAATCGCACCTCGTCGCCGACGAGCTTGCCGCCGCGCAAGTCGGCGTCGTTCTTGCCCCGCTCCAATCGTACGCCACCTCGTGGGACCAGCGCCGCGCGCTTTCCGGTGCTCCGCTAACTAACGGCACGGCTATCGACGTGCTTATCGATGCTGGTGTGACCGCGGCTATCGGATTGGAGGAGGATTGGCTGGTTAGGGACCTGGGATTGTTGGCGGGTATTGCGTATGCGAATGGAGGCGGGAAGCTGAGCAAGAAGAGTGCGTTGGGTTTGGTGAGTGGGAATGTGTATAAGATGCTGGGGGCTAAGGAGCCCAAGGTTGAGGAGGGGCACTTTGTGGTGTTTGAGGGGAATCCGTTGAGGATTCAGAGCAGGGTGAAGGCGGTTGCGGGGGGGTTGGGGGTTGTTAGTGTGTTTTGAGGAGAAGTGAGGTGAGCGGAGGGGGTGGGTGTGTGTGTGGAAGGGTTTGGATATGAAATGAGGTTTTTGGATGTTGGATGGCAATAAGGGATTGGGATATGAATAGTTACGAGTGCTGATGACGACGTATATACGAAGGAATGATGATATGTTTCTACAAAGGCCATGTCTTTCCATAACAAGCTGCTGTGGTGTGTCCTCCCCTTGATCTCGACCAGTGGCAACTTTTGTGGCCGGGATACCCGTAGTCCGCGAGTCACGGTACATAACCAAAAATTTTCTTTCTGATTCTTCAACAACAACAGGTCCGATGGTGTAGTTGGTTATCACGTCAGTCTAACACACTGAAGGTCCCCAGATCGAGCCTGGGTCGGATCATCTTGAATACCCTTTTTTTTGCTTTTTTCTTCTTCTACCAGCCCTTCATCTTTCCCCTTCTGACCGTTGATCATGATGATCATAACCATTGTCGAGAATTTTTGTATGTCTTTGACAAGGCCTGGATGTCCTACATCTTTTTCTGCGTATTGCATTACCTCTCTGTTTGTACTCTTTCCTTTTTTTTTTTTTTTTTTTCACCCCCTTTTTTTTTTCTTTTTTTCTTCTCCTCTTCATTTTCCTCTTCATTTTCCTTTTCTTTTCCCTTTTCTTCTTTCCGTTCTTTTCCCCCATTCCTCATTCTTCATTCGTCATCCCCGACCAGCCGCCCGATCAATGGTCATGATCGCGCCTACCTATTTTCTTTTTCTTCCACCACCCGACTCCAGTCCCACTTCGCAACAGCCAGGTAGATATGCTTTCCGATTAGATCGTCAGTTTTTCCGGGCCATGGTCATTCATGATCGCGCCTACCTATTATATTTTCTGCTTTCAGTCAGTCCCGTTTCGCACAACCGTTCTTTTCATTTTCATTTCTGTTCCTTACGAGCATGGCGTGTCTTCTTCTCTTTCCTCACTCAGTTCTTCATTCGCACAGCAATTGTTCCCTTTCCATCTGCATTTTTTGACTTCTTCGCTGCTTGAATTCTCTCGCCATGTCAAGTAGGTAGGTAGGTGTCTGGGAAGGCCTTTAGTATGCATACGAGGTATCCATGTGTGAATTTTGTTGTTGGTAGGGGTATGGCATCTTCGAAATTTCTTCTGGACGACGATATCTTGAATAGGAACGTTGATGTTCGGCGACAAAGTCATATATCGATCTCGGACATTGCAGCGTGACGGATCTTTCACCGAGAACTCGACTAGATGCCTTATTGCCGCGATTCTTGTCGCCAGTCATCACGATAGACAATTCATTAGAAGGTGTTGCTCAAGTCCTTCTTCATCATATGTAATTACTATTACATTTTTATGTACTTGCATCTCCGTCGTTGATATCCAAGCATCCAGTTCATATCCAGTCCGATCCCAACCCCCTCAATCGACGCTCCTCCACGAGTTCATCCCCAAAACTCCATCAGCTGCAGCTATCCTCCAGCCCCTCATCCCGTCCCTCAGACCCTCCCATCTCCTCCCGCCCCAATACCGTGTAAACAATCAGCACATAAACCGATAAACCCTCTTCCACCGAGGCCACCCCATCCTCTCCTCCTTCTCCTGCGCCTTAATAATCCCCAGTCGCCCAAAATCCCTGCGGCCGGTATCAATATCCATATCCTCGATCCTCACCATCTTGGTCTTATAATACAGTTTATGCGCAATAGTAAACACGATCACCACCGGAATCGCCAAGCAGCTCAAGAAGAAACTGCTCACCCTCTCTTTGATCGTCATTTTCGGCTCGCCCTCATCGATAGGGTCGATGGCCACCCATATCTGGAGGACCAGGACCAAAACGTTGAGGAGAAAACCGATCCAGGACCCGATCACCCCGCCCTGAGCGCGGAAGGCGATGTCCTGCACCGAGCGGTGGTTATACGCCCACGCTTTGCGCAGGCGGATGTGCGCCAGGCAGGTGGATGCCCAGGTGAAGATGGACGAGAGCCCCGAGATGGCGATGAGCCAGTCAAAGACGGCGCTTTGGTCGGGCACGTCAGCCAGATAGGCCAGGAGGCCGACGGCCATGGTGACGATAATAGCTACGACTGGACGGCCGCGGCGGTCGACGTAGGCAAGGATGGACGGGGCTTCGCCTAGTTCGGCTAGGGCAGCCAGCGTGCGCGAGGAGCCGTAGACGGCCGAGTTACCGACTGAGATGACCGAGATCAGAATGACGCCGTTCATGATAGACGGGAGGACGGTGGCGCCGGCGGATTCGATGGCGATCACGAAGGGTGAGGCGGAGGCGTCGGCGACGTTTTTGGCGTTGAGGAGACGAGGCTCGTTGTATGGGACTAGCAGACCGACGAGCGTCATGCTGACGATGTAGAAGAGCGCGATACGCCAGAAAACTTGCTTGATGGCGGTAGGTAGCGATTTGCGCGGGTTGGCGGTCTCGGCGGCTGCTAGGCCAACGAGCTCGGTACCGGCAAAGGCGAAGGCGGCAGAGACGAAAACGGAGGAGAGACCTTTGAAGCCGTTGTGGAAGGCACCGGGGTCTGTCCAGTATTTGCCGCCGATGTAGCCTTCAGTTGGGGTGCCGCCGATGTTGATTACTATGCCTAGGAGGCTTGGGGTGTGTTAGTCTAACTGAGGGGATGGACGGGTTTCGGGTCGGGCTAGTGGGAAGGGGGGTGGATGAGCACCTACATGAATCCTACTACAGCGGTAACTTTGACGATGGCGAAAATGAACTCTGCCTCGCCGTATCCTTTTGCGCCAAAGAGATTGATGATGAAGATGACGACCAGGAACATGGTCACAAAGATGGCTTTGTTAAGCTCGTTATTCCAGTACCCTATCGTCATGGCGCCGGCTAATACCTCGAGTGGTAGCACGACGATCCACTGCAGAGCATAGCTAGAAGATGAGTGTCAGTCGCTTTTCTTTTCATCTTCACATAGACTCGATAGACTTACTTCCACCCCATAGCAAATCCCCAACTCGGATCCAGAAACCTCGTCGAGAAGGCCGAAAACGATCCGGCCACGGGAAAGATAACGGCCAACTCGCCCAAGGCCTGTATCGTGCAAAAAATCAAGACACCAATGATGAGATAGCCAATCAACACGCTCGCCGGTCCGCCTTCGCTCAACACCTTCCCGGAGGCAACGAAAAATCCCGTCCCGATGGACCCTCCAATGGCAATCATCTGGAGATGCCGGCCCTTGAGGTCTCTAGCATATAGCTGGCTGGGCATGTCGGTTTTGGTGTTACCTTTGCGCAAATCATAGTACCGCGTGCCGCCGTGGTCGCGCGAGACGCTGTGGGAAGAATACCCGTGGGAGCTGGTGTTGTTGTCGTCGTCGAGGTCGGGCTTGTTGTCGTTGATGGTGCCGTCGCCGCGGCGGAAGGAGTCCACGAAGCGACTCATCTTGCCGTGGAAGCCTCCTCCCGCGCCACCACCACCACCAACAACAGATTTTGAGCGGGCATGGCTCAAGCCGCCGGGTGAGGCATCGGCAAAGGACTTGGCCCGGAAAGATGGGGAGACGCCGCCGACGGTGAAGGTGCTTCCCTCGGCTATGCTGCGTTGTCGACCACCGCCACCATTACCACTGATTCCGAGTCCGTGAGAGTGTGAGTAAGCGTTGAGCTCGATGTCCTGATCGAATGCTGTCATGTTTGAAAGAAGATGGTGGTCGATTTGCTGGTTACATTGACGCTGATGACGTGAGGGTTTCCTTCATAAGGAGTGTGTTGTGACAGAGGGTGTGAAGTCGGAAGTCGGTAATAACGAAGGAGACCAGTCGATATCGAAGGAGTGAGATATCTGTTGGCCTGACACACTACACTGTACGTGAACCACACTTGTTCACCGCAGGCTAAAACCTGATGAACGAGCAGGGTTAGTATAGGAAGGGGTTGAAGGTGCCTATGCAAGCTCTATGAATAAAGGCTTGGCCGAAGAAGCACAATCGACTGATGAAAAGACGGAATGGGTCCGTCTGACCCTTGAGAAGAAAGAAAGCTTCTCTCGTTTTGGTGTTTGCCCCGCAACCAACAAAGACAAGTGAAGGCAGAGTTGCGATAGGAAACCCGTGTCTTCGGTTGCGTGTATCTGGCTGTGACTGACCCTGGTCTTGTCTTGAACTCTGAGTGTCCCTCTTTGGGGAGTTGCCTTCTTTGGAGCCCTCTAGGTTCCCTCGGCCCCTCCTTCCCGAGTCTGACCTTGTCCCCCCTGCTGTGCGTCACTGGGGGCAGTAGTGGTCAGTCTAGTCTAGCTTGGCTGCATGTGTTATCTCTTCCACGGGGGCTTCCACAATGCCCAGAAGGCCGGTCTGAGGAAGCGAGCTGCGAGTCCGGGTTGGATAAATCCGATATTCCGTCAGACGTCTATTGCCACGTCTATTGCCCCTGAATATAGGGCTTGGGTGTGTGTCTGATAACAAAGACTTTTGCGGCACGGCAGGATTTACGGGCCGTTGAATGTTGTCCAGTCTTTGGTTCAGTTCTCCTTGGAAAAGAAACCAACGGACGGGCGAATGGCAATTTCCTTTTTTGTTATCACTCAAAATCCCAAATCTGTCCCAACACCATCCCCGACTATCGGCGAAAGCTCGCAAAAAGGATCCACTCTCAACGCCCTGGCCCCAGTGCCCCACGGGATTGGCGCCAAGAGCAGATGACGGTCTCCACTCTCACCTTAACAGAAGGTACTATCAATTTGGTGGGCTATATCTAGCTAGTAAGACGAGGGTTCTGTAAGAGGACTAGCCTCCCAGCTACCCCAATAGCGCTGCAGACCTTCCTAATACTCTGGGATCTCCTAACCTGTATGTACAGTCTTTCTACTCTATATATTTGATTAATATAGCGATTAACCTATATTCTCTACATTCACATAACTGTACAATCTAACAATTAACAATATAAATTCGTAATTCCTATACTACACAAATATATTTAAAAGTATAAAATCTATCTATATAACCCCTTATACGACCGAAACTATGTTCCTATCCAAGGATCTACTTCTAAATTTAACTAACTTTACTTTGATACCCCTTCAAAATTCCGTAAGTAGAATAATAAATTCCGAGGGTACGCTAAAGGCCTAAACTTTACTAATGATTTATAAGGCTTCGAACTAACCGTTACTAAGCCTTAAGAATTGCGTTATTCTAATTACGCCCTTAAAGTTATAATTACCTGCCATATCGAAAGAGTTCGAAAATCCCTCCAACGCTTCAAAATTAAAATCCTAATTTATTGTAATCTGGTAGCCTTCAATGCTATTTCTATAATTACTAATAAAAACCTTAATAACGAAATCGAAAATATTAACTGGTCCGAAGAAAATTAATTAGCCGATATTATTATTTAATTGGCCGATTTTAACCCCCCGGCTATTAAAGAATATAAATATAATAACGCTATATATAATAACCGCTAAAAAATCTACGAATTATTTAAAACTACTAATATTGATCTTCGAAAATAAATATAAGAAACTATATACCTAGATTATAAAATTAACTCCTTCGCGCCTTTAGAGTCTATTGCTGTATAATATATTCGGGTTTTTAATATTTATAACTATTGTAAAGAAAGTACTATAATCGAAATATATTAACGTTATTATAATTATATTAAACCTTTATCGAATGAACTTCATAAGAATTGTTATAGAATAAGTAAATAAATTAATAATTAGGATTTAATTATAATTAATGCTATATAGTATAAAATCCTAAAAGTTAAAATAGCCGTTGCGTAATTTAAAAATTTATTAAATTACTTAAAATTTATTCGCCCTAATTAAATATTTGGAATTTCGAAATTTCTAACGAAAAAATTATAGCTAATACCCTTAATTTCTATATTATATCTGGGGACTATTATTATAAGGACTTATACGAACGACCTCTAACTACTGCGGTTAAGGCTAAAGAATATAAAAGAGCGTTTAAAATAAGTATTATTTTTAATAATTCGTAAGGTAATAATATTAAGAATAAAAACGTTCGACCTAATAGAACTTATAATTAATGTAAGAAGAAGCGTAATATGAAGACTAAAGACTATTTCCTTTGTTATAAAATATATAAAGAGGGTATATATATTATTAAATAATATTAGTATATATTCCCCGCTTTAATTATAACTGTAAATTTACACTAGAAGCCTAATAAAAAGACTTAAAATAAAATTCTAAAGAACTTTCAAGATAATATAAAATTGAAAGAATAGTCGAAATTTATAAACGAAAAATAATAAAATAATACGCCCAACCCCTTCCTAAATTCAACGATAAAAATAATTAATTCTCTAACGAGAGTAGTATTTATAAAATAGCATTGAATATTAGTAAAATTATTTTTTATATTAAGGAAAATTCAAATATTTATCTTTTTAAAAATAATGTAATCCTCAATTTTAAAAATTCTCTATATATATTTAATGAAATTTCTTACTTTTTTAATTTTCGTTATACCTTATATAATAATAAAATTTAAATTAAAGATTCTTATATTTTTATTAAAGATTATAAAAATATAAATATTATTATAAAAAGAGTAAAAGGAAATTAAAAAAATTTCGATTTAATAATGTAGCTTTCTACCTGAATTTTATAATTAACTTCGTATTTCTTTACTTTTTATATAAGAAAAATTTCTATTAAAATTAAAAACCTTTAAATAATTATTTATATATCCTAAATAATTCTCTTTTCTATAGCCTCTCTATGTATTACTGCCAAATAATCTTTAAAAATCTCTCTTTAACCTTTTTGAAAGCCGCTTTCTTTACGCGACGAAAGTAATTTAATTCACTAACTAGCCGAAAATACTATAAAAAAAAACTATTATTTAATATTATTAATTTGGTTATTACGGTTTTTAAGTATTAAGTTATTTTAATAACGTTATAAGAGCCCGCCTTAAAGGATTTATAATTATAAATTATAACGTTTGTGCGATATTGAAAAATAAAATAATAAATTAAACGAAAACTTCGAAATTGTAGCTATAAATTTAGAAAAAGATTCGCTATTAATTTTTTAAATTATAATAAGAGCCGTTAGGAATATTCTAGCGTTATATTTATTATTTATTAATATATTGGGTATATTCAGAATTATTATATAATAAATTGAAAAGTTATAATTATTACGTCCTTTTTGAACGACTTCTTTATTATCTTTATTAATTAATATAATATCTAACTTAAAATTATTAAATATAATTATAAAATTACCGGCTCCAAAGTAATAAAAAACCTCTTCACTTTTAGAAATATAATTATAAAGCCCTTTACCCTAAATACTTAAGTATAGAACGGTAGTGTAAAGCGTTCGGGAAGTATAATTAAAGAGAAATTTCAAATAATAAATTTAAACATATATTTCACGAAAGATTTATAATTAAATATTATCTTTATAGTAATCTACTTTAATAACCGATCGCCTAAATAGCTCTACGATTAGAAATCATCTTACAAACGGTTTTATACTTTTATCGCCTACTGAAATAACCTTTATACGTTATCCCTACGTAAATTAAATATAATATACTTACGCGTCTATAATTATAAAATATATATAATAATTACCGCTACTTAGAAGAAGGAGTAAAAACGCTAAAAAATAAACCCTAAAGCCTAGATAGGATATTTTATTAATTATGTAACTTCTTTAATTTACTAAATTTAGAATCTAATTACAAATACGTGTAACGAGTCTGCACGAGAAAAGCACTGCGTACAATCGTATAGTTGAAATGCTATATTTGACAAAGAAAGCAAGAAGGAAGACTGCACCAGAAGGGTGCAATTAAAATAAAATTTTAAAGTGCAGCGCACGGGCTAGGCAAGCCAGGTAATCGGGTAGGTCTAACCAACCAAAGGGGGTATATTAGCCTTAGCGCCAGCCAACTACATACAACTAACTTAATAATAGCCAAACTTAACCCCTAAGCTCTAGCCCTATAATATTACCTCCCTACTCCTCCTCTTTAGAAAGTAAGGCAACAATATTAATTTAAAAAGAGGGTCAAATATAATATAACGGGTCTACACGAAAAAAGCATAGCGTATAATTATATAGTTAAAATCCTATATTTAATAAAGAGAGTAAGAAGGAAGATTGTACTAGAAGGGTACAATTGAGACAAGGTTTTAAAGTGCGGCGCACAGGCCAGGAAGGCTAGGCAGTCGGGTGGGTCTAGCTAACTAGAGGGGGTGCATTAGCCTTAGCGCTGGCCAGCTGCATATAACTAGCTTGGCAACAGCCAAGCTTAACCCCTAGGCTCTAGCCCTATGACAATACGGTTATTAATACCTATAATATATTATTTAACGAAAATACCCTTTTGTTTAAAGAAATACTAAAGGAAATATAATCTTTATAAATTACTTCTAATGAATTTACAATACTATTCAATTAATATAACTAATCCTAATTAGCGCTAAAAATACTAGATTTCGTAAGTAACCAAATTGATTTTGAAAATACCTAGATATACAATCTCCTAAATTTACTATTAGAATCTAACTAAACCCTTTAAAAAGGAAAAACTAACTGTAATTCTCTAAAACCCTAGCTAGAAAATTCGAACTCTCCCGCTAATAAAATATCCTTCAATTTCGTCTTTAATAAAAATTACCCTACTCTTCTTAATATATTACCGCTTACGTACTTTTTTATAGACTTATATTTTAATAAACGTACTAAAAACGAAATTTATTACAATTTCAAACTATAGAAGGCTCTATTTAACGTAGGAAAACTTTATTAACTTACGGCCAAATACTATAATAAAATAACTATAAAAGTAAAATTAAAACGCCTTTCCTAAAAAAATAAAATTATTATTTAAAAGGAATTCGATTTCCTCGTTTCTATAAATAAATTCTAGATTATTTACCGCTAGAGATTACCATTACTACTAAAAAATTATAAGTTTTTTAATTATTACCTTTTTAGAAACCTCTTTAAAAATAGAGTAAATCTATTTTCATAATTATAAAAAAATAAAAAATTAAACAAAGGTCGATAGGGACGAGTTAAGGATTAAGGGGAAATAATTACTTAATTATATATAAATATATATATACAAATTCTTTAAAAATAATAAATTTAATAAAATTAAAATATATTTCGTTGTACGAAGAAATTAATAAAAGAAGGAAGTAATGTAAAAAATGTATATTTTTATATTCGCTAGCCAATCCTTCTATACTTCTATTACTATAATTATTTATTTCAACTTCGAATTTATTTAATATAATATTATCAATATTTTCGTTAACGCTTATATAAATAAAGAAATCTATATAAGTATACCCCCAAAATACTAAATACTAAATAAATTATTTAAAATTATAAAGGCGTTATATAGACTAAGGTATTCCCTGCTTTTTTAGTAACGCGAATTTACTAATGCGTTTATTACCTCAAATTTCGAAGCGGTCCTAGAAAAACCCTATATTCTTATTAATAATAATGTATTCCTCTTCTATTATATCGATAATATTGTTTTTACCTTCTACTGTAATAAAAGCGAAGAAGCTTACTAATATATAAATAGCCTCAAGTAGCGATACTATTTTACAGGAAGTAAAGAATTATAATAGTTTTAAAGTATTAAAATTATATAAAACTACAAAGCACGGAAAATTTAATTATTTCAACGATTATACTTATAAAAAATATACCGCCTTAAAAATAATAAAAGAATAATATAGTTACTTATAGCTAATATTGAACTTAGACCCTTCAAGAAAAAAGTATTTAATAAATTAATATACTAATACTAAATTAAAATTAGTTCTATTCTTTACGTAGTAATTATAATATGACCGGAAATTACTTTCGCTATAAACTGCTTCGCTAAATATAATTATAACCCTAATTTAAACTATTATAAAGTTATGAATAAAATATTATATTACTTATATACTATTCTAAATATAATGCTATATTATAAAAGCGAAGATACCTTACAAATTATTTTAAATATATCCTTTACAAACAATTCTATAAATCGAAAAAACTTATACAATTTCACAATTAAATTTTTTAGTAGTTTAATATACTAGGGAATTACTAAATAAACGACTATAACTATATTAACGATTAAAGCAGAGCTTATTACCCTTTTAAACGTAGTAAAGGAAATTATTTTTATAATATATTTAACATAAAATTTAACTATGAAATTCGTAGATCCTATCCCTACTATTGATTATAATAATAAATAAATAATTAAAATAATAACGGTCGAAGCTTTTAAATCAATAACTAAATTAAAATACGTAAATATCTATAAGTATTAGCTTAAATAAGAAATTATAATTAGAATTATTGAAATTAAGTATTTAAAAATAATAAAAATGTTTATAAACGGTTTAACAAAAGTATTATCTATATAGAAGTATATAGAATTCAGGGGATTACTAAGAATAGTTTCAATTAAGGAGAAGAAAGAAAAGAAGAGATATATAATAAATTATATTAAATTGGAAAACGTAGAAGAAATAATTAGAAATAGGAAGGTAATATATAAATAGTTTTAACTTTATCCCCAAAAGGGATTTTAATTGGGGAGATATATTAATTTAGTAAGCTATATTTAGCTAATAAGACGAGGGTTCTATAAGAGGATTAGCTTCCTAGCTACCCCAATAGCGCTATAGACTTTCTTAATATTCTAGAATCCCCCAACCTATATATGCAATCTTTCTACTCCATATACTCGATCAATACAGCAATTAACCCATATTCTCTACATTCACACAACCGTGCAATCTGATAGGTACAACCCCAATGTTGGCCCTTGATTTGAGGCTTTTCACAAGGGACCTTCCCGCTTTGAGTTTCATCCTTCCTTCATCGACTGACAGAGACGGTGATCAAGGGTCCCGAATTATTGTCACTATGCATCATGTCTGGCATGTTTGGCATGTCCCTTCCACCCAACTCCAGGCTTCCATGTTCTGTAGGTATTGATCGTCCATCCATTGTGCGTGGTGTTTTTTTTTTTTTTTTTTTTTTTTTTTTTTTTTTTGCAATTGGCAAAGTTGGACGTACGACGCCAAGACGCCATTCCAATCACAGGCAAGAACGGGATGGCGCACTTTTGCGATTTACATCATCGCATGTGTCCATCGCACCTGCCGCGTTTGATAAACGCCACCAAGCCAACTCGAGTCTCGAATGGTTTTTTCTCAGTGGCCCCCAAAGATTCCCAGTGGTTCAAAACCATCCCCCCATCACCATCCTTAATGCCCATCTATCAACATGAAAAGAACCAATGGCTTCCCCCCAAAACTATATCATCTCAGTCTGAGTCGTCTCAGAAGGGGGGCAATGGCAATGTGTAGTGGTGGGTGGATTTCATCATTGAATGCAAGTGTGAGTGGGAATCGCTGTGGTTGCGCTGTGGGAAGATCAGTTGGGGTGATAGACGCTCGAACCCTGTGCGACTCCATCTCCGAGCTTGTCGGCGTCCAGGGGGCCCCGGGGGCCTTTTCGTTATCAACGCCCATTCGACAAACTATAGGCGCTACGGCCAGACCACTTTTTGGCGTCATTTTTTGGCGGCGTCTTTCTTGAGCGTGCTCGACCTGCAAATCACCTTGACTAGAGATCGATCGATATTGAAAAAAAAAATGACATATTTGCATGTTATTACATTTTTGCTGTAATTTCAGCTATCTCAATGATCCGTGCACCAGCCCGTGCACTACCTAGGTACCCAGAGCCTGGAACGCCTGGATTGTACTGGGCTCAGCGTCCTTCTGTGCCTAAGACGTGGGCACCTGGCAGCGAAGGACAACCCGTGTAAAAATGAGGAAAATGGTTATCTCAGCATTCAGACCTCTCTTTCCCGGGTGCAGTCTTATACCTGGGTACGTACCTTCGCTTCGGTTCAGTGGGTCCATGGTGTGGCAGCTGACAGACCCACTTTTATTTGAGAACACCCGAAAAAGAGGTCCGAGTTCCCAATTGGATCGGAACCGTGAACGTGCATCCATCCGTTTTGAGACTTTTTCCAAAAAGACATCACAACCACAAAGCATGAAAAGGTATTCTAGTAATGCAAAGTACACTCGGAGGTAGAACTTTGAGCTGGCTTTCTAATGGTACTATTCTTTTCTTTGTCCGATGAAGAAGAGTATAAATCCTAACCCCAAAGGAAAAAGAATTACGTACATCCGCCCTTTTTTTGGGCATTCTTCTAAGGTTGGGCATTGAGGTAAACACTTTCCTTCACCGGACAAAGAAAAAAAGAGTATCATTAGAAAGCCAGCTCAAAGTTCTACCTTCGAGTGCATTTTGACTATTTGCATCCCAGTAGTGGTGTTGTAGTTAAGGAGTGTTTGGTTTTGGGCCCCTGAGTTGGGATTTATGACTACGCTTTGGACCGAATTGGGAACTCGGACCTCCCTTCGGGAATTCAAAAAAAGTGGGCTTGTCAGCCCGACACAGCTGCCAGGCGCGGTACGTACCTATGAGATCTGAACGAAGAAAGGGAGGTCTGAGCACTGAGATAAGAAAATGGGACCATTTTGTTCATAAAATTTACCATAATTATGGTAATTACCGCTAGTTATGAAAAGTCAATGGATCTCTATGCAAATGAACACCTTTCTTGTTTATCTGGGAGGGATCCGGGCTCGAAAGAGGCCCGAAACGAAGTGAGGGACACGGACGGCCCCATACATTGCCACGAGGGATAGGTGATGCCGATAACGGGAAGCAACCTCTGGGCTACGAGGTTCGTTCGCCCTGATGCCCTGCCCCTTGTCTCTGTTCCCCCCCTGACAGCCAGGGCCCTAAAGAAACCACCAAGACCTCCAAGACCGACGATACCTGACGACTAAACACTAGTTCTACTTACCGACGAAGCGAAGAAGCCACAGAAGGTCCGAGCAACGACAATCACGATAATGGATTCGCCAAGTAGCCGGCCTCGAGCCTTCGGAGTTCGGAGCCCTCGAACTTGACGGCTGAAGCCATTCCCTTTCCAGGGGCATTCATCCGGTATTAACTGAATTCTACCTTGTCGTCGCACTCCGCTGTCCGTGCATGTCTTGTCGTGTGGTTCACGCAAGTTTGGCATCTTGACTGTGAGGGCTTGGGAGCCATTCGGACGGGTGCAGTGCGTTTCTGGGGTAGCTAGGTAGAGATAGTTGACGAGGCATGGCAGGCAGGTTTAGACGAGGGCAAAGTATTAGCAGTCGTCTAAGTCGTCTGGTCGTCCAACACCGAGTATGGAACACGGAGTAGGGCACTACACTGACGGTAACAAACACACCATCTGTGAAGTGCATGGGAATACTGCAACAAAAACAATTGCAACGAAGCCGCTTCTTTAGACGCTGCTACCGTATCAATCAACAAGAAAAGCTAAAAAGAGGGTATCCAAAAAAGTCCCCCATCATCATAATGTACATGCCATCATCCAGTCACACAACACCTCATCAACATCATCGTCAATCAAACCTCCTCCTCCTCCTTCCCAGGCAACGACCTTAACAACTTGGTCGTCCCCCTCGTCACGCCCCTCTCCCCAGCCGCCACGATCCTCGGCGCCTCCCTAATCTGATGATGACTACCGTACGGACTCTGCGGCACCCGTCCGCCATCATGCTGCGCTCTCAAATCGTCCTCGTTGGCCTCCGTGACCGTGACGCTGATTTCTGTCGTCTTCATGACCGTACCGAAGTACATGTCAGGTTTGGGAATCAACGACTCTTGGGAATCCCTTGATCTTGGTTTTGCTTCGGGAAGGTTTCCGTTGCTAGAGGCGACGCTACCCCGTGCTTCCCGTGCTTCTTGATCTCCGTGCAGTCCTCCATTTTCATGGGGCGTGCTAGCAATCGTCCCACTACTCCCAATAGTATCCCTCCTGATAATAATACCAGCCTTATTATCGCTCCCCGCCGCTGCACTGACGCCGTTAGGCCCGTATATCATGCTCCCCCTCTTATCATTATTCGTTCTATTAGCGAACGAATTCATGGTCGTCCGTCTAGTCATCAGAGATCCGGTCTTCGTATCCCTCGCATACGCAGCATCCACCGGAGAAACATACGGCTTAAACTTCTTCTTCTTGGGTCCCGTATCCCTCACAAACGTGCCCAGCGCAATCGCATTGTTGACAAACGTCGCCACCAGAATCTCCACGCTCGCCCACATTGTTCGCGTGCCCTGGTACCCTTTTTCTGCCAAAATGTTGGGCACCCGGTACAGCGTGATGCAGACTGTGCACAGGCCCAGGCAGAAAAGGCTCACCAAAAGGACTTTGCGCTTAAGCTTGATGCGCGACTGGATCAGGATCGGGATGGGGAAGACGACGAGCAACAAGTCGGTGAGGACGCTGCAGGCTGCCACGACGAGAAGGTGCGCGTAGGATTGCCGGCATTGCCCACCGGGGTCGGGACTGACTTGCCAGTAGTGGGTTACCGGGAAGCATTCGGAGAGGTTGCTGATGAAGCAGGCGAGAAAGGTGAGGCCGATGGTGGTTTGCAGGAAGCGCAGAGTGAGGTTGTAACTGGATTTGCCAGCGGTGCCGACGAGGCGGTTGAAGAAGAGGAGGGTGATTGTTTTGAGGGTCCATAGGCTGTTGGTGTCACCAACCCTGTTAGCTTTGACTCTTAGATATTGAAGAAAAGGTAGACGTACGTAGTAAAGTAAAAGAAACGAGTAGCCAAAACAAGCTTGCTTCCAACCACCCGCCTATCTATCGCCTGCTCGGAGAGATGCAGTCCCTCCTTGTTCACGAGCTCAACGTTGTTGGTGCCGTATACAAGAACCACATGCACACATGCGATTCGGATGTACATGGGAATCAGGGAGAGGGCTGCGATCTTGTCCTCGAGGAACAACTTTTCCATGCGCACATAGCGCCCAAGCACACGGAGGATGATGACGACGGTGCAGAAGAGGGTGAGCCACCAGCTCACGAGCAGAACTGGCTTGTCGTCGCTGAACGGCCTCAAGGCCGGTGGGTCCGTGTAGAGAGTCATGTCTGTCGGGTTGTTTTGATATGTGTGATTATGGCATAGTCATTGGGACTAGCCCTCGTCGAGTGAGTGAGTGATCGATCCTGTTGGATATTGTAGGTAGTGGTGATAGTGAAGGAGTGTCGAGCTGGCTAAGGTAGGTAAAGAAAGAAAGACAAAGTTTGTCAACCGGCTGGTTTGTGATGGTGTGTATCACGCCGTGTAAGTCCACGCTCACAAGGAGTGAGCCAGAAGAGGCCCAGTAAACTGAAGATGAAAGACCATGGTTGTTTGACTGGCTGGAGTGTTGGTGAGAATCGGGAGGGAACTTTGGCCTCCAAAGAACATTTGTCGATGGTGGTTCGAGAAGCCGGGGTATAGATTTCGTTAAGAGAAGCCGGGGTATAGCGCCGGAACCATTCAAAGACCGCATTCTGCGGGCAATGCTCATCACCTGCATTCATCCAGAAAGGGTTCGAGTTACCGAAAGTCTTCTCTTGCAGTGTTCGGCCTGTGACTGGCTAGACCTGTCTAACCCGATACTCCCTAGCTATTTCCCCGTCTGGCCTATCTTGCAGTCGAGAGTAGCATCGTAGCATCGAACAGGCGCCAAGCCCCGTCATGGTATGGAGTCCAGCCCACCCCCATGCTGACATCTGAATGGTTGCAACAATTCCATCGTGATGTGCCTCGGGGTGGTCCTGGTATACTAACATCGTGACATCCACTTGGATCTTCATGTTGGATTTTGCGGGAATATGATAAGGTGGTATCTGGTTTTCAATGTTGGTTCCTGACATGACTCGGAACCAAACTTTGAAGTCCCTGTCTGCATCACGACAGGCACAGGGCATCATGCATTCCGATATTGCTTGACTCAATGCAGTGTGGCAGCATTGAGGACTTCCAGACGAGTTCCAGGTCTCACCTGGGAATATTATACACAGTAATGCTACCTGCCCCTGCGTTTTAGACGACCTCTACCACACACAGAGAGTGTCGGGTCCGGTCGGAACGCCTCGCCGTTGTTGCTTTGATATGGCTGCGGCCTGGCCATTATTCGGTTCCAGTCCAGAGGTTCAAGTAATGTCGTACCGTACCTAATTGACCGTCCTCAAAGAAGTCGAGGCCCCTACCGTCCGTCCGGATGAATGCGAATAAAACGGCCGACGTTACGCCTGGCGTGGTTTTTTGTTCCGAGACCATGTGCAATGTTGAGGTTGTGATGCAGTTGCAACGCAGCACACGTTTTGCGAAGTGCCGGATCGTCGTCGTCGGCCGGAAGGAAGGAGAAGATAAGGAAGATTCGCAAGCGAAGAAGCAAGGAATAAGCTGAGAACGTCATCGGGCTGAAATGGAAAGAAGCAGGGCAAAGACGCCATCACGGCAACCCGAAATGTGAACTCCACGCGGACTCCACGCGAGGCACCAGGTCCAGGGGCACCAAAACAGCGCTGACAGCACTAACAGCACTAACAAGAGCCCGCTAGCAAGGTGCCAAGGAATACCACACCCCGACACCCCCCCGCGTTCAGCGCCCGGCGCCGAGCCCCGTAATCAGCATGGGCTCCGTATCAGACAGGGGCCCAGGGGTCCGGTGTAAACACTAACAGGCGACTCTTATCGCTTCTAATCTCGCAAACCCGGCCTCCTTTTGACTTGGTATGGGCGGGCTAGGGCAGTGCAGCAATCACATGCAAACCAAGGGGCTCATCGATGTCGACGAGGTTCTGGTAGAGGTGGAGGTAGAGGTGAAGTTGGAACAAAGAGCCTGATCGTCAGGGTCTGCTGGTCGATGATGACGACAATGATGATGATGATGGTCGCAGGCATTCCCCAGGATTTGGAAGGGAAAAACGAACGTTTGCCACGAGGAAGGAAAGACAAGACAGCCTTAAGTCCAGATTCGGTCCTCTCTCGTCTCGCTGCTTTTGAAGTCTCGTTTCTACCACGAGGGGACAGTATCCTGCTTCGTTGAAGGGTACTTGCTGCTGACTTCAAAGCAGCGCTGCGTGCCGTGGTTCACGTCCAGTACCATCTTGGAAACGAACAACCGCCGGTGATGAACTCGCTTTAAACGATAAAGTCTCCAGCAATGCTCCGGACATCATATCGTTCCTCTCAAGTACCCCTCTGTCAGGCTTGTTCCTGTTGTTGTCGAGGGAATTTGCCTTTGTGAATGAATTCGCTTTGGGCGATGAAGGCTGCTACACAACAGTAACAATATGAGTATGGGCCGGAGATTCCTTATCCTTCGTGCTCGTGGCAGCTGGACAAGACATGGTGACCAGAGCCCATTCTCTGAAAGCACTCCAGTCGCATTGCGGTGCGATTTTGTCCACGGCAGCTCTTTGGACACGGCACTGGTCACGGCTGCATCCCTTGATGTTGGTATGAATGCAAAGCTGAGCAAGCTGAGAAAGGAACCCCATGTCAAGGTCGGAGAGCCCGAGGTTGGGTTCGGTTACCCAGAGCCCGGGTCGTGGAGACGAATTGATACACAGGCGCTCTTCACTCAGAGTACGGGGGCCAGAGTGCGTAAGTAGAAGGTGTTGGAAACTGATGGCAAAGACAGGAACGCGATCCTCATCGGGGTCCGACTGCTTGGTTTCATTGTTTCTTCCTGGGTGAGCCGGGTAGGAGTTGTTGGGGTGTCTGCAAAAGTGTTAGCCCGTTGATATCATGGTATCCGCGCCTCCCTGATTGCTCACTTTGCCATGTCCTCAGAGTCAGAGTCACTAAAGGAATGGTCCACGTCGTCGAACTCGTCATAACCACCATCCGGACCAAGATGGGCCAGCATTCGGTGATATGCAATGGTTTGGGGGACAATGCCAAGATCATGCTCGGCACTCGAGGCACAGCGGCGCTGCTGAGGAGATAGGGGAGCCGTATCCATGGTCGAAGCCGCCGTTGAGGATCCTGTAGGTCATGGGAATGATTAGGGGTGGGATGTGAACTGGCCTCAACAACGGCGGCACTTGCCCGTGTATTAAGCCCATGGTGTTGAGCCTCATGGAGCATCCCATATCAAGCTTCAAGCCGCAATCGAACAATCTATCGCGTAGCGGCATTCTCCAACGTCAACTGCTGAGGCGTTCAATTTTTTTTTTCCGGCGCTGGCTCCGGCCTCCATGAGACGACGTTCGAGCCCAACATCCGGGAACTTGACAAGGCAACGAATAGGATTGTCGATCGTTTAATGCTTGGATGTGCTGTCAACAGGTTGTTAGCGCAAAAGGGGTCTGGTAATGAACACGTCGATATGGACTTGCGCTGGGTTAGGTTTTTGCGCAAGGCAGACCGTGGTAGTGCATCGCAGGATTCGCAGCACACAGTCCCTGCTGGTAACTGAATGCATCTGTACCCAAGGTCCCGCCGAAAAGTTGCCGACTCGCGATGTTGAGTTTCAGCTCCTCCACATGCCGATGCAAAAAAAAAAAAACAGATGGCGTGGTTCTTGGTCGGCCAAAAGGTGATTACGTGAAACTGGTTCATTAGTTCGATCGTTGCAAAAGGAAGAAGAGAAGGGCGCCTTTTCTTCCTTCCTTCCTTCCTTCCTTCCTTCCCTCCTTCCTTCCACCCCCCCTCCCCCCTCCCCAACAAATCTCCAAATTGTCAATCCATAAATCAAGTCCGTTCAAGTCCGTCGTTAGCATCCACCCGTATCCCCAACAAACCAAACCGGGGGCAGAACCGCGGTCAACACCAATTCACCTCCATTCCAATCCATTCTCAGCGTCCAATCCAGTCCGAAACTCTAATGAATCCTAGTAGCCACTTGCTCCATCTTCACAATACCCTCCTCCTTCCCATCCTTAGCAATGCGATAATCGCATTCCGACCCCGCCGCGCCCTTCTGCTTGCAGCAACCCCTAAATTTGCTCAGGTGCTAGGAGATGGAGGCGGCGTTGCAGTCCTCGCCGTACTGGAAGATGACGTTGTTGTCGGAGCAGCAGGTCTGCGTGGCCGCGTTGTTCTTGCCGCCGCCGGTGTTGAGGCACTTGCAGGCTAGGACGGTGGAGGACGAGGAGAGGGAGAGGAGGACGAGGAGCTTGGTGAGTTGCATCTTGACTTGTTGTTGGTGGTGATGAATGGGGTACCGGGAGGTTGTGAAGATTGTGTTGATGGCTTTTGGTGGGCTGTTGTGCTGAGTGAATTGGACTGGACTGGAAGTGTCTGATGAAGATGGAGAAGATGTTGATTGAGAGAGGAGGGAGATGGGGGTTCTTAAACTCGGCGGGAGAGTTGGATTTGCTGCTGCATGGGACCAGCTACGTTCTTGAGAGAGCGTCTTTGATGATACCCGCTTGAACTCCTTCCATATCCTGACCAGGCAGTGTTCGCAGGCTCGACTGGTATCGGTGTCGCGTAACGGACTTGGAAAACTCTCACATCCTCTCTCACCATTGGCCCCCCCCCATTTCCTCACCAAGGTTCCTCGGTCAGTGCCGCCGCTGGGTCCGTACCACTTGGAGGTCCAACACCACCTCTCTCTTCACCGAAGGCACCGTCTGGGACACTCAGCCCTACTGCGTCTACGCCGTCTACCTGACCAGCTTCACCAACTTTGCGCTCTTCACCGACGCCGCCCTGGTCTATCTCTTCACCCAATCTTCTTGGTACACCGACGCCGCGCGGAGCCCAAGTACGCTCTCGCCGCTCTCCTCTCTTGGATGATCTTCACCAAGACCATCAAAGTCTTCCGCTACTTCTCTGCCAAATCCCAGGCGACTAGGGGTCTTGTTGAAAACTATTCCATCCTTCCACGCTCAACATTCTTCAACTCCACCTTTCCTTGGGACTTGTTCTGTTGCTGTGGACATTTTCATTTTCCAACCAAGACGAATCAAACGCCACGTTTCACATCATTTGCTCCATCAAACCTCTACCCCGGATTCGCTCGAATCATGGATGATCTGAGCGCCATCGGCAATGGTCGTGTGCCATAGTTATCGAGATCCTTTGTGGTTTTTGCTGCCTTGCTACGTAGGTGAGAAATGCGAAGAAGAACAATTAGAGGTACGGTGAAATAAAAGAGAAGAGGAGCTACTGCTCCAGTCACATTTCACCGTTTGTTTAATCGGTTCGGGTATAATAGGCCTTAAGCGTCATGATTGTAGACATGGAGGTAGACAACACACTCCTGGAATGTTCCCGTCGTTAGTCCAAGACCTCTGGGCACCTTGTCTAGACGTTTCTACATCCAGTTTATATGTTTCCTTCGACGACGGAGGCTTAACACTACCTACTGTGCGGTCACCAGTTGGTCGAGGTACCGTCAAGCCGCGAGATTCAACATCTCATGAACGACCCCCCGCAAAAAAACCAATGCCATCAGACATTCAGTTACTACCGTGGCGGTCACCGTTCGATCGAGGTGCCGCTTACTGGGAATTGTGCACACTAGGGGTATACATCCAGTTCCAAGAGACCCAAAGTCTCAAACATCCGGTGCCTTCCCACAACGGTCGCCATCAAGGTGCCTTCCCACAACGGTCGCCATCAAGGCGCCGTTGTACCTGTTCTAAGTAGTGTAGATAGATATAAATATGTCAAATCAGACACCAATAGTCTGGTATTGGCTGATGATCATGCATTTCAAAAATCATCATATCATTTGGGATGTTAGAACACGTCGTTCATAGTGTTACATTTTGATCCAGTCGAGAATTCCATCCACACACAATATCTGTAGTCATCCCAGACACTCGACGATATCTCCACCACCATCATCAAGATCAAAACAAACAATCCATCTGAACAACCACTTCCATCTCTGCTTTCAACTCATCCGTAGTACCTGGGTATCATTCCTCCGATAAAAACAACACCAAGACATCCCGCAACAGTCACTGGGACTGTTCAAGCCGTCGGGAAGCTCGTACACCTTGACATCTCCGAACAGAGCCGAGCTGCTGGAAAACCCGAACCATGCCATCCTCATCGTCAACAGTAGCGTATAAACATGAATTTTTTTTTCTTCGGATCAAACCCCAGGCGAAGCGCGTTCTTCCCATCCTCCAGCGCAAATTCCCGACAACTTATACAACCATCCCATCTCTGATTTACTCGTAGACCTCGATTTCGACGAGCAATTCGACTTCGATCGAGAGCATTTTGTCGACGATCATCTGCCGGTAGTGCCGCGGAAGGAACGGAAAGAAGGGAGCACAAGGGCGCCGAAAAGTATATACTACAATCGAGGTAGGGGGTTAAGTCAGTTTCAGTTTTTCAGTTTCAGTTGTACATCTCACTTTACTTTCAGTCCAGTGTCCAGGGGCAGGCAGTTTGAAAAACCCCAACAGAGGAATCAAGATGGAAATATTTCTTTTTGGACGCGCGTCGCGTGGGAGGGGATTAAAGTTGAAAGTTGAAAACTGAGATGAGACTCACATAAAGACGGATGATATGTTCCGCAGCGTAGAGATACCTACTGGCTGCGCGGTGGGTGCTCTCGCGAGCCCGCAAGTACCAGCCCATCATCTTCAGCCCAAGGTGATGAGGGTCGCGAAACCCAGGGGCAGGCGACAGATCCCGAGGGCGAGGAAGGGGAAGGAACTCGGCAATGACCAGTTGCCAGGCCGAGGTCAGGCCAACGAGGTAGCGAACCTGGAGGTACCACCTCCACAACGTCGCGTTCGTGAGGAGGCTGCGGGCGAAGGAGGCGCGGGCAAAGCGAGCTGGGCGGGGTGCTGGAGCGCCAGCACAAGAGCACGACTTGAGGATTGTCGCGATGAGAAGGCCACGGAGGGGGAGGGGGGTTTCCCGGATGAGGTCGGGCAGGAGGAGGACGAGGAGTTGCAAGGAAGTGGTCGTGGTGCTCATCTTTGCTGTTGCTTTTAGTCGTGAGGAGGGTCTTGCTTGATGAAAGTACGTTGATGAGAGAAAAGAAAGAGGGGGAGGGAAAAAAAAAAAGAAGAGGAGCCTTACTCAATAAAGTTACGTCGACGCGAACTGGAAAGTAAGAAGAATGTGTGCGAGAAAGAGCAAGGCGCGTATGAGAAAAGGAAGAGGGCGCACACAGAAAGAAAAGAAAGAGGAAACGAAAACAACATAAAAGATGCAAAAAAACAACGCCCTCGGGAACGCCCTGACACTTGTCAGAGTCGAACGCGGAACCATACGCCACACTTGTGGTGCTACACTTGTAGCTTGTAAGGACCTCACTGCCGCTGGTTGAGCCAACGGCGAGGGGATTTGTTGTTGAATGTAGGGGCTGGACCTTTAGCTTATCAAGGGGACCTGAGGACTCGTTGTGCGGCTGCCTGGTTGGCTGGGAAGGGGGGCGGCTCAGGCTCAGGTTCGTTCGTCCGATGTTCTCGGTGACGGATGTCTGGGTTGCTGTGGTCTGGGCCCCGAGCTTCCATGACAGTCCGCAGCTTCCAAGGGGAAGGTACGTGAGCAAGAGAGAGCGTGAGCTGGGCTAACATGAGCACACGGCAGCGAAACATGGAAGGGAATCCAAGACAAAGACCTTGATGGTAACAAGAAACAATTAACGTATATGGAGGCCAGAGTAAGGACCGTGCAAGTTAAGTTATCAGTGTCTTGGCTGGGAGCCAGTAAAGCCCCAGCTCGACCGTCATACCAGGGATACTGGCGAGCTTTTGCGCCTCTTGGTGGACAAGCGAAGCAGTTCTGGTTTGAAGGACTCGGTTAGTGCCCCGAATTTAACGCCGGTTGTCCATGTCTAGAAGGCGAAGGGATTGGTCGCTGGTTGTAAAAACTTGTACCGTAGCCTTTCTTTTGCTCTGGCCCCCGTCGGGAACTTCCATGGCACTTTGTGGAGTGTAGCCGCAAAGTACTAGACCTGATGACGGCGTCCAAGCAAGTCAGCTGCAATCTTCGGAGATGTGGAAGCGACTCCTTCGTAAGGCTGCGAAACAATTTTATCCATGGGTTCTGCTCATCCTCATGGCCTCCGAGGGGAAGGAGTGTGAGCTTGTCGTAGTGTGATGATGTGCGAATACTTCAAGTTCTCGGCCTGTATTCTGATGACAGGTTTCTTTCAGAGAGTTGAACGATGTCCAACTCCGAACAACCCTTCTTTAGAGCGTAACTTCAACAACGTTTGCTCGCTGAGAACAAGTGGCGGCGCTGCCATGGGCACTATAGTCACTGATGGTAGCGCGAAATTTGACTTCCGGGGCGTTTCCTCCTCGTCCCTTATGATTTATAGAAAAAAGACCATGCCACACACCGGTCACTGTGATATTCAAGATGGAGGGCACAGTTCGAGATCAAAGTCCAATCCGAGGCCAGGGTGCAAATGGAGGCCAGTGGGACTTCCGACGATGAGGAGGATCAAGACAACGAAGCCGAGGATCAAGGGTAAGACGCGCGTAGCCACACTTCGAGTGCTTGAGAGGTTGGTTATATAGGACTGTGTGAACACACGAGTATGACTGACTGGGTGGTGATCTGTGGTAGGCAGGCACGGATTGCGGTAGCATGTAAGCTGCGCTAAGTAAACGGCAGTGAAAATATCGAAGGTAATCTAAGGCAACAAGGCGTAGATGGGAGGGATAAACGATCAACATATATATTTAGGCACATGTTACAACATTTTAAGTCAAGTTAGCAACGTGTCTTTTCTTCTCTTATCATGTTTCCTCTTTCTGTTTCCCAGTCCATCATGATATGTGGGGGCATAACTTACCATACAAACAGTATCATACAACATGTTTGATGTATGGAAATCGGACGAGACGCAGCTGCAAGGACGTGAGACGAAGGAGAGGAATGATTGGGAAAAAGCTCGATTGGCGGCTTGTCTAGTTGAAGAGAAAAAGGCGTGCCAGCCTTAGCGTAGGTGTGATGCGATACGAATACACTATATCAAGATATCCCGCATTAGTATTATCCTGGTGTTGGGCGATCGCCTGAGGGAAGGAAGGCCTGGGATGGATGCTCTTACGCGATACAATCGAAAGCGCGCGCAAATTGGCCCCCGACATCGGCTAGGATGTAGGTAAGCATGTCACCATTGACGGCGACGGCAACATGAATGTAAGGTTGTGATGACTGATGACTCCGTCGTTCTAAGGGAAGGATCAGCTCTCTGTTGTGCCTCAAAATTCATGCTCGTGCCTTCCTTCCGTCATGATTGACATGGGCGTACCTGCCCTCATATCTCGCATGACACTGACCTTTCCTTGGGCCAGGCACTCGCGCCTTCCTCCGGAAAAGGTGGGGTGTGTCTGACCCCTCGCACATGCTCGATAAGAGGTTTGGAGTTGGTTGACGTGAAATGATGCTTCATTAAATAAACTCCCAGTGTACACCATTGACTCCATGTCCTCCATGAAGTCACCAGTGCTGGTTGACATCAACAGTCTGGCGACATGAACTCTTAAGCCCTCAACCATACTAATACAAGTGTACACCATACATCCCGATCCATTTCCTCAACAAGCCCTCCTCATAATGCAATACCACGCCAATCCAGTCCATTCATCATCATCCCGTCATAACACACCTGACCCAAACCTCAGCTCTTCCTCTCCACTTCGCTTCCAACCAGGGGCACTTCCCCTCCGCACCCCCTAGACCTTGTTTCCACCATAATCCTTAGTATCAGTCGAATGTCCCAAGGGCGCGACACCTGTCTTTTCCGGGTTCCGCTTCGAGTACGCGGCCGGGCTGTGGGAGACAACCCTAGTATCCTTGGGATCCTCCTCCAGCGGCCCCTTTCGAGCGTACTGCCCACCCGTGCCGCCAAGGTTCTGCAGCGTCTCGGAAATGTCCCGGTTGCCCGTGTCGGTGGCGCTGTACTTCTCCGACACGCCGCGGGGCTGGTTCTTGCCGCCGCGCGTCTGCCACCAGAAGAGGCCGCCGAGGCCGGCGGCGATGGAGACGGGGACGGCGCGGTTGCGGAGGAGGTTGGCTACTGTTGCCATTTTTGTGGTGTTGTGGTGGTTTTGTGTGGTTGGTTGGGTTTGTTTTCGATCAAGTCAGGTGCGAGAGATTGCCTTGCTTTGCTTGATGGTGGAGGATTCTTGGTTCTGTTCGCTTTTTGGTTGGAAGATGAAGTGCGAGTTCGACTGGTAGTGGTAGATGGAGGCGATGTTTTGCAATTCTTGAATTTGATGTTTGTTGTTGTAGGACGGATAACGGACATTCTACCCGGGAGGTCGTTTGGTTAAATAATGGAGGAGGTCAACAAGTGCGATGACGTTGTGTAATTATGATCTCACCTGCCGCCTACTGTACAGCTACTGACGGAATGCAATGCAATGGGACTAGATCTTTCCAAGTACCCTTTGCAGTGCAGTGCAGTTACTCCCTTGTGGTGATGCTCACAAAGAGAACCTCGAACAATGGAACCGGACCCATCGGACCGAACTCCGATGGGTCCGGGTTGCACACACAATAGAGATCTGAGATCCTAAACTTCCAAGATGTTGGTCGGCCCGTGATTCGATGCCTCAAAACCGCCTTCGGTCCCCAAGGTTGGGTGACTAAGATCTCATGTCATGTTGGATTGGGATGATATTTATTTTTGTTTGATGGGATAACATTATCTTTGGTGTGGACGAGGGTAGCTCCTGGGCGTTGCTGGGAGCACTGCACCTGGATTTGACCCGTGATTCAAATCCGAAGTTTACCATCGTTGTCTTTGATCTTGAGGAAGTGAAATGACCAATTTGGGGGGTGTTCGGAGAAACCTTTGATGAGGATAGTGACTTTGAGCTTGGGAATGGCTTCATTGTGCTCGAGGGCGAGCATGAAGTGGAAATGAATTGAGGCTCAATTATTCAGAGACCGGGATCAACCCATTGAAACCGAAGATGAGCATCTCGCTTTCGGATGTTGTTGAGTTACTAGCTCACCTCACACATGGCCTTGACCTCGGCCCTCAATCGGAGCACTATAATGTATACAGAAATATAAATTCATACTATACTCGCTTAACAATAGTTAACGTTAGGGAAACTATAGTAACTACCTATTTAAAATTAATATTATTTATATAGGACTAGTTCAGAACTAATTAGATCATATACTTATTAATTATTAAATTTATTATAAAAAATAATTATAATAGTCTTTTAAAATATAAACTCTTTATTTAATAATATTATTAGTAGTATTTTTACTATTTCTATTAAATAGGTTTCTATTATATACTTTTTTTATAAATAAAAATAATTTATTTAAATTTTCTATATAAAAGTTATTTATCGATCCATTTTCTAATAGAAAGTATTATATTAATATAATTATACTATAGTAAGTATAAAATTTAGTAAGATTAATAAAATATAAATTATTATTTTATTTAATTAAATTAATTAAATAAATATATATTCCAAACTAATTCCTAATTAGTTTATACTTATTATATTAAAGTCTAGTATTTGTATAGTATATTCTAAATATACTAAAAATATTTTAAAATCTAATTCAAATTATTTTTTAAGTATAATTAATTCCAAACTAGTTCCTAACTAATCTAGTAAAATCTTTTCATTTACAACAATTAGAAATAATCAAAATCAGTTATTAAGGCTTCCGAAGTCAGCTAGATTTTGCTTACGGTATAGGGCAATACCCTTGTCGCAGTCTTGGCGCTCCGATTAGGGGCCGAGGTCAGACCTATGTATAAGGTAACCCGGGCCCTCGGATGTTGTTTACTAACAGTTGACGTCAAAGAGCTTGCATGACATCATGACCTGTCCAGCACGGTATTCGGTCGACCCACTGTTAAGCGGAAACCTTCTCGACCCGAACCCATTACGCCTCGGATACGCTGATAGCCAGCAATAATCATGTGCGAATTGCCAGTTTTGAACGGAAGATGCAATTTAATTGTTTGGAGGGTTGGGAGCTCAAGATTGGGATTTCAAGCTGCACGAATTGACGTCGATGTTAATGCTGTGAAATAACCCTCTTAGCATTGTCAAAGTCTACCGCTAGCAATAACAGGCCCCTTATCTTATCGGAACAGAGAGCTCCCGTCTCCTTTCGGCCGACTCCGTCAAGACACCATGAACCCAACCCATCACGAACGCCAATTGGTACATCTGGTTACGCCTTGAAATATTTGAATTTATGATGAGCTAAGCAAGTAGTGCTTCGTTTACGAAGTCACAGGAACACATCCCTCTAATCCTTCTTCTCACCCCCTTCAACACTAACCGGTTCCATAACCGGCGTGGGCGCCTTCAACGACCCAGAACATCTCGGCGGCGAGCGCCCATGCAGGATACACTCGTTCATGTAAAATCCCTCCTCATCCACGTCCTCCAAGTACTTGATATCCAGACCCCTGATCTCCGAGTCCTCACTCGCGCGCAGATGCAAGCCAGGAATCTTGTTGATGATGAACAGCAAGATGCACGAGACCACGAAGGACCAGGCCGCGGCAGTGGTTGCGCCGGCGAACTGGAGTCCAAGCTGGCGGAAGTTGCGGTTCCACCAGCCACCCGCGTAGGAGCTGCCTGATACGCCGTCGAGAGCGGGCACAAAGTTGTCGGCGAAGATTCCGGTCAAAAGATCGCCGACGTAACCGCCCACGCCGTGAAGGGCAAAAATGTCGAGACCGTCGTCGACGGAGAGGAGATGCTTGTACTTGACGGCGTAGTAGCAGCTTGTGGAGGTGAGGAAGCCGATGAGCGAGGCTACGTAGACGGGGACTGCGGAAGCTTCGAGTCAGTCAAACGAGCACTGGAGGTAGCCCGGAGAAAGCAACAGAGAACGCACCATAACCCGCTGCAGGGGTAATTCCAACCAAGCCCGCAATAATTCCCGAGCAAAAGCCAACCAAGCTAAACTTTCTCTTGTAGAGATAGTCGATCAAGACCCAACCGACACCACCTCCGCACCCTGCCAGATTCGTGTTGACGACAACGTAGATGGTCCGCAGGCTGAGGTTGGGTGTACTGCCGCCATTAAAGGCGAACCAGCCAAACCAAATGAAGGCGGTACCGAGACACATCAACAGCGGGCTGTGAGGCTTGTGGTGAACGAACTTTTTACGACCAACGACATCGGAGTCGACGACACGAGGACCAAGCATCATGGACCAGGCAAGGGCACCGAAGCCGCTGGCGATGTGAACGGGACCGGAGCCGGCGAAATCGTAGACACCGAGTTTGTATAACCATCCGCTGGGGTTCCACTCCCAATAGGCGATGCTGGAGAGGAAAAAGTCAGTGGTTGTAAAGTTGAATGTTGGCGATGGACTTACAAGTAGTAGACAAAAGTGGTCCAGCAGAGGAGGAAAAGCATGCTGGGCAGCAGCCTGCCGCGCTCTAGCATGGCTCCGGCCAAGATCATGGCAGTGCAGGAAACGAATGTGAAGCCAAAGGCAGCATCTGAGAGACCTGTTAGCTGGCGCCGTTCTACTTGGAGTTTGATGAGGGGATAAATCATACAGAGAATGTCTGGTATATTCGGGTTGGCCATCGATGGCTGAGCAAGGACATTGCGGAACACGGCCAACGACAAGTCTCCGAGGATGGGATTCGTGGTTCGTGCCTGGTACAGCGAGTAACCGTATATCCAGAACTGGATTCCGCAAGCGCAAGCACAAAAGAGACTTTGGAGGAGCATGGTCAGGGCCGCCTTCCTGCGGTTCATTCCGGCATAGAGGAAGCCGATGGCCGGGGTGATTTGCCAGCATAGGGCAGTGCATACGAGCATCCAACACAAATCGCCCTGGACAGATGTAACACGCCAGGTTAGTTGCTGTTTCTCTCCTCTATACTGCCAGTGTCCGACGCCATCAACTAACCTTGTCATAAGGCGCATTCAAATCCTGCGTGAAGGGATCACCTCCGTTGGGATTGGCATGCCAGTCCGGCCACTCGGTAACAGGCACAATTTCTGGCTCGGCCATCTTGTAGCACCTCTCGGTCTGGCGTGTGGAGAGCTGTGCTTATCGTCCTAACTTGGTCTGTCTGTTGTGTTCGTATTCCGTGGCTGAGTGGGTATGTGATCGAGGACTATCTTCAAGGCGTCTTGGGTTGAACAGTTGCCAGTCGCAAGGAGGCGCACAGGGTTTGCCATGGCCTATAAGTATTCCTTTGCTCCATCATCTTGATATGGGCGCCGTTGCGCTGGATCGTGTATCTTGCAGCAAGGAGATACGCGCAGCTGGGTGGGTGGTACTCGGGCGAGGCCATTCTTGGAAAGGTGGACGGTTCGATCGTCGTCGACGGCAGATAGGGAGGAGAGAGGCACATACACCTCGGGGTGCCAAGCTGTAGCTGAACGGCGAGGAGGATAAGGAGGTACGCAATCCCCCAATCCCATAGCCAGATGGTCGGCGTTATCAATGGCTATCTACCTATCAGCAATGATCCGTCAGCAGGGAACGAGGACGGGAGTGAGATCGCATTATCAGCAAGCACCAACTCACCTTCTTGGGGATCTCCCGCTTGGCGAAAACGGGCAAGACCTGGGGCTCCCGCAGCGGGGAGCCTGGGACTGGAACGTCGACACGCACTCCAGCGCATTGAGTGGTCGCCCACAGGGACAGACCCTGAATGTGAGTTGGGTGGTGAGAGCAGTTGCCGGTCTCTTGCACCAGATTCGGTTTAGGCCAATGGCTTCAATCAGATGTGGAAGTGCTTGCCAGATATGCACCGTGACGAACTGGACGGGCTGCCGAGCGATAAGACACGACGACGTGCTGATAAGGACTTGTACTTCTAATGGGCTGGGAAGTGCCGCGAGGAAGGGACGAACCAACGCAACCACCAAACCCCGCTCTTACTCGGGAACCAGACACTCGCCAATCTTGTTTTAACGTCACTCAGGTTCCCAACTTGTCCAAAATCTCCATCGAGGCTTTGTTCTCGATAACTGAGCAGACAACAATCCGCGGCGTCGCAACACCCAGACCACAAAACACCACCTGTCGCCCTCAATGCCCCGTTCGTTATCTGCAGTGGAATGGTCGAAGTACTCGTAGGATAACTTCCCTTTCCCAACCACACTTTGAGATCCGAGACCGCCTGGCAGAGAAATTCAACCCACGAAGAAAGAGTGGGAAAGAGAGTGCTGACCTCACTTGAGATCCAAGCATCCCCCGCAATCAGGAACAGTTTGATGTCGCATCATGTGGCTCAGGCTGATGGACCATGCTCATCGGAAGACCGACTGGACCGAGACTGTCGGGGTGCACCACATCGACTAAACCTCCAATGATGCTGACCCTTTCAGCTTCTTTCACATCTTCGGGGCCATCTTCACACCCTCCCAGGTCCTTGTGGCGCAATCCCGAGCCAATGTGGCTGCTCGGTAACCAATTATCTCTGATGGCGTTTTGTCCAAGATCCCAGTATGCCTTCTCTTGTAAGTCCGATCCCCTTCCGCTCTTCATCTTCTCTCGCAGTAGGTATGTAGGACAGGCAATACTTCAAGCCACTCGGCCGCCCATGGTGCCCCGCGCTTGCGTCGCCTTCTTCCGAGTGGTCATTGAGAAGGTTCCTGCTTAGACCAATGATCCCAACTTTGGGCCCTCCAATATCCATGAAAGACGCAGATGCTGACAATGGTGACAGAGATCGGGAGGTTTGTTTCATGCCACTGTTTTTGAGCCGAGTCTCTGTTTCACGCACCTCAGCCGAGGACGCAGCACCACCCACTCGAGGTCAGTCTACTAAGACTGCAATAAAAGACATGCCCAAACACACGTCCTTGCCTGCTCGTCACATGATTGACAAACTCATGCTAACAATTCCATCAACCAGGCCGGCATTTTGGGATGGCGGTCGTTTCAGAGAAAGCTCCGATGCCTCTGTTGTTCCACGAAGGGAGGCCCGTAACCGACACAGAGCCTCGATGGTCCGGATACTACCTATGGGAAGTCAGCTACCCTTTCCCAGAAAATGTGCGATCCCAACTCGTGGAAGGATCTCATCTTATCGTTTGTGCTACCGTGAGCAGCGTTTGTCCAAGTCCTCGGGATCATTGTCTTCCGCTCCCCAAGAAGTCATCATTCAGAGGAAGGCCATGTTCGTCCTGTGCCAGGCCTCCCCAGATACGGCGTGGACTGGGTTCCAGCTTTTCCCCCTCCCCCCTCGGCCCAAATCCTTGACGGATGTTTTCCTACATGCTTTGAAATGTTTTCCAGTGCGTCGTGGCATTTTCATTTTGTTGAGGCCGAATGGCAACATGTGATAGGCAGCCCGTGGCATCATCACAGCTATCCGATAGTGATCGGCGACTCCACGAAGCCGGAGAACTGACGTGGAAAGCAGACAGCTTCATGCTTGCCAGCTTGACCGTTGAAATTCCAAAGGCTCCGGGGGAACGGAGTCAAAAAATGGCGCGTTGCTAGTGCAGTCCACGAGGTCAGAACCGTTACTATCAAAATCGGCTTCAGGGGGGTTGCGGAACACTTTCCCAGTGTGCTGTACATAAGCCCGGGTCTACCGTCTCGCAGGGGTTGTCGGCGTCGATCCATCACCACGACCCCGTGTTGGGTACCGGATACCGGAACCAGTCTGGTCATGTCGGCAATGAACAACTGGCCAAAAAGAAGTGCAGATTTCACTCTGTTTTTGGTGAAGTTGTTACAGTCGGGACTTGAAGACTTTTGGGGGTTGAGACTCTTGCTGGTTACCATTTGGACTCTTGCTGACTACCGATTTCGGTAGCAAACAGTTGGGTTAGAACGGTCTTGCTTCTCACTGGTCAGGTGCTGCCGGAGGTGTCACAACATAGTGCTGTGGTATCGATTATGTAAAAGCTACCGAGACGACCCTTGCTCATAGCAACTTGGATAAGGGCAAAGTGCTCAATGATAAGGAACCAATCCAAAACAAGGTTGGTAGGCCAGTGTAGTACCCCGTTCAGCCGACTAGCATAGCTCACATACATCTTCATTTGGCTAGGTGCTGTTGTTCTATCAGACAGCACCGTTTTTTTTTGTTTTTGTTTTTTTTACCAAAACCAACTGAGGTGCTTGACCGCTCCATTGGGTAGCTCGCATTCGCTGTCGCATTTGAGAGGATTTTGACAAGCCGGGAAATTTTGGCGCTGGCAAGATTCCATAAACCGGGCGGCTCTGGCACCCGAAATATATCTTGGCCGTTTTACCTTCTTCACCCCTACCTAACTTTTCAGAGAGAAGTCATCGCGCATCCGACCATGAGTTCTCCGGCGAAAAAAGCTCAGTCGCCGGCACCCGAGGCAGTTTCGCCAAAGGGAAAGGCGAAGTCTCCCACGCCTGGTCCTGCGTCCCCGGTCAACGTAGCATCCCCTACTCCTGGTCCTGCGTCTGCAGCGCTTGGCCTTCTGTCTGGAGCTCATTGGGCTGAGGTGGTACGTATCTACCCTCAGGGTCAACAGTCAAGTTGGTTAAACGTTTGCTTACGCACTGTCCTACGCCCTACAGGGACTTCCGGAAGAGGACCTGGAGAACGACTGGGACTCAACCTTGGGGAGCGATGTCGAGAGCTCGACTGCCTCGATTAGTTCGAGTATCCTCAAGTATCGTACCATTAATGGCCGCACCTATCACAGTGACAGTGTGACCGACGGAGAGTATTGGTGAGTCTTCTGAGAAACATAATGATGGCGACCAGGCTTCAGCCACTTTACGAAATTTCGTAAAGCTAATGAACCTCTTATCATGTAGGGGTCCCAACGATGAGAAGCAGAATCAAATGTTGGATATCTTGTGAGTTCAAGATGATTCCCACCATTGTTAACCATCGCCATATTTTGTACTCACACTCCTTTTTCATTGCTAGCCACCATGTGTTCACCATTCTCTTTGATGGCAAGCTTTATACGGCTCCTATTACAGAGTACCCAGAAAATATCATTGATGTTGGCACAGGCACCGGTAAGTAGAGTTGCTACACATCTTCCGACAATATTATCCAATGGGTGTATGATACTAAATTGGAGTACAGGATTGTGGCCGATTGACGTTGCCGACAAACTTCCTTACTGCAGTGTAATCGGTACAGACCTTTCGCCTATTCAACCCAGCTGGATACCCCCTAACGTTCGCTTCGAAATCGATGACGCTACCAAGGAATGGACCTACAAGCCCAACCATTTCGATTTCGTCTATATCCGCTGGCTTACTGGTGCTGTTAAAGATTGGACTGCAGTCTATAAGGAGGCTTATCGGTGCTTGAAGCCTGGTGGCTGGATCGAGCATTTTGATTCTTCTGGCGACATTTATTCGGACGATGACACCGTTAGCGAGAACTCTGCCATGAGTCAGTGGGGTAAAATTTGGCAAGAAGCCGGAAGACGAATGGGAAATCCGATCGACATGATCCCGGCTAATTTGCAGGAGGATGGAATGAGGGAGGCCGGTTTCGTAAACATTACGAAGAAGGATTACCAGGTAAGCTACACCAATCCTTATTACGAGACTCCTCCCAGCTTGGGTCCGGAAACATGAAAGCTGACCAGTCATTCTTCCAGATCCCGGTTTCACCTTGGTCCAAGGACAAGAAGATGAGAGACCTTGGCCTTTACTTCTACACGGCCTGGACGGCAGACCTCGAGGGCACTTGCCAGTTCATATTCGGCAATGTGATAGGCTGGGAGAAGGAGGAGATTTCCACCTATATTGCTAACTTGAAGGCCGAACTGAAGAATCGGAGCATGCATGGGTGCATGCGCTGGCGCGTGGTGTACGCGCAGAAGCCGTTGGATGCTTGAGATGCGGTTGGATTAGGACAAGCTTCATACATTTCTTTCTGTAAATAGTATGACATGCGTGCCGAAGCGGGAAACGCGGAGTTGCGACATACTACCGATCTCTTGTAGAAAACAAAAGCTGTTTTCTAGACATGGCTTTTCAGCTAGGCCCCTGGATAACCTTCTCTTTAGTACGCCAAAGGCTACTAAGTTGAAGGCGAGCATTTGATGCCCTCTTGAAGACTGGTGGTAAATTTCGGAACAGCTTCAAAAAGCCGGTCACGAACAGGAATCGAATGGAGCAGGTCACAAGTACCAAGATAATGAACTACGCCAAGAATCACTTGGCAACTGAGCCGATTGGTTGTTTCTGGAGGGAATGGCTGGTGTTTTCTCCCCTGTCTCAGAAGAGGTCGCAAGAACCACGCTAACAGGTGCCCCTGATTCAAGATTCCATAAATCGAACAGCCCTGACCCCCGAATTCATGTTGCATCTTGGACGTTCCATCATCTTCATCCATACTTGAGTCTAGTGAGAAGATTTCGCATAGGTATTCGGTCATGAGTTCTCCGGCGACTGGTCTCCTTCCTGGAGCGCACTGGGCTGGTCAGGTAAGTCTTTCAGAGACCACTTGTCTCGTACCGTATAATCTCTTGAGATTGGACTTCGGGTGGTACCTGTAGGCAGGCACGACGCGGGGTTAACGGTGTCGGTCAATCACCCGTCAACCAAATACGTGCTTTTTGACACCTCTGCGTCGTACCGGCCTTCCCGAATCCCATTTTTTTAAGAGATTATACGGTACCTTTCAGTCAAGTGTCAGACAGTTGCTGATGCACAGGTTCTACCTGCTCTTTACAGAACCTACCAGAAGAGGACGCGGACAACGACTGGGATTCCGATATCGAGAGCTCGACTGCCTCGATCAAGTCGAGTATCCTTCAATATCGTATCATCAACGGCCGAACTTATCACAGTGATTCCGTGACCGATACATCGTATTGGTGAGCATTACCCTGGAAATGTCAAGAAGACATTCAAAACTAACAACCCATATGGGATCCAGGGGCCCCAATGATGAGAAGCAGAACGAGATGCTGGATATCTTGTGAGTGGAACACGGCTCAAACAAGTGCTAGTAATTGACGTATGGCTTACTTTTTCCTCTTTACTAGCCATCATGCAATGACCGTTGCCTTGGATGGCGACCTTTATAAGGCTCCCCTTACAAAGGATCCCAAGAATGCGCTTGATATTGGCACAGGCACAGGTAAGCCAGCTTGCTACACTGCTTTGGAGGAAATCAGTCAGAAATGGGGAAGTTTAGGGACTAATGCGGCGTATAGGATTGTGGGCAATCGATTTCGCTGAGAAATTTCCGGAATGTAGTGTAATTGGCACTGATATATCCCCTATTCAACCCAGATGGGTGCCTCCCAACCTACAGTTCGATGTCGACGACTATAATAAGGAATGGACATATACGGCTAACTTCTTTGACTTCATCCACATTCGCTGGCTTACCGGCACCGTTAAGGACTGGCAAGTCTTGTATAAAGAGGCCTACCGGTGCTGCAAGCCGGGCGGTTGGATTGAGCATATGGATGCGTCGGGTGCTGTCTGGTCAGACGACGGTACGGTAGAGGACGACATGGCTATTGGCCAGTGGGGTAAGATCTGGCAGGAAGCTGGACGACGATTGGGGACTCCGCTCGATGTTTTCGAAAAGAATATCCAGGAAGAGGGTATGAAGGAGGCTGGCTTCGTGAACATTTCGAAAAAGACCTACCCGGTGAGTGTTCTCTTCTGCTGCTATCCCCTAAACATGCCCTGCATTTTTGTTGGCTGGCCGTGCCTTGGCGCCCATTCACCGGCACGCCCGTCCAGTATTTCTACGCTGCCCTGGTTTCCGTTTCTCCCCGTTACAACTCCAGAATCAAAGCCCTTTTCGTTGTCGCCTTTTCCAGCCTCCAACAATTTCAAGATGTGGCATGAAGCTGATCAAACAAAACAAAAAAAAATCTAGATTCCTCTGTCGCCCTGGAGTAAAGATAAGAAGTTGAGAGATGTCGGTCTCTACTTCTATGCTGGCATGAACCAAGACCTTGAGGGTGCCACTCAGTTTATTTTCGGCAATGTTATGGGTTGGACCAAGGAGGAGATTACTGCCTACATTGCTAAACTAAAACGGGAGATCAAAAACCTGAATATTCATGGGTACTTCCCGTGCCGCGTGGTGTACGCGCAGAAGCCGCTCGATGCTTGAGCCTTGAGGTGCGGCTGGGCAAGATCACCGACCCGAGCTGGTTATTCTACCACAATAGGCGGTTGGATTGGGACAAGCTTTCATACCTCTACCTTTTCCTATAAGAGAATAGTCTGACATGTGTCACGCACGTGGATCTAGCTGCCGTGGCACACAAATAATCTGACGTTGTTGATAAATAGGTAACTAAAGATGAAGAAGAAAGAGGAAACTAGTACATCGGATGAGAGGGATGACATCCTTATATGCAATAACAGATGGGATGGAAGACTGAACGTGCATGTGATCTGGCACATGTCTGGCACCGCCATGACAACATGCGTGGTGCCCCCGTTTAACGAACAAGGCTCACCGCTGTTACTTCAGCCTTACCCGTGCCACGTACCTGGTTTTGTCTCACCGAGTCCCCGGACCCAGCATCGTGTTGATCGGCATGCTTTCGGCAAGGTTCATTCAGCAAGATTCCTTCTATGTACACCTACCCTCTATGATGGTACACAGCTGACGTGACCACATCGCGATTCCTTCCATGCATAGAGTACCTCCTTTCCTTCACCCACATATACCCCTTGATGCAACGCACAAGTATAAAGGTACATCACCTGCACCACATCGACCTCTCGATCCTACGGTATCAGAGTCGTAAACTGACATTGACATCCATCGAGAATTGCCTCACTCCTATCTATAACTAGGTTCAAAACATTACCTATGAATTTTTGTCCTTGAGGGGCCAGGAAGGTGAACAAGATCTATTACACGACTACAATCCACGTGAGCCACGATACCTCATCATGGTTGGAAACGACCAGGTTGACGCATGAACAGGCACCCTCCTCTCGGTGTCACTCCCACGCTTCTTTTCTGGATTGGACAAGATAACAGCTGATGTTTCTATCCTTGATCCGCGTGTCCTTCCGTGCCAATTCATGGGTGTACATATAAGCCAAATAAGCCAAATCATAAGGATGGTCTGGACCCGGTAAGGCTGAAGGCACACGCTCGGTCTGGGGCCAACCCTGTCAAACAATTGCGACTGTCATCTGAGGTTTCAACCCCGTATTTTGGACTATTTACAGAAACAGAAGGAGAAACATGTGATCAGGTACCGGACCGTTAATCCTGGGAGATTAACCAGCCCCCGGTCGGTGTTGTTGCCCAGCCGTACATTAAGCATCCAATGGCTTCTGGCCATACACCACGCGGTAGATGAAGTACGGATGAATATCCTTGCTGTTCATCTCCTTCTTCATGGTAGCAATGTAGATGGCGATCTCCTCCGCGGTCCACCCCAGGACCTTACCAAACATGAACTGAACAATACCTTCAAGGTCCTGGTTTATAGCGGTATAGAAATAGAGACCAACTTCGTACATCTTCTTGTCCTTGGACCATGGGGAGATAGGGACCTGCAAGTATCCCGTAGTTAGAGTCTCTGGGATAAACAGACGCTGTGGGAAGCGGAGAACTTGCCTTGTAATCCTTCACTACTATGTTCACGAAACCGGCCTCCTTCATTGCGTTCTGCATTAGGTTAGTGCTATGTAGATCAATTTCATACCCAATCTTCCTTCCACCCTCCTGCCACACGGGGCCCCATTGGCCCAGGGCATGAACATTAGTCAAGGAATCATCATCCGAGAGAGCAGTACCAGAGGCATCCATATGCTCAATGTAACCGCCCGGCTTGCAGCACCGGTAAGCCTCCTTATAAAAAGCATACCAATCCTTGACGGTACCGCTAATCCAACGTAGGTGGAGGAAGTCGAAGAAATCAGACTTATAGGCCCAGTCCTTATTGTAGTCGTCAATTTCGAAACGGAGATTGGGGGGTACCCAACTGGGTTGGATGAGCGAGATATCAGTGCCCATGACGTTGCAGTTAGGGAATTTATTGGCAAAATCGATTGCCCACAGCCCTAAATGTCGAGTTAGTATTTAAGGAACAACCACCATGATAGTGTAGAAGGGAACGACCACCAAGATGATGCACAAGGAAACAACCACCAAGACCGTGGAGAAAGTCGGCGTACCTGTGCCTGTGCCAAGATCAATTGCATTCTCAGGGTTTTTTGGTAGAGGGGCATCATAAAGCCTGCCATCCAGACAAATGGTCATCGCATGATGGCTAAGGTAGGCAATATTTGGTCAGCTGTGAAACCGATGGTAGGAAGCATGTTTTACTCACAAAATATCCAGCACTTCATTCTGCTTGTCGTCGTTGGGGCCCCTGCATGAAAGTTGAAAATGCTCGTCAGCGTTGGCTGTTTCCTCCCACATGCGCAGTGCTTCATCCATACTCGTCTGGGCTAGAAACGACACCTCACAGACCCAATGCGGAGGTCAGACTGGGCGCTTCGAGCCCTGACGAGTAATCCCAAACAAACTTACCAATACTCTCCATCCGTTACGCTATCGCTATGGTAAGTTCTGCCGTTCATGGTACGGTATTTGAGGATACTCGAACTAATCGAAGCAGTCGAGCACTCGACATCACTTCCAATGGTTGAATCCCCATCATTTTCGTCCTATTCCGGAAGTCCCTGTAGTGCGTAAGTAAGGTATGTCAGTGATCAATTCCAATTATGATGGGGCTTGTGACCGGACGACGGGGAACGTGAGAGGGCCGTACCTGTTCAGCCCAGTGAGATCCAGGAAGAGCGCTCGTTGTTCCAGCAGCGGGAGATGCAGGACCGGGCGTGAGTTCTCTCGCAGCAGCTGGAGTTGCGGGAGCAGGCGTGGGTGATTTTGGTGCCAGCGACTGAGCCTTCTTCGCCGGAGAACTCATGGTGGAATCTTGGATACCCTATCTTCTGGCTGAAATTCGAGTTTGGGTGAAGAAGGTGGAACGGCCAAGAAGTGGTTGGGGTGCCAGAGCCGTCCGATTTATAGAATGCTGCCAGTGCTAAAATGGCAGGTACCCTACCCGGTTCGGTTCATTAGTGTTCAAATGTGACACAGTGCTGTCAAATGTGACAGCGGATATCATCTACCCCTCACCGCTTAAGTTGATATTACTACTAGTGTAAGGAAGGAAGCATCCTACACAGTGTGTGGTATAACCGCTGGGTCTAACCAAAATGAGGATATGTGGGATGTGGTTGACGTGGTGGCTGGGCCAGATAAATCGACTGTGTACTATTTTGAATCGACTGTGTGGATTGGATATAGCCAATGATAAAGTCATGTTCGCGCCTGCCAAAGTTCGCCGTAATGAACATCGTGCAATATCCTTACTAAAAAAGTCGTTGGTTCTTGCTTCCCTTGCCCTTCTACCGCCCTAGCCTCCTACTCTCTTTAGCTCGCTACGGTCTATATAGTATAAACCCCTGCAACTGCATCCTCCAGAAACTGCATATAGACCAAAATATGCCCTCTAACTGCATCCCCACGCGTGGTCACAAAATCCCTGTCTCTCACCAAAAGCCAACACCCTATTCTGCATATATGCTAGTTAGTGCATAAGCTTTGGAGGACCCCCATAGTGTCTGAATCCATGCAGTTTCAGGGATTCTAAGGTACTTTACTTTTGGCCATATTTTTACAACCCTGCATATACTCGCCTACTCGTATTCTACAGCATCGTGGTAGAGGCCGGCATGCCGATAACACAAAAGCTGGCAGTTTTGGGTAGTGGTAGCCCGGACGAAATGCTGTCAGATTGCACGGTTATATAAATGTAGAGAATATAGGTTAATCGCTGTATTAATCGAGTGTGTAGAGTAGAAAGACTGCACACACAGATTGGGGGATTCCAGAGTATTAGGGAAGTCTTATTACGGGGCAAGGCGACGGTTAGGGGGTAGGTTGGATATGCGTAGTTGTACGAGGAGAGGAAGAGGGAGAAGTGTGCAGAGGTCTGGCGATATAGGGTAGGGTTGAGCTATGCTTAGAGCTAGACCTGTACGTGCATATGTACGTAATATGCTATTGGCTAATAGTATAGTAGTAATAGCACGGTACGAGGCTCGATTGCTAATAGCGGGAGCCGTGCATGTACAAAGCATAGTTATAGGTAATTTTATAATACTACCTCCTTATAAAAGAAGCTTTAGAACTTTAAAATCTATATATATATTAAATAATAGATTATCCCTCAATCCCCGTCTTTAAACTCCTCTACCCGTAATTGAAATTCTATTCGTAGTCCTTAGATCCCCCTTATATCTTTAAATTCGCTAAGCTCTTAATTATTATTACCTTATTAATACGTTCCAATTTTTAATTTATCTATTACATTTTTCGTAGGTAGCCTCTTCTCTTAGGATATTTCCGATAATTTTAAAGATTAATTTAAAAATATTATTTATCTTTTTTATATTATCCGTTGATAATTCCTTTATAAATTAATTAAGGTTTTTTTTTACTAGTGTGCTAATTAGCGGGCCGGCCGTAATTTCTTTTACGAACGAATTAATTTACTCCTTTAAATTTACAATACGTTTAGAGCGCTTTAGTATTAGAGCGGGCAATACAGTTATTATCGACGGGCGGGGTACTAGAACGGGCGGGGGTATTAGAGTAGGCGGGGGTATTAGAGCGGGCGGCGCGGTTATTATTAATAAATAGGGCGTTAGGGCGGGCGGCGCCCTCGCTTATAGTATAGCCTTAATTTTTAATTATTATTTAATTTTAGGTAAGATTAGCGCGTTAGGGTAATTATTATAGAAGGTCTTAATAGCTTCCCCGCGTTAATTATATTAATTATTAATTCTTCGATTGGGTTATAATAAGTTTATATAATTATATAGAATTAATAGTAATTATCTCCCTTCTATTAATATATTTAAAATTCATCGAATTCTTATTCAGCGACTTCTTTATAATTATTAATTCTCATTATTACTTTACCTTCGTTAGCCCTTACATTCTTTTGGATATCGGTTTGGCTAGGTAAACCTTTTTTAAAAAGTTTAATTATTAATACGTAGAATACTAGTAAATATTTTATATTAATAGGTAGTACTAATTTAATATTATACGATTTAGTTTAATCGATTTTAAAAGGGCTTTTTTACTGAAAATATAATTTATTATAAGGGCAGCCGTTAGCGAAGTTAATTATATTCAATATAATTAAGTCCTTAGCTTAGTATTTAAGTACATTCGAATATTTTTTATTAGCGTTGGACTTATAGTAATTTTATACTTTTTTAATCGAAATTCGAACGTAATCCTAAATAGCCTCGAAGCGGGCTAATAATTCGTTAATTTTGAAGTATTCCTTTTCTTGAATTAGAAATAATTGTAACGTTATAATTAAAAATAGTTTAATACTTATCCGAAGGTAGAAACTATAATTAATAAAGAACGGAGTTACTCTTATAATTTTTAGTATTATATTATTGCCCGTAAACTCCGTTAAGGGGAGTTAGCGAACTTAATCCGTTTATACCTAATTTATAAATATTTATAAGTATTATTTTATTTATACGTTAATACGTTCTATTTAAGTATTCGTTTAGGGGTAGAAAGCGGAGTTTAATAGTCTCTTAATGGCCAATTTTTTATAGATTGTAGCTTAGAATATTAATATAAATTAGGAATTTTCATCCGATACCATAGTATCGGAAAAGTTATAGAGGGTATATATTTAGTCGATAAAATAATTGGTAAATTCCTTTACTTCTATAGTTTCTATAGTGATATAATATTGTATTTCAGTAAGGTAATTTACTATAATAGTGATATATTTAAATTTCTAGCTTAAATAAAGACTCTTTAAGAGGGGTAAAATATAGTCGATATTAATATTATACTAGGGTATGAAGGCGGCTAGTATTAATTTTAAATAATTAATTTTAATTTATTATAATACCTTTATCTTCGAGTAAGCGAGGTATTCTTTATAATAAGCTTTAATGGCCTCTATTATATTTAATTAATATTAATATTTATTTATTTATACTTAGGTCTTATTTTTATTAGGGTGCTCTGCTATTAGCGAAGAGTAAGTGTAATAAACAAATTATAGGTAGGTAGTAGTATTGTTGAGGTTAATAAATATTTAATTTTTATAGTAAGCCTTACCTCTTATTATTAAGTACTTTTTAAATACTACTCGTAGTTTCTTTCTAATATAGGAGCGCTATTCGGACTGGTTAGGGTTTTAAAAATAAATTACCGCCTCTTATATTAATTTGGACTTAATATAATTATTATTAATAATTTTGTGTATAGATTTGTTTAGCTCCTTTAGGATATTTAGCGCTAATAGGAATACTTTTTTATTTATTTCTATATCGATAATAATATTGGATAGGGTTTTTAAATAATTTTCTTTGAAGTGGGCGGGGTCGATAAAGTTACGGTTCTTAACCTTTAAGTAATAGTTATTTATATTTAGCGGGACGTCCTCCGGCTTCCTACTTAAAGCGTTAGGGCGTAGATTCTTCGAATTGGAGGTATAGTAGATTAGAAAGTCGAAACGGAATAGGAATTATAACTATTATATATAGCGTAGGGTTAATTATTTATTTGTAGTAAAAGTCTTTAAATTTTTATAGTCCGTTAGAATATTAAAAAATTATTACGCGCCTTCGAATTTTAGCCTCTATTCTTCTAATACTTTAATAATAGCTAGTAATTTTTTATTATAGATATTATAATTATATTCCTAGACGGTATGCTATAACGAGAAATAAGTTACCGGGTATAGGATTTTATTATTGTTGTATTATAATAGGGTATTACTAGAAGGTTAATTAGAGGCGTCGGTTTTAACGATTGTTTTTTTTAATTAATTATATATATATAAAGTAAGTCTATTATTGAAGGTTATTTTTAAGGTTTGGAAAGCGGTTTATTAAGTTGGAGTCTAGTCCTATTTTATATTCTTTTTTGTAAAGTCGTAGAGCGGTATTACTATTAATAAAAATCCTTTAATAAAACGATAGTAAAAGTTAGTAAAGCTTAGAAAACTTTATAAGAATTTCTTAGAGGTAGGGGGTTATTAGTTTGTAATAGCCTTGATTTTTCTAGATTTATTTCGATGTTTCCCGGTATAATAATTAATTTAAGGTATTTAATCTTCTTAGTATAGAATTCGTACTTATTGATATTTATTTATGGGTTAGCTTTAGTTAATTATTCGAATATATTATTAATATACTTTCCGTATTTTATTTCGTTATTAGAAAAGATTAAAATATTATTTAAATATATTATTATATATATATTAAGAATATTGTATAAAATATTATTTATATAGTTCTAAAAAATACCGGGGGTACTTTAGAGTTTAAAAGGATATATTAAGGATTTAAATAGCTTAAAGCGCGTAATGAATACCGTTAATTATTCGTACCCCTCTATAATACGGATACGATTAAAAATAGTAATAATATCCAATTTAGTAAAGATTGTTATTATATAAATAGCGTTTAAAGTTTTTTTAATAAGCGGGAGGGGGTATTTATTTTTATAAGTAATATCATTAATACCCTAATAAATAATATAAATATGTATTCTTCCGCCAGGTTTCTTTATTAGGAGAATAGGGGAGGCGGTCTCTAATTAGGAGGGTTGGATGAAATTGCTCTTAAAGTTATTATTAATCCATTTTTTAATAACGTTTAGTTTGTTGGGGTTGAATAGGCAGGATTGAAAGTACAGCGGTTATTTTCCCGGCTTTAGTTCGATTTTTAAATTATATATACGGTAAGGGGGTATAATTATAGCCTTTTTTAGTTTAAATATTTTAATATATTTTTAATGTTAGTTGGGGAATTTTTCCTTTATTTGGTTATCGGTTTTAGGAGGTTTGTCGACTTTTTTGTAGAATTTAGTAACGTCCTTTTTAATAATTTTAATAAGTTTAATAGTTTCTTCGTAATATTCGAAATTTGTATTCTTTTTATTGGATAAATATATTTCGTTAGCGATTTTAGTAGCGCG